TAGACTCTTGGCACTCTTAGGTGAGCAGACTTAGTCAGCCTGTGTTGCCCTAACACATTGATAGCAAGAATCTTCACAAAGATGTTGAGGATGCTGGCAAAGTGACTGATGGTTGGTTCCAGACTCATCTCCCAAGGTGCTAGCTGACCCACATATGCAGGTCAAATTTTGTCCACATCTGAAGGACAAGGACACAGACATGAAGGGAACCATGGCTACCATATCCACCTGTGACTGGTCACTGGACTTCATGGTTGGTCAAAAGCTGTGCCATGCAGCCCAGGAGGAGGACTGGCTGACCTGCACATGGGAGATCCATCCCTGGGTAGTGTTGCCTGAGCTGGATTTCACTAAAGAATAGCAAGAGATGCCTCATCCTTGTGTACTCAATGGCTGGGGAGTTGCTCCTGCTATGTAGTGGCCGCATTTGCAGTCTTGCAGATATGAGGTGTGTATTGCTCACAAGCTATGCACCCAAGTCAATTGCACAATAGGCATGGAAAGTAATCCAAAACAGGAAACTTGTAGGCATTCACATACAGGAACACTCTTCAATTACCTACATAGCTACTGAATGTATGAAAAGTATTCTTGAAGACCCTTCTTTCCTTGTGACACACAGTCACACATTCTTGAGCTCATTGAGAACTTGAGCAATGCCGTTCACACCCTCCTTAACACTGTCAAGCTGTTCTGACAAGAAATGGGGCTGGTATTTGACAAACTTGTCAGGGTGCCAGAGGAGGTGAAATGGCCTCAATTGCTGTTTGGTGGATTTGCCACAGCCATTCATGGCTGAGAAAACAAAAGTCTTGATGTCCTCCTCCTTCAGAGCATTGAGGTTGGCCACAGGGAAACACACTGGCCAAGGGCATTATTCAAACATAAGCTGGGCAGGTGCAGTTTGCAGAAGGTTGAGGAGTAGCTGCCAGGCAACATTGTATGCCAGAATAGAGACTGCTAAGGCATCCTGCAGCCTTGCACCACACTTGAGCATGTTGAGGAGAGATGCAGGTCAACAACCCAAAGTTGTCACTGGAGGCAGTGAACTGGCTGTATTGGTTATGCTGTTGCCATTGGTGGCTAGTGCTGCATGCCATGCAGAATGAGGCACCCTCCCCCTGTCTCATCCTATTCCCATTTCCACTACCATAGGCTCTAGGATGCTGGGTAAGTTCTCATGATGGGACATTGCAACAAAAATGTCTGGCGCACCTGCATGACCATTTGCTCCATCATTGCAACTGTTTTCATCTGGATCTCCCACCTTTCTTTCTTCCCCTTGTGTGCCTGTGAATCCCAAAGACAGAGCATGAGCATATGGTGAAGACAAAGGTCCAAAACCAACCCACCAGTCTGCATTCCCAGTTCCTCCTCTCGCAAGGCTCCTGATCTTATTCCCCCACCACCTTTCTGCCTTTGCAAGGCTGATTCATCACCACTGGTCCTGTTGCCTTTGTCTGTCTTTGCAGCCACAGGAGGCACATTATCTTGACAAGCCTTCTTGGTGGATGGGCATCCATCCAGCTGATGCTGGCCATGTCACCCATCCCCACTCCAGTCCTTCTCTTTACTTGTGTCCCATCTGCTACAAGTGGGGGTAGTTGTCCCACTTTCCTCCTCCTCTGGCACATCTCTGGCCCTCTTTACAGGGTGCATGCAGTGGCAGTCCTGATGTTCAGCGCAATCATTGTTGATGTCCACAACATTGACATCTCCTTCATAAAGATCTTCATTGCCCAGCAATATCTGGAATAGTGCATCAGAAAGAGTTCCTTCTGTTGTGATTCCCCCTTCATGGGGCTCTTGCACTCCTTTTGTGAAAAACTGCTCAGCTCTCTTGTGCAGCTCCCTTTGGGGCATGGCATTGCCTGGAGAGCCCATCTTCTTGAAGAGCTGCATGGTGCAGCTCAGAGCTGTCTCAATTTCATCATGATGCATGGTGGTGTGTGTTTGTAGGTCTTGAGCCTTGGTATTAGCATGAAGCAGTTTCTCTGTGAAAGGTCAGCAAACTGCAGGGTTTTGCTCCACCTCACTTCTCACAGGTGGCTGCTCCAGTGCTCCCTGTTGGGATGTATCTCCTTAGATAGTTGGATTTGTGCTGTAGTAGAGAACTGATTACTGTGAGTATGCTCCCTCACAGAGAAGAGGCCAAGCTCACATAGGAGAAGGTCAGGCTGGACCTTGAAGGTGCAGGCTTGAAGATAGGACTCAGTGAGCCAGATGTTCAGAAAATTGGAGGTAAAGGACAAGACACTGAGTATGGTTGGACATGAGAGAGGGTGTATAGATGCATAGAGGAGTGTGGTGGACTGATCCAGAGGCACTGACAGGCAAGATGCAAAGGGCAAAAATGGGCCAAGCAAGACCCAAAAGGAGGGTCTTGGTGGGTCGCTGCCAGAGGCATTTGTGCATGGGTGCATAATATCAACCTGTCGGTGATAAGGCAAAATAGTCGCGTAATGCCGACTGCGCATTTCTGTTCTCTTTCCGGTCGATAAGGCCAACTCATCTTGAGGGAATTGACCGGAGTTCGTCGTCAAACATGGTGTCCTCGCCGTCCTCGCCGATGAGCACTCAGCTGCTTCTACGCATTCACCACCGTTCTCTTCTTTGTCTATTGTCAAGATGTCTTCTTCAGCCCGTGTGACGGGCGCGCCAGAGCTGGACGCCTCGATCCTCTCGCTCCCTTTCCGGCCTCTCCCTGAGGGCGATGCCACCTGTACTATCTCACCTATCATCAACAGCTTCGTAACGCTCCAAGAGCCTATCGTGCTCTACCCCAGCCCGAATCCGCAAGCCTCCTTCCGCGCACCAAGCTTCGTCTTCCACATCGTGCACAAACCGACAGGAAAGAGCTTGCTGTACGATCTCGGGATTAGGTGGGACTTCGAGACTGCGTTTAGCGAGGACTACGTGAAGGTACTCCATGATCTGTGGCATACGAAGATTGTAGACGATGTTGGGAAGATATTGGAGAAGGGAGGTGTGGACCCCGCTAAGGTGCATGCATTGCTGTTCAGGCTCGTGGTCTTCCGTCTCCTGCTTCCTTGTACTGACGTGAATATAGCCACGAACACTGGGATCACACGGGTTACATAGCGCCATTTACTACTGCTGAGCTAGTAGGGGGGCCGCAAACCTTCGCAGCCGAAGCAAACCTGTCAGAGCAAGTCAAAGCCTCAGGCAAAACGCCTCGTATCGTCGACTTTTCCGGGCCCTCGATCCAGCCCGTGGGTGCTTTTGAACGCGCTTTCGACTACTTTGGAGACGGCTCGCTCTGGCTCATCCATACTCCCGGGCATACTCAGGACCATATGTCTGCGCTTGTGCGCGTTAGCTCCGCTCCGGACGCGCAGTGGGTTCTTGTTGGGGGCGATACGGCACACCATCCATGCCTGCTTTGCACGCACGCGAACCACGCACAGTATCAGCTCAAAGCTACGTTCCGCAATCCCTTGGCGGAGGCCGACGCGCCGGAGGTCAAGATGCACTTCGATGCGGATCTGGCGAGGGACAGTATCAAGCGCACGAAGCGGATGGAGGCGGAGGATAATATCATGTGTGTCATGGCGCATGAGTATGGGTATTGGAAGTATTGGAGGGGGAACGAGGAGGTCATGTTCCCTGGTTTGGGACTGAGCGAGTGGAAGAAGAGGGGACTGAAGGGGACCAGGGTGTATGATGTGACGGAATACGAGGAGTGAGCTGGAGACGGGTTCCAGATCTATTCTGAAATTTCTTAGGGGTTGAATTGAAGTCATTCGGTATACGACCTGTCAGATAGTGTGGATGCTGTCGAATGTATTTCCATTGATTGAATCCTGATGTTACTACAAGGACCAATGACTTAACAGCTCAAACCCGACGGGTGGAGCACACAAGTGCTGTTCTCCAGTGATGTCGACATCAGAGAAATGCCATGTAGCATCCGTCGTCCCCGCAGCAGTCAGGATATAGTAATTCTGAGCACCCGGTTGAGCAGTGCCGTGGATATTGGTCATCGTGATATTGGTGATATTCACCCCAGCGGTAGGGATACCAGTCGGGCCACCGTTGACTATTTCAACAGGTTTAGAACGCATCAAGAACGGGAACAGGAAGACGTACGATAATCCTGCTGAATATCGATCCCATAGTCGCTGATATTCGAGACCTGAATATTCTCATACGTGACATTATTGACCACCCCAGCCGTGCCGGAATTACACTTGATCCGCGCGCCGTTCTGGCTGTTCAGCACTTTGGAATTGCTGAAGACTACTCCGTCAACCGTGTTGTTGCTTTTGCCCCCAATGGAGCCGATCGAAAGTCCGTGCCCGCCTGAGCAGTACATGTTTGTCGCAACCAGCCCGCCGCCGGAGGTGATGGCGATGCAATCATCTTGGTTGTAGACGAGGTTATTCGTGATGAGCATCTTAGATCCATCAGCTTAGATCAATTGAGTCTACACGACCACTCACATCGGTCGAAGAGGCGACATCGAATCCATCGGTGTTATGCGCAGCCTCGAGCCCGTTCGTGGGTAATATGGTATATCCCTCCTTCATGTCGATCACAATGCCTTTCATGACCAACCCGAATGCGCCGGAGATGGAGAAAACATGGGTGGGCGCGTTCTTGATATACAGGTTCTTGATCACGCTGTTTCCAAAGAGCTTCGACCCAGTAAACATGTGATCTGGCCTGAATGAACGATTAAATACGCCATCAAGGATGAGAAGGTTCAGTTGTACTTCGGTACTCCGCCATTCGATCCGATGCCGTCCCACCAGGCTGGGCCGTTGCCATCCAGCACGGAACACGCAGCACCTTGCACAGTGATATTCGTACCTCCGATCTTGAGCAGATCGTACGAGGCGTTGGCCCACGTCCAGAACTGGAAGAGAATCAGTCGAGGGAACAGCATAGCACGACAGACACCAAGCCTACAGTCCGGCCCTCAAATGTAACAACGGTGTTCGCTTTCACCTTTGAGAGATCGAGAGTCGTGTTGGCCGGCACGGTGAGGTTCTGAATGTGCAGATCAGTGCACGACGAGACAGCAGTCGCAAGCTGCGAGTAAGCAGTCACGGTGCAAATGGGGTTGGTCGACGGAGTGGTTCTGAATTAACTTAAATAATTAGCGTTCGCATTTATGGATCACTGCAGCCTACGGCGTGGCAGGTTGAGGCACGTAGTTCTCAACCTCGAGCTCGAGCGTGTCCTGGACGACATCCAATTCGCTCTGCGGCCAAAGAGACGCGTCGCCGTATGTCTTGATACCGCACAGGATCGCGTCGATGTCAGAGGAAGAGACAGGGAATCCCTCGGCACGCTTGACCACATTCACTGCTGCCGTCAAGCGTAGGGAGCTCAAGAGAAGAAGAGGGAGAAGACGCGCGAATTTGAATGAGACTGATCCTGACAGACGAGACCGTAGATGTCATTTTGGGGCGGCATTTATAGCGTTTTTCCAAACTGCCAGTTGGCCAGAAGCGTGACAGAATCAATGTTCATTCGGGGTTACAGCTCTACCGAGCAGGAAGCATGAACAAGAATGCGAACTTGATACATCGTTGCAAGGAATCGCAGCAACCCCTGGTCAGGTGGTGCAGAAAAGCGCAACGCATGTTCAACCCCTGCAAGGCGAAAGGTAAAGAATCTCCGCGCCCCTATCCGGGCCGTGGACGGGCCGGAAAAGAAGTTGTGGATGTCATATGGTCATTATGAGGAAGTGCCGTGACGTGCATTAATCTTTCTTTTGCGGAGAAGTGGGATTCAATGCGGAGACTGGGTTGCACTCCAGGCACCGTTGATCGAAACACTCGACTGATGTCATCCTGGAATTGGAGAAATTACGGCTCTTTGATAGAGGAGGGTCGAATACTCAACTTTGCCAAGCGTTCATTCTGCACGTCAGGATCGGGTTCTGACTTGGATAGAAAAACGTCGTAGTCCAGGAGTGTATTAGGCTCAACAATCTTAAATAAGAAATCAGAAAATTAGGGATAGATCGTCAACCGCCAGTAAAATCGTTGTTCGTCTTCCTTCAATCATCGCTGTCCCAGTCCTCGCCTCGCCTCGGATCATATCCGTTTCCTCTCGTTTGGTCCGGAACAGGACCTCGTCGTTCTAGCTTGGCGACGAGCCGTTCAAGCATATGCTCGGCCTTGGGGTTCCGTGCGAATGATGTGCCGTGTCCTCTCCTAGACGTGTGTTAGCGAAAGCACCGGATTGTGGCCGAATACGCTCACCCTGTGAGATTATATTGCCCATTTTTGTTTTTACCTCCAAATGCGGAAATCCAGTTCTCCTTCAGACCTACATCGTACATTCGTATCCTCTTTCCAGCACTGCGCAGCGTCCGCCGCTGGTCATGATTCATGTAGTATTCATCCCACTTTGGCGGCGGAAGATTAGAGTTTGGATTGGGCCGTTGCTGGTCTTCGGGGGCATCGAAGGCGTACGGCTTGGGTGGTGGAAGGAAAGGGACGAGGATATAAGGGTGAAGCTGCTCCAGAGTGGTCTGGTTTGTTCTGGCGCAGATATGTCAGTATATGCGTCTCCGTGCGAAGCCGAGAACGTACGAAATCAGGTATGCGTGGTATGCTGCAAAACCAAACAGGCTCAGGCTGAATACAAAGCCCAGCATCGTCAGGATGGCGGCATGCAACAGCATGATCATTCCATCGCCCCCGAGTTCAAGCTCGAACTCGCGTGTGAAAATGAGCTTGTGCATCTGCGGTCCACCCAGAGTGAACGCGTTTAGCGCATAGAGAGTGCCGGAACAGAGGAAGAGGAAGAAGCATGGAAGAGTGCGCCAGCCCTGAATCATCATCCTCATTAAACGCCGCATCTTGCGGAATTCATCAAAATCACGTACGATGCAGGTGGCAAGCCACACACAGTGGTGGTCCATTTTTAGGTGACACCTGTTGCAGGAGCTACAATGATGGGTCCTTTCTGGCTTTCCAGCATCGCATATTCTACACCATCTTTCTTGCGGCGGTGGCGTCGGTTGCCTCAGCGGCGGAGGAGGCGGACCTCTCAAAAAGTCTGTGAGAGACATCTCTTCTTCCTCTTCTGGTCCTTGTATTGCAGTCGACGGGGGGACGGCCGGTACGGAAGGCGAGAATGATTCGTCTCGTGATCGATCGGCTCGTCGCGGCCTTCCGGGGTCACGAACGATACAGAGCAAGAAAAAGACATGACATAAAAGGAAAAGGGAAGATGATGCGAAGATTCGGCCCACAAGCCATCCTTGTGTTGCAAGACCGTGTTTTACCAAGATGGATGGTACCGAGATGAGTGACGGCTGTGGAATGAGGAAAAAGAATTCCAGTACTATCAGCAAGTCAGAACAATAGACGTAAAGGACATTCTGCACTGTGCTGACATAAGACAGGGAGTTGTGCAAGGAGCGACTTTGGTGGTGGAGAATCGTGTTGGGCACGAACTGGCTCGGCATCCGCTGCACCCGCCAGGCGCCGGTATCCAGCCAGAGGCTTGATCCTTGGAGGAAACAGCGGTATCGAGCGTAATCGTGTCCAAAATGCCGTCATCTTGTTTTGTTTTGTTTTGAATGAACAGAATCCAAAATACAAGTGGTCCAGGAAGGATATCGTAGTTCAGCGGGTAGCGAGTGTAATAGTCCAGAGTAAGTGTAACCAAGAGAGAAAGTGCGTTGGAAGCGCGTTTTGGATCGTGTTTTCACGTGGGATGGAAGGTGCTTCTGCACAGCCGTAGATTGACCTTGGAAACTGCATACATAGCTTCTTGAACACATCGACGTACTACTTGTGACTTCTTTGCCAGCCAACAACCGACAATGCTAATGCTTTGCTTGGGATGTATCTAATACCGTGCAGACATCGGAGATTGTTGCGTATATTATCACCTTGTTTGGCAACCGTCCTTTGTGCCTGGAGCTCCGGGAATTCGGCGCCAAAGGTCCGGGAGAATTCCACTTCTCCGCAGGCAACAATGAACTTTCATTACGTTGTTTCGGCATGTTTTCTGGCCCGAAGGCGAAAGATCCAGATGAGAACGCGTCTAGCTCTCCACCTGCGAACCTGCGAAGTCTTCTTCTATCCTAAGGGCATAAATACTGAACGATGAATCTCTGATCGTCATGTTGTGCCCAACAATGCTGGCAACGGTTCTTGGTTGTCTCGTCTGTGCTGCCCTGGGCAGTTTGGCGACTGATGAAATTCCCCTATACAAAGATCCGAATGCGCCTATTGATGCTCGTGTTACCGACTTGCTTGGACGCATGTCCGTCGAGGACAAGGTCTCTCAGCTGTACGTGTTTCACAAACGCGACACTTCATGTCTCAAATTCCCCAAAGCATCCAAGGCGACATCGACGGATGGATGAACATGTCCGATCCTTTAGACAACACCTTGGTGTACAACGCCACCGGACTGGTGGAGATGATGGCAACGAAGAGCGGCGTCATTTGGGCGGGGTATCAGATGCCGTACGAGAAATCGATGTGAGCCGATCGGACGGAATTGGTCGTTTGAAGGCTGACAAGAAGCAGCTTTGCGGTGACTGTTGGACACAAATACTTGATGGAGAATACTACTTTGGGAATTCCGGCTCTCATTCAGTCTGAAAGTGAGTTGTGCATCCCAAGCATCCCAAGCCTAGGTATAATAGCTCACGTTCAGCAAGGTCTGCACGGATTCACAAACAATGGTTAGATTTGTATTCCGGTTACTATAAGGGCATGCTAACAAAGACCCAGGAACGATCTTCCCCTCCTCGATCGGAATGGCTTGCAGCTTCAACACCGATCTGATGTACGAGGTTGCCAAAGCCATAGGGGGCGAGGCAGAAGGGCTAGGCTTCAGCATGCTCTTCGCTCCCGTTCTCGACCTCTCTCGAGAACTTCGCTGGGGCCGAGTAGAAGAGGTGATGATTACCGGCTATATGCGCTAAGGCTGGGGTCTGCTAACCTCCATCAGAACTACGGCGAGGACCCGTTCTTGACCGGAGGTGCACACTATCCCTGTTCATGTGAGGAGGTGCTCATCAACTACCAGAGATGGGCTACGCCTACGTGACCGGTCTCCAGGCGGGTACGAGGCGGAACGTCTCCTCTACCGCTTCTGCGCGGCTAGCCGCTACGTGCAAGCACTTTGCCGCCTTTGGCTCGCCTCAGGGGGGCCTGTGAGTCTTCCATCCCAACCCAATCCAATCCAATCCTGGACCCCAGGCTCTTCCTCCCGACCGACCGAGTGAATGACTGACGTACTGTGTCCGATACAGAAACCTAGCGCCCGTCTCCGGGGGAGAACGAGAGCTGCGCACGACATACCTGAAACCGTTTTATCGCGCTTGCGTGCAGGGTCAGGCCTGAGGGATCATGTCCGCCTATTCGTCCTATGATGGGATTCCCGTCAGTGGCAACTTGCCTCCTTAAGCTTGGTTGGCGTTTGCTCACGCAGACTGACTATGACTAGGCGGTGGCGAACTCCCACCTTCTGACGGAGATCGTACGTCCCAACACTCTTGATCCTCCAATCTGAACGAATACCCTGACACCTCACACCTCCAGCTGCGAGACGAATGGGACTATCAAGGGTTCGCGACGACCGACGCCGGGTCCGTAGACTTGCTCATAACAGAGCATGGCGTCGCATCCGACCGAGCGGCGGCCGCCAAGCTCGCACTCGAGAATGGGCTGAGCGGGGAGATGGGCGGGGGGAGCTATACTTATCTCACACTTCCTGGTTGGTCCCCCCTTCCCCGGGATGGGATGGTGAGCTGATGGAAGTCAGAGTCGATCGCGAACGGCTCAGTTGGTATCGGGTACTTGGACAAGGCTGTCAGTTATCTCCTCAAGACAAAGTTCGAACTGGGGTTATTCGAGAGTGCGCCCGCCTTCCCCTCCTCCCCCTTCCCACTGCCTCCCTGCCCCTCCCCCTCCCGCCAACGTTCCCAATCCCCATAACTAACCACCTTCATGCAGACCCCTACCCATACCCCGACTACGCAACCACGATCCGCACGCCCTCAACCCGTCACCTCCTTCACCAAATAGAGCGGGAATCCATCGTCCTCCTCAAAAACGACGGGGTGCTCCCCCTCCAGAAGGGGGGTTCGGTTGCGCTTATCGGCCCGAGTGCAGGGCAAGTTTTGGTACGTCTCGGTTCCTCCCAAGCACGCGGGCGACCTGAGGTTGAGGGTCGTAGTTTGGGTAAGCATGGACTTATGCTCGGGAAATCCGCTCTGAGGGGAATAGCGATTATGTATTCTTCAACGCCTCTCTGTATGTTATCGTTACCCATCTGCTTAGTGGGCGTAACTGATAGCTGACCAAATCCTGTGCGGTAGGAACGGCATCTCCCCCCTCCAAGGGCTGACCGATTTCCTCTCAGGGTCAAACACGACCATCAAGTAAGCCCTCCAATCCCCCCACCCCAAACGACGTCCGAACCACGCTGACGTTGTCTCTTCTGTTCTGCTGTTCTGGTTAGTTATGCAGAAGGCTGCAAGCTGTGGAGTAACGATGAGAGCGGGTTCCCGGCTGCGCTCGAGGCGGCGGAGCAGTCTGATGTCGCTGGTCCGCCTCTCCCCCCTCTCCCTTCCTCACATCTAACCCAACACCGCAGTTGTGGTAATCGGCACCTGGTGCGCCCTCCCCCTCCCCTCCTGTACTGCCCTAATGCCTAACGCCTAACGTCTAACGTCTCCCCGCCCTAGGTCAAGAGATCAAACCCTCCTCTGGCAAGGCCTCAACGCCACCACAGGGGAACACGTCGACCTCTCCTCCCTCTCCCTAGTCGGGGCGCAGCTCAGGCTCGTCCAAGCTGTGCGAAAGGTGGCGAGGAAGCTGGTCGTCGTGTTTGTGAGTGGGAAACCGGTGGCGGAACCTTGGGTTAAGGCGTGGGCGGAGGGGGTCGTGCAGCAGTTTTATCCTGGGGAACTTGTGCGTCCTCCCCCCCATAGACAAACTGACTGAACTGACTGACTGACTGGATTGGTGGGGTTGTGCTTGTGCTTGTGCTTGTGTGTGTGCTGGGGGCGCGGGTGTAGGGAGGCACAGCACTCGCCGAAGTCCTATACGGAGCGTATAACCCCTCTGGAAGACTGAGCGTCTCTGTCCCGCAGAACGTAGGGACTCTTCCGGCGTTCTGTAACTACCTCAAAGGGGGTAGACCGGTCGATCCCGGTTTCATAACTCCGAATGGGTCGCTGGTATGCCTTTCTGCAGCCGCAGGTTCTTGTATGGAGCTGATGCGTGCATTGGTTGCGTTGGTTGCGTGCGTTGATTGCGTTGGCGGGGTGGGCGGAAGGTCTTCGGGCACCAATACGTCCTCTCCACTCCCCTCCCTCTCTGGTCCTTCGGACACGGACTCTCCTACAGCACCTTCCATTACACCGCTCTCTCGCTCTCGCATTCCCAGCTGCAAGTTTCCGACACTCACACTCACCTGGGGGTAAACGTCACGCTCACTAATGTGGGCCCTTGGGAAGGGGCGGAAGTTGTACAGGTATATTTGGTAATAGGGGTGAGTGGGGTCGTCACCCCTAACCAAGAGTTAGCAGCATTCAGGAAAGCCTTTTTCGCGTGCGTCCCCCCCCTTTTTTCTTCCAAGAACAGGGCGCTTAACTTTGATTTGTTTGGCCAGGGTGGGGGAAACGCGTACCCTAAATTTGGAGATCAGGATGGAAGATCTTCCCATTTGGGTAAAGGGCTGGGTGTGGGAAAAAGGGGAGTATGTACTGAGGGCGGGGACGAGCAAGAATGTGTACTTGAATGCGAGTTTTGTTGTTGGGTAGATTGGACCAAGAGGGGGATGCTGGGGAGTCGGGTTTGGGGTGTTGGTGCGGGGTGGTATGCTATGGAAAGGTTGTATGTTAACATTGTTGGTCTGATAAGAGTCGTGTGAGCGCGTGACCCCATATAGCCTAGTTGTTTTCCGTGAAGATCCATCTGGCCGATGCAACGATCGCCAGAGTTAGAAGGTGAGACACTCCACGGGGAAGTGCACGTTCCTCGTCTTTCCAACCCCTATCAGTCAACGTCATCGTGTTATCATAGCCAGCCATGTCCCCCTCGACGGACGATATCCCTCAGCTCCCTCTTCCTCTCCCTCACCGTCACCCTCAACCTCTCCCTCAATCTGTCTCTGCTCACTGTATGATGTCAGACCAAGTTCTAGCTGGGATATTGGAACAGCTTGAGAGGCTTACCAAGCAGAACGAGGTGTTGACTGCAAAGGTATTCCCTTCCCTCCCTCCTTCCCCGCACTTTCCCCTCATCGTACATCGTGCTTCGGCTGACAAATCCAGGTGGACGCTCTTACTCAATTGCAAGCACAAGCACAACAACCCCACACTCAGTTACCAGGCCTATCTCCTGCTCTTGGACCGGTCGACACTGACCCTTCCCCTTCCTCTTCCTCTTCCCCTCCTACTCCTACTCCTGCCCCAAAGCCTCATCCATCCACTCCCCAGAGTACTAGTAAGAAATCAGACGATCTCTACCCTCACAGAGTTATCATAACCAGTACGTCCCCTTCCCTCCAACTAACACAACACCCAACACCCACTAACACCGCACAGCCTACCCAGACCAAACAGGTATCAAGCCACTCCCACTAACATGGGGCGCTCCCACCGCTCTCCAGCGGGGGCCCGTCCTCTGCTCGAGGCTGCCAAACAACATCAAACTGCGCAATTCGATCGGCGCGCATTCCGGGTCTTACGCAACCTATCGCGCTCTCGCAATCGCCCTCCGCACCCTATCCCCGACGCACATACCTGATTATTCGCTCACCCAGCCCCCTGTGGATATCCCGCCTCAACCCGCTTGGTCGGAGAAGGGGAAGATCGTATCCCTCGACCCGTGGGGTCATCTAGCTCCTCAAGTATTCTCGGAACTTATCAACTCAGGGCTGGATATAAGGCCGTCGATCGCGGTCACAAAGGCGCATATAAAGCTGAGCGAGATAGATGATGCTGTTCGGGCTGGAAGGATAGAGGTGGACGGGAAGATCGTACGACGTTGTAGGCCGGTGGAGCCGCTCACGCTGGACCAGGAGGGGGAGGGGGAGGGGGAGGGGAAGGGGAAGGGTAGGGGGATGGGGGATCCGGGGGTGGAGCTGGACGTCTCTAAGGCTGCGGTAGAGCCCGTATGGTTCCTACCAGGCGTAGCAGCCAGGTTCGGCATGTGAGTCCTCTCCCAGGTGGTGCTATGCACTGCTTACTCTTACTGATCTGTACGTGTGCGTGTGTGTGTGCAGAACGGAACAGCTCTTGAGGAGAGCGTTATTTGAGGATACGGGGGGGATGTATCCTGAGCTAATTACGAGGCCGGATATTAAGGTGTTTCTACCCCCTATTGGGGGGTTGACGGTGTATATCTGTGCGTGTGCCTCTTTGGTGTTTACTCACTTGCTGACTTTCGGCGCTGTTACTGTTACTGTTGATGTTGCTGTCGCTGCTATTGCTGTTGGTACGATATTACCCCCGTCGGTTCACCTTCCCCTTCCCCGCGTAGTCGGCCCCCCCGCATACCTCTCCGACCCCTCCAAAGAGCTCACCCTACGCATACACGACGAATGCAACGGCTCCGACGTCTTCGGCTCCGACATCTGCAGCTGCAAGCCCTATCTCATATACGCGATCGAGGAATGCGTGCGTACAGCCCAACGCGGGGGGGTCGGGCTTGTAGTCTATTTCCGGAAAGAGGGTAGAGCGTTGGGGGAAGTGACGAAGTATCTTGTCTACAACCTGAGGAAGAGAGAGGGAGATAGGGCGGAGAGGTATTTTGAGAGTACGGAGAGTGTGGCTGGGGTGAGGGATATGAGGTTTCAGAGGCTTATGCCGGATGTGCTACATTGGTTGGGAGTTAGGAAGGTGGATAATATGATTTCGATGAGTGATATGTGAGTGCCGCCTTCCTCCTTCCTCCCTCTTCCTTTCCCTCCTCCACTTCCACTCCCACTACCCCTTCCTCCTATCGCGTTCCAGCTAACAACATCCAGGAAATACGAAGCCATCATCTCATCCTCGATACCCATCCTCCACCGGTCGGACCTCCCCCAGCATCTAGTGCCGGGAGACTCGAGGGTAGAGATAGACGCGAAGATCGCGGCTGGGTATTGGAGTAGGAGATGTGTGAGGTGGGAGGATTTGGGGGGGGTTAGGGGGAGGGGGTGGGAGGGGGAGGGGGAGGGTTAATTGTACTAGTATTATGTATTACTGGACTTCAACTGTTTGTAAGGTGTATCAAAGTTGTTGGAGAGTTGTAATACTAGGGTTTTGCTTTTTGGGGTGTCGTGTGAGGGGAAATGGGATCTGACGTAGCCGGCTTCTAGAGCGATTTGCTGGATTCTAAATTCACGAATCTGCACACTGCACACTGCACACTGGACGCAGTCGATTCTCTAATAATATTGTGATAAATAGATTATGTGGACAGAGAAGTGTTGAACGGAACAATCGTTTATTACTCACGCGCCTCCACCGGGCCGAGATAGGGCCATCAATTACTTGCTTTCGTACCACCACTATCTTCTTCTTCCTCTTCATCCCTTCCTTACCTTCACTTCATATCTTTGCATCTAGCTACGGCAAGACGACGTCCGTTTTATAGGCAGGATGACTACTAGCCAGACGTATGGCGCTTCTCTCCCCGTGCGTCCCAGCCCCACCTCACACCCACTCACACCCACACCCACACCCCCACTCACAGGACCAATTCCAAACCATCTCCTCCCACCTCCTTACCCACCTCTCCCTGCTCGCCGACACACGCGAGCTGATCCGAGAACGGGCGGCTCTGGAGCGAGAGTACGCTACCAAGCTTAGGGATCTGGGGTATAAGGCTGCTGGTAAGAGGGGGAAAAGGGCGAGTGCGTTGGTCGTGGGGGAGGTGCCTAGTCGGGCGTGGAACGAGGGGGCGATTAAGGCTCAGTAAGCACTCACCTTTGGTGGTGTGGGTGTTGGGGTGGGTGTGGCTGATGCGGTGATACGGTAGTACGTTCGACACGGCGTACCAGGTCTTCCTCGCTTCCCTCGAGAACACAGCTCGGGATCATATAACCCTCGCGGACACGCTCGACTCGGAGATCGTTGCTGGGCTTGCGCTGCTCGAGAAACGGAAAGAGGAGCTGAGGAAGGTCGAGGTGAGGAATTATCAGACGCTGTTGGAGGAGAGGGATGGGATATATGATGTGAGGATTAAGGTGCGTTCTTGCGTTCTCTTTTTATGGGGGATGGGAGCTGAACTTGGGTGTAGGCGAAGCAGAAAGTGCGTGTTGGAAGTGTGTTGCATAGTGGGAGATGTTGGCTCATACGTTGTAGTACGATGATGCGTGCATCGCGGTTGAGAACTCGCGTAGGAAACAGGAGGTGGGCAGGCATTCGGCAGACAAGTTTGACGCGTTGACGGATGAGATGAACACGGCGAAGAAGTGGGTCTGTCGCTTGCTTAGAAGCGTAATGCTCACCCTGTCTTAGCGGGTACCTGGTGTCTATTGCTGTCTCTAACAAGGAAAAGGACAAGTACTTTGAGGAGGACTTGCCGGTGTACCAAGATGTTTGTATACCCCTCCTTCTCTCGTCGAATCCGCTGCTGACACCCTCCACGCCACAGCTACTGCAAGACCTCCAAACCTCGCTCACAGACCGACTCACCATCATCCTCAAACGCAGTACTCAGCTACACCTCGAGCACATCCAGCATATAACAACACACCAAGCCTCGAACAAAAAAGCGCTCGAGTCCGTCAATCCCGCAACCGACCAGAACTTGTTTATACAGTACAACCAGCGCCCGTTTTCCCTCCCCCAGGACTGGGCTTTCGACCCCTGCGCGAGCCATTATGATACTCCGGAGGTGGGGCTGGACCCGCAGCCGAAGATCTACTTGCAGAACAGGCTGGCGAACTCTAGGGGGAAGATCGCGAATGTCAAACCCGAAGCGGAGGCGAAGCGTGCGCTCTCCCCCTTCTCTATGCGTGCCCCGTACTCACAGATCGGATCATAGAACGCGAACTTGCCTCTCTGCAGAAAGTGCTCGTCAAGTACCGCGAGCAGCCAAAGACGGGCGACGCGGAAGAAGTAGCGCGTCAGATCGCCGAGGCTTCACACCAGCTGGCGATGCTCACTACGAGCGTGACGACGCTAGAAGCGGAGATCGCGTGTATTAGCGCTGCGCTGGGAGGGGACGAGGGCGGGGGGAAACCGCATACCTGGAAGAGCTCGAGTTTTTCAATCCCGACCGCTTGCGCGTACTGTGATGTGCGCATCCTTCTCTGTTGGCGGGGTGTTGATCGCTCATCCTATACCTGGTAGACGTCCATCTGGGGCCTGAGCAAGCAGGGCAAGACGTGCAAAGCCTGTGGGATATCCGTTCATGTGAGTCCTCCCGCCCTCCTGGAGCTCGCGCTCCCTAACCTCTACGCAGAACAAATGCGAGCTCAGTGTTCCCGCGACCTGCGGCGACCCCAACGTCAGCATCAAGAAATCCGACACGGTGCGGAGCAAGTCCGGCACAGGCACTGGCACGCCCGCTCGAACCCGGGCGTCATCTAACGCTTCCCTCGCTTCTAGCTCCTCTGTTCCATCTCTCACGACCTCAATATCCAAGACGACTTCCATAGGGAAAGAGAAGCCCTCATCCCCCAGTACGCCTACGGCCTCGGCCTCAGCCTCGGGGGGAGGGAACCAGCAGGCAAAGGTCATATTCACTTTCCCCGGATCGGCAGCGCACGAGCTCGCCGTGTCCGAAGGGGACACCGTGACCGTCCTTGACCCAGACGACGGGACCGGCTGGGTAGAAGTCCGCTCTTCCTCTGGCTCGGGACTCGTCCCTGCTTCGTACCTGAAGATACTCCCTCCTTCTAACGGGACAAAAAGACGTGCTCCCGCTCCCCCGCCACCTAAGCCCCGGGGGATGGGACCGAAGAAGGTCAAGGCGCTGTTTGATTACCAGGGACAGACGGGGGAGGAGCTGGACCTGGAGGAAGGGAGGGTGTATGAGCTTGCTGATGGGGGGGATAAGGATCCTGGTTGGTGGGAAGTGAAGAGCGGGGGGAGGAAGGGGCTTGTACCTGCTAATTATGTCGAGTTGGTTAAGTAGATTGTTGAGAAAGTAAAGAAATATTAAGAGAATGTTGAATGTATGTTGTATGTTATTATTCCGGATAAACTTGCGGAAGCGATGGAGCACGCGTTGTCCGTGTATTCCGTTTCAACAAAGTGCTAGCATTTCTCATGCGAATTACTTGTTTAGTTTATCATCATCTCCTACGAAATACCCATGTCACGACACTCAGCACTCGACAACGTCCAGTTTCACTCGGGGAAGGGGACGTCCTTCTCTCCTCTCGACCACGACATGGACAGGGAGATGGAGATGGAGATGGAGATGGAGGACGAGCCCCTCTCGGACGACACAGATGCACAGTCGATATCCCTCTCTACTCCACCTCGCTCGCCTACTCAACCGCGCTCGGGAAGACCGAGCTCGACACTTGTACGTCCTGAGCCTGGGACGGGAGGGACGGGGACAGGCGCGTTCTTTAGGGAGCCATCGCCTGATCCTGTTTTGCGACAGGAGATGGAGGACGAGGAGGAAGATGGGGAGGGAGGGAGAGAAGTACAGAGGGAGAGGCAAAGGGAGAGGGAGAGGGATACGGATAGAGAAGTACCATGGTCACCAGAGTCTGACGCTCTCCCTTCAGCGACATCCCAATCCCGTCTGCTCGACTCCCCACGCACTCCCTCCTCTGCTCGTGCCCTCCGCTCCCCAGCGTCCCAGCAACCCAGGACACCGCTCTCCTCCCGCCTCTCGCACATCCTCACCGGCTCCCCCTCAGTAGCGACCATGCTCGTCCCCCGACCTCGGCCCGCCAGCCTCCCGCTCGCATATACGAAGGGCGAGCTCATCCTCGGTGTTATCGTCATCGATTTCAATCATCTTGTTGGGCCGAAAGTCGAGTTTGCAGTCCCGCCTAGTGTGGGAGCGGACGAGGAGATGTGTGGTATACTCCCGTTTTTGGCGTTGCCTGATGGGGCGCATTTGGTATGCCCGTGCTCGTGCTTCGGTGGGATTTGAGAGCTGACACTTGTACTTGGGGTTGTGCAGAGTAGTGAGGACTATTGTTATTTCCACTTGTCGTCAACACACGTCTCTCCCGACGGGACACCGCAGACCGTATTCGGGATCTCGTACGCTCTTTCCCTACATCCCACCTCTACTAAGGCTGAAGAGTGTTTAGTTGCAACCGCCAGATCCAGACGTCCCAGCTCACGAAGAAAGCCGCAGACGTCACCCGCAGCACGGTGCAGAAAGCGGTTGTCGTCCTCGCTTCCAAGCCCATATTCGGGCCCATACGGGACAAGCTAGGCGTTGTCACCCGGGCTTTTTTTAACCAACTGTGAGTGCGGTCGGGCCGGGAGCTTCGAGTTGAAGCGTGGGCTGAAATGGATCAGGGACTTTGGCCAGACGGAGATCTTGGTGGAGTTCTACAAGAGCTTGGAGGGGAACCTTACTGGCCAGCTAACGGAGAGCGCACTGTACATGGGGACGAGTCTGTGAGTCCGCTGTTCTACTCTCGGAGGAAGGCAGGTGCTTATCGTGGACAGGCGGGAGCTGGTCCACAAGTTCAGGCATAAGACGTTGGTCCTCCTCAAGATGCTTATGTTGCAGCGCAAGGTGCGTCCACATAGACTCGACTCTGGAAGTGAGAGCTAAGCATATGGGTATTTGTGCGGCAGATCATGTTCTTCGGCCAACCAGTAGAGACCCTCTGCACCTACCAATACTCGCTCGTCTCCCTCATCCCCGGCCTCCTGGACCACCTCGCCGACTGCGCGACTCCCTTCCACGACAGGCGAGAAAACGACCACGACCGGCCCTCCGAGCTGCGGACATCTGACCGGCTCTCCCTCCTCCGCTACCTCGGCCTACCCCTCAACGTCTTCGGGAAGAACGCTTTCTTCCAGCCTTACCTCCCTCTCCAGGAAGTGGACATGCTTCGCTCCGCATCGTCCTACCTCTGCGGGACGACGAACAACATCGTCACCCAGCAGCGAGATAGCAAGCCTGACCTGCTCATCAATATCGAGAGCATGGCCTTTGAGTTTGCGGACCAGAAGCTAGAGAGGAGCGTGCTCCTCACCCCGGCGGACAGGAAATGGATGGACGAGATCGTGCGGAGCGTGCAGGAGACGTGGGTGGAAGAGGACCCCAGCCGGCCGAGCGGGATGCAGTGCGTCCCTCTTGCCTCGCTCCTGATACACGCAGAGTGCTGATTGCTAACTGGTCAGGTTCCTGGGGAGCGACGACTTCCTTCGATCAAAGTTTGAGGACTATATCTGCTCGGCGCTGTCTGCGATCAAGTATGCAGACTTCCTCGCCAAGGGGGCCAAGAACGACGTGATGATTTCCGGTGCTCGTGAGTCCCTCTCCACAGTGCCAATGTGACAATGTGCTAATGCGGCTACTCGTGCTGTAGCAAGCCCTGCGGAGGTGACACAGCGGTTTGGGGAATCGTTCATCGCCGGGTTTAGGCAGACGAGGTGTGGTCAGCTCTGGGACCGTACGACCGATCCGGTGTTATTCGACATCTGCGAGCCGCGGTACGTCTGCCTTCAACTTCCTCTCATCCCATTTCCGTCCGAACTGAAATGATGACTCAGGCATCCGTGTGATACCACCCCCTCACTAGCGGCGGATATCGGCCTCCGGCTTACTGAGGGTTTACATGAGCTCAATCTCGAGGAACGGATGGCCCCTGCGCGGGAAGCGCTCAATACCGCCTGGACCTCGGGGCTCAAGGCGGCCGAAGGGCTGCAGGCAAATATAGCCGCTGGGCTGCAGTCACGATTTGGGTCTTCGGGGTCTGGGACTGACTTGCCTGCTGGGGGTCAGCAGACGCAACAGTCGCAGCAACAACAGCAGCAGCCACAACAGCAGGGGACACCTCGGCCCGGTACAGGGCTGAGGCAACTGAGCCTCGTGCGAGAAGGTCTGGCACCCGCTTTCCAGCAAGGGGCAAGCGTGGCAACGGAAGGCGCCAAAGGGGTAGCAGGTGTCGTAGGCGGGTGGGGGAGCTTCCTCGCTGGCAGGGTAGGCGCGTTCGCGGGGGGTGTACAAACGCCCACTACGCCGACTGCGCCCACCCCTGTTACTCCTGTTGCAGGGAAGCAGGGTGCGGCGAAAGGGTATTTCTGGGAAAGGAGGTCGACTGATGGACTGGCTGCTGGTTCCCCTGCGGGCGGGGGTACGGGCTTGCTGGGTGTGGGGGGAACTCCGAGCGGGCGGGCGAGTATGGATATGCCGAGGGAGATGAAGGAGGGAAGACCGTCTAGCGGAGAAGGAGCTAGTGTGAGCACGGGGAGCAGCTGGAGCTGGTTAAGCCGCGCGAGCTCGGGTAGCGGGACGAGCGTAGGAGGCTCGGAGAGCAAAGAGGAGACACTGGGTCTGCCTGTTGAGAAGGCCAGCTAACGGACATTGTGTTGGATGTGTAGAGTGCACGACGTCTGAGAAGAGCCAGCATATTGTCAGCAGTTATTGTCAGGCAGTGTTGTATACTACGAGAATATATCCCCTCTCGACGAGAGTAACACCTGAGCTTATTATAGCTGTAGTGCTATGGGCGTATGGTGGTTATCCAGAAATAAACCACCATAGTCATTCCAACAAACCACGAATTATGCCAACCAGCAGAGTCCAGTAATACCCCAACCTAGCTATGCATACAACATCCACCCTCCCAACAGAGAAATGCGCAAAAGCAAAGAAAAAAAAATGCTGAAAACGAGTGTAGTCCGAGTGTCTGAAGCAGAACATTTTTAGGCAGAGAATGTAAGAATAGAAATTGTCCGTTTCCGCTGATCGAGTAATGCAGCAAATCAAATCAGTCCACCCCTCTCAACCTCCACAAAGGCCAACAACTACCTCTTCTCCCTTAACATCCTCACCCTACTCCTGCTCCCCGCCGCTCCCTCAATCTGGTCATACCTCGGGGGCAGCTCCACTACCCCTCCCGCTGGCTGCCCGCTCCCTTCACCGGTAGGCGCCCGGCCCCCATCAAGATGCTGTACGATGGTCGGGCTCTCAGGCTGCGGATCTGAAAGGGAACGGTAGTGCCCCGTGCCGCTGATCACAGTAGCAGGATATGCGGACGTAGGGGAGACATAGGCGTCCGTGCCTGACGTAGGGGAGAGAGGGGAGCGCACGCTAAAGGCTACAGACCGACGGCGGTCCTCAGCTTGCTGGGCTAGGATAGAAGCTCGTTCGCGCTGCTTTGGTGTCATCTGCCCCGTCCCGGCAGCCCCGGCAGCGGCGACGCCCCCGAGCCCAGCAGCCCCTGCCAAGCCAGCAAGAGCAGCTTCGGTCTGCCGTCCCCAGTTCCCACTCGGGCCCCACGGTTCCTGTACGACTCCAGAGCTTGCCCCTCCCGCCGCGGGGTCATCAGAATACCTCGTATACCCCCCTCCTCCCCCTATCAGACTCTCTCGTTCCCCGGAAGCCTCAGTGTCCACCCTGCTCCCCAGACTTCCGGAGGCGCCCCGTATGTGGCCTTGTCTGGCAGCAGCTGCTGGGGGGACGCCTAGGGCTGGCGTTGCCGTGAGAGGTGAGGGGGGGATGTTTGCGTGTCCCTGTGTCGGTGTGTGCGGGGCACTATGCACCGAACCTTGCGGAGGTGGCCAGACGCCTTCTTCCCTAAAGATACTACCTGACGAGCTCGCTTCCCTCCTCGCTGCCGCTTGGGCAGGAACTGGCGGATAGGGATACGCTGTCCCCGGACCGGCAGGAGGGGGGATATGCGCCTGTTGAGTGTAGGGCGACGCCGGCACCAGAGGGGTCGCAGCAGCCATATAACTCCCCGTGCTCATGCTCCCCGAAGGCGAGTGGCTCACAGCGCTATTCAGCGTCGCCTCGTGACTCGGTGGCGCCAGTCCTCCGACCACGCCGTACTCGTAGGGTCCTGGAGTTGTCCTCCCCACCCCTGGACCAAGGTTCTGCTGGGTCATCTCCTCCTCATCCGTGTCGTACATCTCTCCTTCGAGCTGCATGTCCCGCCTGCGCCTGGTATAAGGCAGCGAGGCGAGCGCGGAGGCACGCCGCCGGATACGCCAGAAGATGAAGAGGAGGATGGCTAGCCCTGCTAGGGCACCGATGACGACGCCGACGATAGCGCCGGGGGAGGACATGGGGTTGTGTGCGGGCTCGGCGGGGCCGATGTTGAGCGTTGTCGGGATGGGGATCTACGGGGATATGAGCATGAGATGGGACAGGTGGTGGTGAGGGGACGCACAGTCGTACTCTGCCCATTTATCTCGGTGGTTACGAGCGTGTAGGTCTGCCAGTAGCTGCTTCCCCCCGAGACGGTTGCGCCTGTGGGGATGGAACTGAAGCTTGGGGTGGGCGTGACGAAGAGATTGTTACCGGTGCTGCCTGTGCTGCTGGACGTGCCGCTCGAGGACCCGGAAGAGGAGGTGGTGCTGCCAGAAGTTGTTGCTGATGAAGTGGAAATGGATGTTGTAGAGTCAGATGCGGTCGTGGTGGTCGTTGTTGTCGTGAGAGAAGAAGAAGACGTTGTGTCAGCTGCTGGCTTGCTCAGCCCGTCACAGGGTAAGAGAAGAGGGACTCACAGGTAGTGCTACTGTCGCTCGTAGAGGTGGTGGATGAGCTTGTAGGGGTGGAAGTGGTAGAAGTAGTGGTTGCCGTAGTGGTAGTGGTTGTGGAAGTAGTATCGGTAGAGGTTGTAGAATCAGTCGTGCTCGCCGTTGTATCCGATCTGCAAAAATGAGTACCCCTTGGACAAGGAGGAAAGAGGACGCACGAAGAGGACGAGCTGGTGGGGGTGGTCGTGTCCGTTGAGGTGTCGGTTAACTGCCGACCGGACGCGCCTCCCGAGGGCGAGAGAGGGTTGCTCGACGTGGGTGTTGTTGGGAGGGACATAGTTGAGGACGGCGACGAGGAGGAGGAGGGAGGGTCGGACGACGACGACGGGGGGGAAGGGGAGGAGAGGGAGGAGGAGGAGGAGGAGGAGGAAAGGGAAGGTGAGGCTGAAGTGGTGTCAGTCGATGTCAGGGCTTGGCTTGACGCAGAAGAATCGGAAATTGTCGACGAGGCGGGTGAGGTCGACGTCGACGCCAGTTTGTGATTATGTTATTGGTGATAATAACTCTTTATGATAGTCAAGAAAGTAAAAAGAGAAATTGAAATGTAGAAATGGCGAAATGGTGAACGTATGGAACTGTGATGGAGATGGGAAGAGGTGGGCAGAACAGGCGCTTGTTAGGCAGTGCCTATCTTGTCCATTGCACATGAGGCAGTCCCAGGTCAAGTCTACCGAGTCTGACGAGTCTTAATTTGCGCAAGAATCAACTAAATGAAATGGTCAATCAAAGTACAATGATGCAATGAGGTCCACATGAGGCAGAGCCTTCCATCCTTCCGTTCAACTCACCTTCTCCGGCTGTTGTAGGATGCGCTCGAACAATATTTGTATGGCCTTGTCCAGTTTTCCAATGAAGTAAATTGACTCACCCTGTAAATATTCAATAATTCCTGGTTATGTGATGAAGTGACTCCTCCGAAGAGAACGGACGACGCCTGTGTGCCGTCAGACCATCGGTGCGTCACGGGCGCTTGGCAACTCTATCACGACCCTGATGACCAAGTTTATGTTCTTCCTCTTTTCCCGGTCACCGCCTTTTGTTCCAAAATCAGAAAAGTACGTCGACTCGATAGCAGTACCACACGGACCAAAGGAAAAACAACACACGCCGGGAGGACGTACAACATTAATATTTTTACGCCGGAGCAACCGGTACCGCGTGAAATCTTCTCCGACAGACCGGAGTTTCCTTCTTCCTCGTGCATTTTCACGCCCAAGAATGCAAGTACTGCTGGCAACTGATTGGCGTCCCGCCGGGATATCCCGCTTGTTGTTGCTGACGAAGGGCGCAGCGAGTCTCTCTATCTGCGAGATGTGCACAATCCTCTGTCCTCATGCACAACCAGGTGGCACAGAGCGCAGAGCGTAAACACCTCCCATGAGCTAATCCGTTTTGCCCGTCCCACCACTTCTTGATCTTACGAGCACTGTCCCAACCTCCAGGACGCCGACCACCAAGCGCAACGGTTGTTCTCTGCCGACCCCGGTTCTCGGGTGCTCACTCGCCGGCTCGGCACTCGGTTCTCAGCTCTCGGCACTTGTCTCGGGCCGTTAGTGCTCGTGCTTGTCCAAGTGCCGACGGCCGGTTGTGCCCGGCTGAGCAGTTGTTGCTGATGCTGTTCAGGTGCTGGGCTCGTGCTCCGGGTATGAGGACTTGGGACGCACGATCCAAATGTTCAACTTGGGGTTACAATAATCCCACTTCCCAAACAGGAACATCAAATCATAAAATGCGAGTCTGCAACTCTTCCACTCTTCAGAGTCCGTCCAACCACTGCTTGATAAGCGCCAACAGCTCGCCCCTCTCCGGTTCCTGCCATCCAGTAGCAAGCAAATCATGCGTCACCCCGCCCGTCTCCTCATACCTGACCTGCACGTCCTTCCCCATCCTCTGAACAAACAACGTAATCGAATCCAGCGCCAACTCCCCACCACAGGAATGTACGAACGTCCTCGGCGCGCTCCTAGAGCCGGGGGAGCAGAGCGCGTCTTCCTCCCATTCCTGGACTGACAGCGTCCCCCGCAGAGAGTTGACGCTGTACTGGGAGAGGAAGACTGCTTGTAGCCCATCTGTTTGCGCGTTTCGTACCAGGGAAGAGCTCGGGCCCCAGGAAGAGAGCGTAAAGTCCATCGTTGGGCTTAACAAAAGCAGGCCCGCGGGCGAGGGGAGCGTCCCTGCCTCCCCCTGGTGGGAAAGATGTTGCGCCAAGGCGAACGCAAGGTGTCCGCCTGCTGAGTCACCACATACCAGGATCTGACCGGCGAAACCTAGCGAGCAGAGGTACGTATACGCCGCTAGAGCATCGATTAGCTGCGTAGGCCAGGGGTTGGCAGTCGTAGAGGGCGAGGAACGAGCAACGTGATACTCTGGGGCGAATACCCTTCCCCAGTCAAGGGATAGCAGTGCTTGGATGACACTGGTCGCCAGTGCGTCTGTGGCGGTTCCCATCTTCTTCGATGAGCAAGAGCAGGGGCAGGAAGGAGGGGAGGGACGTACGACATACCCCCCCGAATGGAGGTACAGCACCACCTTCTCTCCTTCACCTGCTCGCTGGCCCGCTAGACCATCTTCACCTCTCACGCCAAACCAGTATCCTCCGACAGGCTCTGGCTTCAGGCCGTTCCTCGCGGCTAGCTCTGCCAGCTCCCCCTCAAGCGCCCCAAGAGGGGGTATCAACACCCATCCCCTCTTGTCAGCATCAGCATCTTTAGGCCTCTTGCTCGGATCGACTATCATCGCCTCCAACCCGGTCGCGTACAGCGTCTCACAAAACACCCGAATAAGGGGTATCATCAGTGCCCTCGTATACGACCACCCAGAGCGGAGCGAGGGGAAGAGACATCGGATGCTGTGGTAGGGTAGGCGGAAGAGGAGGGTGTAGCTGACCGTAGAGGTGAGGTAGAGGAACTTCCAGGGCTGGAGGCGGTACTGGAAGGGAGTGAAGGTGCTTGGTGAGGAGGAGGAGAGGGAGGGCATTGTGGTCTTGACCAGGAGGAGATGGTGCGGATTTACGGATTTATAGCCAATTGGTGAGGATGTGTTGCCGTCATCTTGCTACTGTAACAACACGTGCAGTCCAACTCAGAAGCACAGATTTAGCCTCTCAAGAGAAGCCGGAGATCTCGTCGGTGATGCCTTTCCCAGCGGTTGTCGCGATAGCCAGGAGATATTTCCAGAAATAATGCAAGAAGGCACGGAAGACGGCGATCGTTCCTGGTGTGGGGAAGTCTTCTTTGTCCTTTCTGCGTGGGAGAAGCCGCCCTGAAGTGAGAGATCTCAGTGGGAAGTTGACACGGTGTTGATGTTCAGAGAAGACCCATGACAACCCAGATCATGATAGCACTTTATACACCTTGTCAACGATTACCCTTCAACCTCAGAGATATCGACACTCATTTCATACAACTCACAGCCGCATCACTGCCTCTCATACCCCTCCGGTTTATACTCTCTCTGCATCTTCAGCCCCTCCTTCTTCCACTCCCCCAGTCCCCTACCAGGCCAAATCAGCCCCTTCTTCTCCCACTCCCTCCAATACAGGTAATCATGCGCAACGACAACCATGACGTTGTCCTCTTTTTCCATCCGCCTCGTGCGGAGGATACTGTTCCACGCCTGTTGGGGGACGAGGTGCATCGTCCGTACCGTGTCGGGCTCGGAAGGGGGCCGGAAATCAGTGCTGATCGTGTGCTGCGAGCAAGGGCAGAGGAGTGCAGGGTGGTGCGCTGTGTCCCCGCCTAGGAGTATCCAGCTGTCTGGCCCAGAACTCGTCCGCACGAGAAGGGAAACATGGCCCATCGTATGCTGTCACCGCATCAGCCGTTCTGTCAACAACTGGACTGAGGAAGACCTACCCCGGCAGTTTGGACGACCCAGACGCTGCCATCCCCCAGCAGATCAAAGCACTTGTCGAACGAGCCCACTTTCTCCGTCTTATCCCTGTCAAAATCGATCGGACTTGTCTTCCTCCCTGCGGCTTCGATCTGCTCGACAAGGTCGCCTCTGAACCCACCTGTCTCTCCCCCACCCAGCGTCCCCGGTCCGCCGACAAGTGACGCCCTAGGGAAATGGGAGATGTTGCCCGTATGATCCCAGTGGAAATGACTGCGTCGTACGCGTATGTAAGCACACGCGACCTGTACCTCCAAGGCTTGCACACATACCTGAATACGATCGTATCCACACTCTCTGGGTCTACCCCTCCCTGCTTAAGCAGCTCCGCAGTCTCAGCGTGCGCGTCCGCAGCCCACATATCCCGGGCCATAAGCATCACCTCCCTCGGATAAGCCTCCTTCCAGTCCCTGCGCACCCCAAGATCATACATGATCCTCCTACCCGACGGCATGTGGGTGACAAGAAAGCAAAATGCGGGTACTCTGTACGCTGCGGTTGTCGAGGAATACGGGGTGAGCACGTATGCCTCGGGGATGGTGAGCGTGCTGTTCACTAGGGGGTGGACGGTGCATGACCCCCCGCTGGTGGGGAGGGGGAGGAAGGGAACGTCTATGTCGCTGAGGAGTGACATGGTCGTCGTTTGATGGAGAGATAGAGGGATTTTGCTGCATGCTGGCTGCCTGGAGTGGAGGGGTCATGCGGGTCATGTCACTGATGATTAGGATGGTATTTTGCCGCTGTCTGGGGAATGAACGTCCAGCATTCGCGTTGGGTAATGCAAAGACCTTTTCAGGAAATATTCGTAGGCCTTTGATGCCATGTAATACCATATCGTATCAGATTCGAATTGAAATTGTATGATATGTACGGTATGCTGCGGTAATACCCTCGTCAGTACTAGTACTAGTCATCATATTGTTGAAATCAGAATGGACGCCAATATCATCAACCCCGGAGCCGAGCGGATAAACACACCATTAATGAGCCTCGTTTTCGTTTTGACTGCACGCCGCAGCCAATCACTGTCTGTGTCTGTACGACCCTCCATTCCCTAGCGACGCATCTATACACTTTGAAGCAGATGAAACATGAGATAAACATAAGAAAACAAGAATTGTGAAAGGGGAAAGGACGGGGAGGGGAAGGGGAAGAGGAAGAGGTAGAAGGGAGAGGGAGTCCATTGACTTTTGTGAAAAAAGGCGTAAGGAACGTGGACCATTGGGAGACGTGACGGAGAGATTAGAGTTCGGATCACTTCGCAGCTGTTGCTGTTGCTGTCGGCGTTGTTGTTGCCTCGCTGCTGCTGCTGCTGTCGTTGTCGTGTCGTAGCAGCGGTGGCCCCCCCTGACCCCGCACCCAGCACCCCTCACCGCCTCCTATCCTCCTCCGGTATCATATCATAACTCGGCGGCACCTCTTCCCCCTGTACATGCTCCACAAACCTGCCTGCATCCCTATGCTGCATAACCGGTCCTTCCTCCACGTCCGTGTCCACGTCCATGCCCGTACCCTGACCTGGGTGGTTCCCAGTGTGGAGGAAATCTTCTTCCGACAAAGGGCGTGTGCGGGCTGAGACTGGAGATGTTGGTGGAGGAGAGGAGGAGTGCGAGTGCGCTGAGGGGGCGGAGGTTGGGGTTATGGATGTCCTACCCGGGGAGAAGGGGGACAGCCCTCCTGCTCCTGCTCCGGAGGCAGAGGCGTAGTAAGTTTGTTGCCCTTGGCCTTGACGAGCCGCGAGCGCCATCTGCCGCTCTTGTGCCGCTTCCCTCGCTTTGGAGTATCTTGCTCCTGTTCCTGTTCCTGTTCCTGCTCCTGCTCCTCCCAGTCCCGCAGCCGCAGCAAGCCCACCATACGCATACCCCTGCACATCAGGGTTCGCGACCGCGAACCTCCCTCCTTGGGCCTGCGGTGCCAGCCCACCGTACACCGCGCTAGGGGAAACTCCTTCCCCTTCAGCAGTGCGCGTGCTCTCGCTTCTCAGGTCTTGCGTCTCAGGGTAGCGGGATGCAGAGTCTGACGATCCGCTGCCTCCTTGACTTCTTGATTGGGACTGAGACTGACCAGAGAGGGCGGATGCTGTGAGTCCCCCTGCAGCAGAAGGGGGAGCATTATACGCCTGCCCCTGCAACCAAGGCGCGTACCCTCCTCCCGCGCCCACACCCGCCACGCCCGGGGTAGACGGGGTAACCCTCCCACTACTAACCTCTGACATCGGTCGCCCTCCCGGCCCATCATACCTCCACGGCCTAGCCGCCAAGCTCGGATCAATCACCGTCCCCCCCTGCCCTGCTTGCGCCGTAGGCGGAGCGTCTGCGTCCGGGTCCAGTCCCATCCCAGGGGTCTTCTGCGGCTTGTGCATCACCGTTCGGTCAGGATCGAACATCGTATCCGGATCCAAGGGCTCTGATGCACGCGAACGACGCATGAGGAAGAAGAGGATCAAGACGATGATTATCAGCCCTGCTACGCCACCCACGACGCCGCCCACTATGGGCCCGGTGTTGTTGTGCGAGCCCCCGCCGCCGCCGCCCGCGGTCTCCGTGGCGTATGGGTAGGAAGTGAGGACCGTGCGTAGCTGGCCGGAGGAATCGGTGTACACTGTTACGATCTCTGTGCTTGCTAGGATTAATATGTTTCCGGTGGCTGCGGCTGCTGTGGAAGAGACGGAGAGGGCTGAGATGGAGGATTCGGAGGCGAGGGATTGGAGTGATAGGGCTTGGGATGGTGGAAGGGAGGCGAGGGATTGGGAGAGCGCGGATGCTTGTGACTCGACGGAGAGGACGGAGACGGAGGAGAGGGAGGCGATTGATGCGAGGGAAGCGGAGGACTCGGAGGCGAGGGAAGCGGTGTCCGTTGGTGATGAAGGGGTTGTGGAGAGAGAGGAGAGAGAGCCCAGCGAGGCGGTCGATTCTACTGATTGGGTGGAGACGGATGATACAGATGCGATGGAGGATGTATCGGGTGGACTAGGGGTTGGCGTGCTGGTTGTGGTAGTTGTGTCTGGAGGGGGAGAGGTGGGTGGTGAAGGGGTAGACATGGCCGCTGATGATGAGAGGGTGGTGGATGAGGACGAGGATGAGGAGGATGAGGAGAGAGAAGAGGACGTGCCTGGGCTTGTTGTTGTTGTTGTTCCTCCTGGTGAATGTTAGCTCAGTGAGGGGCGGTAGAATGTAATAAGAATAGATGGTGGTGTGGAATGAATGTTGAAAAATTGATAAAATTCAAAGTAGAATGAGGAAGAACAAGGGACGGATAAACAAGAGAAGAGAGAGGGAGGGCGCTAACCGCGTCACACCTGTCCACCCGTCCACACACTGCCAGCCTCAATCCGGGAAGAACGGAGTATATAAATGAGAGACTCAAATCACACCATTCATTTATACCCTGAAATGGCCTTGGCCGAGGGGTTTGAGCATGGCCACATGTACGCCGCAGTGTCCATTCAAGCGAGTGAATAAGAGAAAGTGCTTACCAGTAGGGGTCGACATCCTTCACGTAGACAGTCCAAGAGAGGAATGCAAGTTGAATATTATACTTGATGTCGTGTTGCTTTGAATTACACTTGGGTTGATGATGCGCACTCCACTAATCAGGTAATGAACACACCGCCTCCCTTTATCCTTTCACACTCCTTACCGCGTGACACTTCTGGAGTAACTGACAGCTCCTCCTTACAGCGTGTGCTCCAGAGGGGGGAGTTCGTCCAAGTGGGCTGACAGAAGCCAATAACGAGTACAGAGAGGAGAGGAGAGAAGAGAGGGACAGTCCCTGCTCTTGCCCAGTCTTGCAAGTTTGTCTGGTGAAAATATTAATCCTTTGCGGCGGCGCCGAACACGAGGCCGAGAGGGTTGGCCCTATCAGCGATAGGCTTTGATGGCGGATTGGATGTGTCCGCTGCCCGCTGTCCAACGCTAATGTAGGATGGTAGAATGTGGAATGTGGAAGGGGATGCGTGCTGCGGACTCGTGTCCTTGTGGGGTGGATTGATAAACGTCGTCTTTGTTGCACGTAACTCACACTCAACTCCTCATCATGAACGTCCTGATCAACTCACGATCGCAGCAGTCGTCGTCGGTCGTCGTCGTCGTCGTCAACTCGTATACAACAATATTAATGCACAGCTACAGTAATGACCAGCCACTCAGTGCCTACATATCCACTCCCTGCGTGGCATGAATCAACGACCTCCGCTCGCGACCGGTCATATGTACCATATGCGTATGTGTACCGCAAACAACCGAGGGGGCGGGCACTTGGACTTGGACTTGTGAGACTGAGGCTGATGCTGATGATCTCCTGATGCTGCGCTTCCTCGAGCGCTTACTGCTCAAGCGAATTACTAATACCAGTACGATACTTGAGGTGGTCTAATGCTGCTAGCTGCTATGGGGGGGACTTTTCGGCACGTTCGGGTACAAGGCGCTTTCCTCCGAATCCCTCCTACAGAGTACTCCCGGACTGGTCCTAAACCCCGCTCGTTGTGGATCAGCTCGTTCAGTCCAGTCCAGGTCTGGACTCGACTCAACTCAGACTCCGACTCAGCAGTTGTACAGGTTATCAGTTGGCTGTGAGAGTCAGCATCAACGTCGGAGGAAGAGTGGTCTGATCTTGATCACTTGCTGAGATGGTTGCTGTGCTTGCTTGATAGTGATGGGGAGTGGATCGGTCTCGATCGGTCTTTGTCAACAGTCGATCCAGGGTTACTACACGTCACGATGTAATCCGACACTTATTTGGAGCTTCTCTTGGCCACAGGACGTTTGGGAGAAGAGTGATGCATTAGTGTACATCGCAGGAACGAGCGAAGGCGAGTACACGCAGTCTATCCTGCTGGACCGAGGTGCAGGGAGGGGGGACAATTGGACTGAATACGTCTTCTTGTTCCTTTCTCCACTCTATATAATCTGTTATTCAAAATTGTGTATTTCTATGGGGGCATATGATAGGTTAGTAGGATACCCATGTATACTATTTATGTGTTCTGTGAATAGGGTATTTCGGTCGATTGCTCCACAACTCCCACCAGTCATTTTACTGACTCAATTCACCATAGACATTCGATTGAACAAGTGACCGCAATACAAGACGCAAGCTGATCTTAGACACACTCAATCGATGAACGAGAACGACACGCATGCACCTTGCTTCTTTCCTCTTACCTAGATAAGGCCCCCACACGACCGACTCGGTGCTCTGTTGGCTATGCATTTACTCGTCTTCATCTTGCGAATCCTGGTGCTTTGTGAACCGGGATGACGCCGGGTTCTGCACTAGAGGATGGGAAGAGGCTCGAGTGAAGGTATTGCCCACAGCGTCTGCATCGGGATGCACTGCTGGTGCTGATAAACCCCCTCTGGAAATTAGGCCTGTCTTTCCTGGCACTCTAGCTGAAGGTCATGCGTTCTCTATATACCCTCCTGCTCTCCCTCGCCGCCCTCAGCGCTGCCGCGCTACAGCCCCGAGCCGGCTACGCATGCAAAGACCGTTCCGCCGCCCCTGGCTGGCACAACCTCGGCCCAGCGCGACCAGACCGTACGCTCACGCTCGAGATCGCGTTCAAGCATAACGATTTCGCCGGGTTGCATGAGCAGCTCCTGCTTCGCTCAGACCCGGAGAGTGGGATGTATGGCCGGCATATGAGCAAGGAGGAGGTGGAGGCGTTCCTTCGCCCTGGAGAGGAGACAAGGGATGCTGTACTTGGTTGGCTAGAAGAGTATGGGTTGGGGGAGGAGAGCGTCAGGTGGAGCCCTGCTGGTGATTGGGGTATGTCGACAGATGTTGGGAGAGCAGGGGCTGATGAGGGACAGCATTCGTTACTGTCATCGTGGAGAAGGCGAACCGGCTGCTCGATACGGAGTATTCGGTTTGGCACAAGGACGGGCATACGATCCTCCGCAGTGGAGCGTATTCCCTTCCGCATGAGCTGTTTGCTCAGTGCGTACAATATCTCCCATATAGGGCAGAGACTGACGGTCACTAGTATCGACACGATCCAGCCGACGACGGACTTTTCGATCATGCGCAAGCATGGGGCCTTGCCTATGTCGGACGAGGACGTGACTGCGATCGAATACAATGCGGCTGCCACGGAATGGGGGACGTGCAATACCACAGTGACGATCAAGTGTCTGCAGAAATTGTACAAGACCGAGGGGTACGTTCCTCGCGCGGTCGAAGTTAGTGAGTACTGTCACTTGCTCGAACGGAGAAGATACTGAATCAAATTCGGTTAGACCGCCTCGGCGTCGCTGCCTATCTTGGGGACGATGCCAACTTGGACGACCTAAACGAGTTCCTCTCCCTCCAGCGGCCCCAAGCCGTAGGTCACGCAAACTTCACCACCGTCCCCATCGCCAACGGTACCAACCCGCAAACAAACCTCTCCGGAACGACCGAGAGCGCGCTAGACATCCAGTTCACCACCGGCCTGACCTGGCCCACCAAGATCACGTTCTTCGAAACTGGAGGCACGCGCCCGCACTTGTATGACGCGGCGAACCAGACTGGCAACGCGAATTTCCTCAGCTGGTTGACGTATGTCTCTGCACTGCCGGATGAGGAGCTCCCCTCGACGTTCTCGACGTCGTATGGCTCGGAGGAAGTGACAGTGCCCATCGATTATGCTCAACGGGTGTGTGCCGGCCTGGCGGCGCTCACGGCACGCGGCGTATCCCTCATGTACAGCTCGGGAGACAGCGGTGTGGGATATGCCAGCGCGAACTTCTGTGTTAACCCCAATGAGTATGTGTAGTTTTGCTCTTGCCTGGATGCGCCTGATTGGGAAATAGCCTGTCGCAGAAGATGTTCCTCCCCAACTTCCCGGCTTCTTGTCCTTATGTCACCAGGTTCGTTGATTCGCCAGGTTGACTACCCAATGCTCACGTGAATTGCAGTGTCGGGGGAACCCAGAACATCCCCAACGAGGTCGCCGTCACACGTTGTACGGAATGTATCTTCCTTGTGCTGGACATGCTAATGAAACTGCAGTCGGTTCCGGAGGGGGCTTCTCTAATTTCTTCGCGCGCCCAGCCTACCAGGAGGCAGCCGTATCGAGGTACCTCTCCTGGCTTGGATCTGATCTCGAAGGATGGTACAACGCGTCCGGTATGTGCTCCCGCTGTTTCTCGTCATTGTCATTGATTCTAATCTCGATAAGGCCGCGGTTTCCCCGATGTTGCGGCTCAAGGCGATCGTTTCCAGATTGTTGCACCCGCTTACCGTAGGATCCTACTCCCTCCTTCCGGTCACTGCTAACAGCAGGAATCAGTCACTGTCAAGTCGTCCAATGGAACCAAGGTTGGTCTTGTCGGAGGTGGATCTATTCATAACCTCAATGTAAGAGTCTTCTAACTATTGGCATAAGGCACGAGTGCTTCTTCCCCGACGTTCGCGTCCGTCGTGGCCCTGCTGAATGATGTCCGGCGCTCGCAAGGCAAGCCCCCTCTCGGTTTCCTCAACCCCCTGTTGTACAGGCGTCTCTACCTCGGATTAAACGACATGTGAGCGACATGCTTAAGTGCCTTCATGTACCTGACGTTCTCCCAGAACCGTCGGCAGCTCCTTTGGCTGCAATACCACCGGATTCCCTGCCACTTATGGCTGGGATCCTGTGTACGTCCCATCCTCATGTTTGCGGAGCTCTTTATTCACACGTTGCCTATAGAACTGGTTTGGGAACTCCGGACTTTGAGAAGCTGGTAGCGCTGCTGGAATTCATTTAGAGTTGACGTCTAGTTTGGTTGGGGAATAAACGCCGTGTTCTATGCAGTCCCCGGGCCATCTGCTTGGGACCACGTGTGTACCCAGGAACTGCAATGGAATTATCACTCAGATGCCGTGCCATGATAACCATGCGCATAGCTCCTGTGAAACCATTGAGCAGTGCGAATCCACCTCCTTTACTTACCTGTGTAGCATGCGGCCGTTATTCTCTCATTCATCGCCATAGAGTTCCTATGTCAGGGGGGTTTATCCGCCGCAGAAGTATCATGTGCGGAGACCCAACGTCGTTCGAAGAGCTCCGCACAGCAAGGAGAACAAAGGTTACCACGTCATCATCTCAGGCTGTGCAGAATAAGCGCTGGGTGGCGGTGGCAGTGCTTTCCTTTGTTAAGCTGGTCCCGTTCAGGGCTGTCCCATCATATGGTCCCTCTAAGTGCCGTGCCGTTCCGCTAATCATCGGTTTCCCCTCCCTATGCAGCAGGTCAGTCCATACACAACACGGTCCCAGCTATCACATCCAGAAAGCATGGCCGTACAGCAGAATCAGCAAGTACAGCAGCAATTAGGCGTTGGCGCAAGTGGTGTCAACGCCCAGGCAAGAGAGAATCAGGTTATTCGGGAAGTATGGGCCAGCAACTTCGAGGCTGAGATGGCGTACATCCGAGAGCTGGTTGTCGGCTATCCGTACGTAGGAATGGTGCGTACTGTTGATGTACCGGCTGGATGCTTCATTTAATGACGATTTCTGTTACAGGATACCGAATTTCCCGGTGTCGTCGCAAGACCAATAGGCTCGTTCAAGACGTCCTCCGACTACCACTACCAGACGATGCGGTGTAATGTGGACTTGCTCAAGCTGATACAACTGGGCATCACATTAACCGACGAACACGGACGGCATCCTCCTGAATATTGGTCATGGCAATTCAACTTCCGCTTCGACCTCAAGTAGGATGATTTCCTAGCCGTCTGCTAGGAGAGCCCCGCTGATCTGAACCGTGATTAGCGAGGACATGTACGCGCCCGAGTCAATAGACCTTCTATCAAGTAGTGGACTCGATTTCGTGAGACATCAGGCAGAAGGGATTGAGCCGGATGAGTTTGCAGAGCTGTTCATCACCAGCGGGCTCGTTGCGAACGATGAGGTCTGCTGGGTCTCATTCCACAGGTGCGCTCCCTCCTCCGCATGTCTGATCTATCTGACACGCCTACAGTGGATACGATTTCGGCTACCTAATATCCGCCCTCACCTCGGCGCCATTACCCAAATACGAAGACGACTTCTTTCACCTACTCAGTATCCTCTTCCCCTCCTTCTACGACATCAAGTTCATCTGGCGGCACGTCAAGGCGGCCAAAGGTGGATTGCAGGACATTGCCGATGAGCTGGGGGTGCATTCCCACCTCTTGCCACCATAATTGCCCATTGACACAGAACAGATCCCTCGTATTGGCCCGCAGCATCAAGCTGGCTCAGACAGCCTCCTTACCTCAAGTGTATTCTTCAAGATCTGCGAGTTGTACTTCCCAGAGCAAATGAATGAATCTTACCGTGGTCATCTGTATGGGCTGGGCCCACAGAGCACACCAATGGAATCAACCCCGCCTTCGCAGCCAGCACCGAATCCGTACGCTATTGGCATGGGCATGGGACAGGGCGCGTACAACAACGTCCCAGGGATGCAGTACGGCTACCGATAGTGACCCGTGACAATGGCCCAGTGTCCCTCCGCAGCGCGGTATATACGTGGGGTCGGGGAGCGTGGAGTGTATGTGGTAGTTGCGCCTGCGAGCGGTGAGCGAAGCGGTCGCGATACTCAGGTATGCTTATGCGTGACGTCGGTATGATCAATGTTGTATCGTAATTGTATTGTCCTGGAATGCTCTGGAATCTCATTTATCAATCAATCAATTCATTTGAAAGCATCCATAAGTTGCCTATTCGTGGTGAGCTCTGCTCAATTATCGTAAGAAGTGATGTCTACTCTACAATGGTCACACAATATCGGGGTCCGTGGTGGTAATACAATGCATATTTACAAACGAAACGAGACAATGCCCAAAATCCAGTCGGGGCAGCTCATCTTCGGTCTGGAGGGGCTGGTAGCGGTCCATGGGGAGGAGGCGGCGGCGGGGGAACCTTCGGCAGCGGCCGACGTCCCGCAGGCTCCGGCTCCTCCTCTTCCAGTCGGTCCAGATGCGGAGCGACGGCTACCACCGGGGTGCGTCGTTTGGAAATGACGATCGGATTGGGGATCGTTAGCCGGGACAGCTGCGGACGACCAAACTGGGGAGGTATTTCGGGTACAGGTGGTATTGAAGTTCCGGGAAGAGGTGGAGGCCAACTGACCACCGGGGAAATGGCAATGACGGGCAAACGGGGAACCCCGCCGGGACCTTGGACAGGCGTCTCCAGCTGCTCGATGTAGCTCGACTTTGGCTCAATAGGCGTTATTGCTGGGAAGTTCATGGGCAGCGGTGTTGGGGGTACGCGGGAGACAGCTGAATCTGGGCCGTAGGCCAGGGATCGACCGTCCCATACTGACAGGGGCCCAGCTGAGAAGAGACCAGATGCGTTCGAAACCTGTCTCTGCATCGCCGACATAGGTTCTGCCTGTAGTTCAATGGGAACATTCGGGGTGGGGAGCGCGGATGATATGGTCGTCCCGAAGGATGAGAAGGATAGCGCCTTGGCAGAGTATGGTAACGCTGGGAGGGCGGAGGACTTGCGCTTGTTGGCCCAGTAGTTGAAGGAAGATGTGATTAGGATGACGCTTGTTCGGCCCATACGGGTCATACGTTTGGACTTCTCCAGCAGTCCTAGAGGTGTCTCCGTCGTCTTTGCCGGTGGAGGTGTCTTCGGCGTCTTTACCGCTGGAGGTGTCTTGGGAGGAATGGGGCGAGATATAGGGACGTTAGGCGGAATGTAACGTTTTCTACGACGGGACCATACGACAAATATCACCATGAGGACGGTGAGTCCTGTGATCACTGTTCAATATGAAGTTGATCAGAGCTGGTCAAATCAGAAGTCATGATGAAACGTACCGATCAGACAGATGATGACGACGCCCAGTGGGAAGAACCGTGTTCCCGGAACGAATAGATTAGTTATAGTATTTTGATTGGGTAACTCTACCCCTGCTAGCGAGGTTGAGGTTGGAGTTGCAGCGGATGCTCCAGGCGTCAAAGGCAAAACACGAGAGGGCGGTGAGGTCGGCGCAGGCCTGAAAGACGTGGAGCCAGGTAGTCCGGCGAAAACATCAGGGAATGCGGCTGTCACTTGTCGACGATCCAGTAATAAGTCGGCTTGCTGTAGGGGTAAAGCAAAACTAGTATGCAAGTAGAGCAGCACTGATATTAAGGAGGGGATGCACTCCATCGCGGCAGCGGGAACCGAGTTCCACGAACCACGAGAAGGAAAGAGGAGGGGAGGGGAGAGATTTGCCCCTCTTGGCTCTCTGGCGCAGGCTGCATATAACCCAGGCATTCAGAGTCCGGCGATGTATAGCCACGTGAAACATGAGCTGAGAGTTAGAGCAGGAGCAAGACGAAACGCGTGGCAGAGCCTTCATGAAATGATTGACGACTCACTCGGCGGAGGCGGGGATGTGCACTGGAGGAAGATCACTGCAGTACGTGTGTCATCCCATGTTGACGACGATGAAATTTATGAATGAAATTCCCTGGGAATAGGGGGATGGTCGAGATGGTCGCCGCACAGAAAGAACATGGCCTGAAACTTCCCATCTGGCGTGGCTGTCCTTTCTCAGGCCTTACTAATCACGTGACTTCACCGTGAAACCATCCGATCACCCCATTCGCTTGGAAACACAATATCCAGAAACAACTTGCGATTTTATAATACAAGATGCAGAGGGGTCATGAAGTCCCCGAACTACAAGATCCGCAGGTATCTTTCCTCCTCCGCCTTCCGTTATCCGCGTAACGGTAAACCCGCTCGCTGGTACACCATATCAATGGTAGTCATCTGGTCGATGCTATTTTGTCCCGAAACCCAAATGGCCACTTCCCTCCCTCGTATTTTGTCCACGAAGGCTTCAATCTGCCACCTATATGAGCTCCACCAATATTTTCCGTGTTGCGACCAAGCTGAATGGTTTTGGTAGAACTGCTTGTAGGTCCTCTTCCCAAACTTCTTGTCTGTGATCGCGATGTAGTGATACAAATGAGGCAGCGTGAAGCTAGGGTTTGGTCAGCTGCGGTCATAAACTATATGAAGCCAAGCCCACTTATAGAAATAGAGCGTGGCTCGCTCGGTCTCAATCTCGATGCTCGGCTGCTCCCACAGCCTCGGCACCAGGAACGCCAAATTCGGCCGGTCCATGTCAGCCACAATCTTGCTCTTCACCTTCCCTTGCGGAAGGTCGAACTCCAATTCCGCCTCCATGCAACTGTCTACTCGTGGATCCGACTTTGATAGTCGTGCTTCCGCGGAAACGACTGAGGATGGGGCACCTGCGGAGAGGAAGTAGCGGGTCGCAGAAATCGCGTAGGCTTGGTCCATCAGGGCCCCACCTGCAAGATCATAATTCCATCGGGGGTCACCTACATCCTTATCAGAACCAGTCGATACCGAGCAAGTTGTGCAACTCACCCTTTGGGACGGTCCCGGTCAGGGTAGTCGCCCACGCTTCTGTCCTCAGTATCTTTCCGTATGCACCAGACTCGAGCTCCATTTTGATCGCATATGCCGCAGGATGGAACATCCAATGATATCCCTCCAGGAGGACAAGTCCCTTCTCTTCCGCCTTTGCTACCAACTTTCCAGCCTGCTCCGCATTGGAGGTGATCGGGTTGTCGAGGAGGACGTGTTTACCTGCGTCGAGGGCTTTTGATGCCCATTCTACAAGTCATGTATATCAGCACCCGTCGTTAGGAAACATGCAAAACTATAGCGCACCATAATGCAGACCGTTGGGCAACGGGATATAAACCGCATCGATCGTCTCATCCGCGACCAGCTCTGCGTAACCATCGTACGCCCTGGCGATTCCCCGTCCATATGTTCTCACCAACTGCTCTGCATCCTTCTTTTCCGGACTTGCAAACCCGACTATGAAGCACTCATTGTGTGTCAATGCAGGGTCGATGAGTACGGCAGGGTCGATCATTGCTGTTGAGCCGAGCACGCCCCATCGTACTGTCATGGGTGATTTCTTCTGGAGGGGGATGACATGGCGCGAAGAATAGAGACATTGATGCAGAAAGGTGAAGATATATATGAGCTGTGCGATTGTGAGTTTTATGTGATGCAGTGACCAATAACGGACGGACCGTAGCCATATTGGGCAAACTCTGGAGATGGGGTCGAGGGTACGAGGAGCAATAGATGCACGCTCCGCTGTAAATATTTGTTCTCTGAAAATTCCAGGCTGAGGAGGTTTTATATATTAGAGTACTTGGGTGGTTAGCAAACCTTCGAGCAGAGTGAATTACGCCGTTGAAAGGAGGTGACACACATAGAAGTGAATATAATGACGCGTATACCCGTTCACATGAAAAGTACTTTTCATGTTCTCCGGCTATACCCGAGATAACGTGATCTGTTATTTGGATCACGTGTTGGACAAGAGAGATCTGCGACGTCGTACCGTTGGACACGCCGATACACTTTGCTTCCTGCTTTCATCCATCTGTCTGATATTGTTGGCATGCCCTCTCAGACTAGCAAACAAAAAGATACGGATTGGTCATTTACCTTCGGGGGCGGCGATTCTGATGGGGAGGACGACGAGCCCCTGCCTCCTCCTCAGCCCAGGCATTCATTCCCGAAGCTCAAAGGGAAGGCCAAGGCAACAGACGCGCCGTCGGCCTCCTCTGCACCCAAACAGTCTAATCCATGGGACGCGGCAAGGCAAGCTGCTCTGTTGAAGCGTAAAGAGGCGGAAGGGAGAGCACAGGCAAATTCTGAGTCTGGCGAACCACTGCCTAAGCAACCTCGAATTGAGCCTAAGAAGAAGAAAGAGCTGGGACCAATCGAACGCGGACTGAAACTGCAATGGGAACGCGCTGAGGCGGAAAAGAAAGTCGAGCATGAAACGCAGAAAGATGTTGTACCCTCGCCTGCGCCAGTCCGTTCATTGAAAGAGACCAAATCAACGCATATACCTGGCTCTTCTGAGCAAAGCGCAATCTATCCTTCGCCTGCACCTTCAGCGGCTGGAAGGCACTCGGAGATTCCTTCCATGCAAATGTCTGGCTCTCCCCAACACGGTGCTTCTCCGCATCCCCCTGGACCGGCGTCTGCTTGGGGGTATCCGTACCCGCCTATTCCTGGACCGCGAGACGGCATCTTCCCGTATCCTGCCCAGGGATCCAGCTCATCCCCTGCTCCTCCTGCTCTGCTTTATCCTGGTTATTACCCTGGTTATATGCACGCTCCTCCTGTACCTCCGAACTCTCCTTGGCAACACACACCACCTGCTCCTGCTACCCATCTTCTCCCGCCGTTCCGATCGTCTCCTCATGCTCCAATAGCCTCCGGAAGTTCGGGTCATAGCAGTCCTTTTACGCCTCCGATAGCCCCGTATATGCGCCCATCTCCTGATGCATATCGTCCAGCACTTCAGAGCCCATTGTCTCTTGAGTCTCCCCGCTCTCCTTATACCAGTCCGGGACTGGCAGGCCGCAGAGGATCGAGCGTCAATACTGTCCGTAATATCCTTAAGGATGCCCTACATTCTGCGTCATCCAGAGATACTGTCGAATCGCACCATGGAATGGTCGACCCAGAGGCAGCGTACCGAGCAAGCCTGAAACAAGATCAGGTACCGGGGGACCCACACGTACGCAATGCATCCCATGAATATCTACCTTGCGGAAGTTACTTACAGCTAACGCTGTAGGCACTGCTTAGCTCATTCGCTTATACGCCACAACCCAGTTCCTCATCAACTCCACCTCCTGAACGCAACCTCCGTTCCGCACAGACGTTTCCTCAATTTTCCAACCCCGTTGTCTCAGGTCAACGTTCCTCCCCCGTATCACCTGCTCGTCACCCACGTAAGGGGAAGTCAAGGTTCGCTACGCGACATGAGGATAGACCACGCAGCTCCGCCTTGTCGACTTCCTATTCTTCTCCTAGCGATGGCTCTTCTCGCCTCATACCTTCTTCTCATCCTTCTATGGGGAACTCAGACGAGACGTGGTCCACATTTGAGGAAAAGGCGAAACGTCCTGCTAAAGCGGTCTCTTCGGGCGCTTTTCTGATGCCAGACGTGTTTCATTCTGGGCCGAAGGTCAAAGTTGTCAAAGAAGTGGGCGACAAAACTATCAGGATTGGTTACCGGCCAAGTGGCAGAAAGCGGAAACTTGCTGAGGAAGAGGTCACACCACCTGATGAAGCAAAAGGGCCGGCATGGAAGGTTCACCTGCTGACTCCTAATGCGGCTCCTTTGGCGACTAAGATTGTGGCCTCCCTGCCCAAAGGGTTGACAGTGTCTTCAGATGTGAACGAGAGACTGAGTTCTCCGACTTGGCCGACCCAACGCTCCCATATGACTCCTCAGTCACGATATGACACCAACGAAGCGGCGCGGACAGACGTCAGGACAGCAGATGATCCCAGTTCCGAAACGTTGTACGACCCACATGGGTCTATTTCTAATAGGCACAGTAAGTCCGCCGACGCGGAAGATCCTCCCCACCGATCAGGATCCACGGCGCACATTTCCATGGATGACATTACACGGACATACCCCTCTACGCGGCAAGCGATTGCGGTGCGTCCCACCACAAGGTGAGCTGTGGGCGGCAGAGTGTCTGATACTTCGGAAGCAGCGGGAGGCCGAGTACGAGAAGCTTGTTGATACTCTTGGGCTTGACTCGGCTGGATTGGTCTGGCAGGATGATGAACCGGATGGAGGGAGGCGGTTCAAGACTGTGGGAAAGGGGTTGCCGAGGGAGTAAAGCGTCAACAGGCTTCTATGTGGCGACGGTGAGGAAGTGTACTGCTAGTCTGGAGATGACATTGATGTTTATGCTTGCGAGTGTTGTTGATGAAGTCGGCCTACCGTGGCTAACCATGCACTAATGCGTTCTTCAATGTGCGTTCAATGCCATTTTGTAAAGCGATGTCGGGAGAATAAAGTTTGAAAGAGACAGAGCTAGTTTCGGTTTGAGCGGAATCAAACGGAAGAAGCGCGTGAATGACAACTGAAGAGCACCACGCGTGCGACGCCTGTTCACCTTTGCCCCTCCTCGAGCTGGACAACGGCTTTACAACGTAGATAACAACGACCATCATCAACGACGACGACGACAACTTGTTTACTATTCATACTCTCGACGGCGACCATCAATTACTCGATAATGACAATCATCCGACTAGATCAATGACATCAACGTTTACCCACCCAAAGTCCTCCCACTCGTCACCATCCTCAACATCTGTGTCTACATCACATCGTTCAAGCTCGACTTCGGCAGTAAGACTCCTTGGATTACCCTCCCCGCCCGCTACCAACTCCGATACGAGTGCGGGGAGCACACGTGTAAGGCAGAAGGAGGTCGAGAGTATGAACAGACCCGGGATTGGGGGGGGCGAACGACGGCAGGGGAACGGATTTGCAGATCGGGAGAGGGGGATGGGACGAACAGAAGAAGAGGACGAAGAGGTGGAGGAACACACACCGAAAGCCGATGGGAGGGAGTGGATCGATGAGCGCGCACCGGTGTTGCAGAGAACGTTGAGTTTGAAGAGTCGTAGTGAGGACGTAAGTATCTACACCATCTCCCCTATCCTACGATGTGATTGAACCACGCCATTGACGAGAGTTAGGTTCTTGAACGCATGAAATCACTACGACTTTCACGATCTACCGCCCCTACACCCACTCCAGACGATGATGACGACGAGCCCCCAGTATCCGCACACACGCTCCTCCGCATGCGCTCCGCCACGTTTGGATCCTACGAAGAAGAGCCACCTGTGACGTTCACCCGGCGTACACCACAACGACCGCGACTCGATATGACTCTGGCCTCTTCTATCAGCGGGAGTGAAACTGAACGCGAACCTTCGGCTTTGCACAGGCGCATGAGCTCCACCGCCTCCGTCTCTTCCGTCACCGGAGCAGCATATGCGAATGGCATTATCCGGGCGGACGAAACAGACGAGACGATCCAAGCACGACACGCACATGCTTACACGGCACCGAGAAGAAGCCTGGAGATACCACCGCGCAGTGCCAGTGTGCTCGGTGTATCAGGGAGTGGCAGCAAAGCGGGAGGGATGGGCAGCGGTAGCGGGAGTACAGGAGGGGGCGAAAGCGGACTGGGGAGCGGGAGCGGTAGTGGTGGAGGAACGACTAGGGCCAGGATCAGCCCAAAGGTTAGAAAAGGGCTGCCGATCGAGTTTCGAAGCCCGGACGTAAGTGGACATGTGCATTCCACTGAGAATGCGCATAGTGACTACTTACAGACCCAATCGCCTGCTGAGCCTGCGACATATATACCACCGGTAATGTCACGCGGATCTTCTAACGCGTCCACCTCCTCGATCCTGCGTCGAAGAGAACGCGAGAATAGCATCACCTCCGACGCGTCATTCCGCTCTCCCTCGCGCACCGGTGACCGTGCAGCTGCGAGGCGGTCCATGGGCTCTGTCCCCCCCGTCATGAGCTCTTCGATGGTGGCGGACGACTCTCCTAGCTCACGAACAGTACTCATTCACGAGGACCGTTCCCCGGCGACGCGCACCACCTCTCTGCGCCGAGGACGCGGTGTTCCCACGCCTCTGACGACGCTGCGTGGGGAAGACGCCCTCACTGCCAGCGCGCTCAGCCCCCGCACACCTGGAGGAAACAGACCCCGTACCCTTGTCGGACACGAGCTTGCCGCAGCGGGCATCACCAGCCGACACCGAATGTCTGACCCGCCTGGGGAGGTCGCTGTTCCCCAGTATTCTCCCAGGAAGAGATACGACAGCGGTTCTACGCGCCAGCCATATACGCCTATGACGCGGGTGCCAGAACGAGAGAGGGAAAGAGCAACACCCGTGAGTGCGCCAAGGGCGCAGACGAGCATGTCTGGTAGTTGGAGAGATCGGGAGAGGCTCAGGGAGAGGGACGTACTTAGGACGGACCCTATTCCCAGCCGGGCGACCTTGCGCCCCTCGTTTGACCGAGAGCGGGAGCCTCAGCGCTCCCAGACAGCCGTAGGGATGCCCTACGACCGCCCTGCCAGTGTGGCGGACTGGCGCGCACCGACACCCGATCCCGAACGGCTTGCTGAACCTGAACATGTGCGCATTCTATGGGAGGCGCTGCAAACGTTTGGCACGAACTTGGGTAGGGTCGAGGGGAGCGATGATGGTTCTGGCATGGGGAGTGGGGAGAGTCGGACGAGCATCCGCGGGTTGGGAGCTGTTGTCGGGAGTGCGAGAAGCGCTGTGGAGGCTGTGGCTGGGGTTGGGGAGGCTGTGAGACTGGGAGTGGCGAGGGGGATGCAGAGGGTTGTACAGGCTGAGCTGGATGACGAGGATGAGAGAGCGGGGGAAGGGGAAGCAGAGAGGTGGAAGGACGAGCTCAGGCAGTGGCGAGCGGCTGGGAAGGAGGTGGACGAAGCTGTCCGCGCGTTGACGGGACTCATGCTCGGTGTTGGGAGAGTGCTGAGGGATGCTGGGTTGGGAGGAGAAGGTGGCCTCACGGCCCGGAGGAGTGTGGATGGGGCGGGCGTAAGAAGGTGGTCTGCAGTCGCTGAACAGGAGGGGTCGGGCACTAAACGAGAGCGCCGGGCACCGTTACCTTCCCTCCAAGCGCATGATACACCTCCACCTGGCTCGCGCCTCGCTCTCCGAAAACGGTCGACGATGGCCGTCCCCCCCACGACGGGACACTCGCATTCTCAGTCGCTCGATTCGGACCACAGTAGCCCACTCACATGGCACACTTCCCTTCGCATGCGGCAGGGACCTAGGGCTGAACTGCCAAGCTTACCGTCAGAGTCGAGCGCCTCACACATTGGGACCGTCAGGATGGAACGCAAAGCGAGCACGGCGTCCACCACATCCAATTCAACTCTTCGTGGAGCACCGTCTACACCTCCCGCAGACAGCGGAGGCGCAAGTCCGAGCGTTCAGCTCACCCCTGGAGGGTCGAGATCGCTCAAAGATCGCCTAACTAATTTCCCTGCGCTCTCCCATTCCCGTCCTACCACGTCCATCGATACCACTCCTGCCTCTGCGACTGCCCCATACACCTTCTCCGCCGCCAGCCTCACCCCACACATCGCTTCGCCTTCGCTGCCGCGCAGGCGGAGGGGGAGCATGAGAGACAGCCTGCAAGGGCTGTTCAACCACAGCCCTGGGAAGGCGAACGGGAACGAGGAGCGAGTGAGCAGGAGAGTGAGCATAGGGGGTGTCGACGACCTCGAGCTGGATCCTGATCCGGAGCTGGACCTCGACATGGATCAGGAGAGACGACTCAAGCGCGGCGGTCGGTACTTCAACGGCCAGCGATGAGATGATACCCTATACCTTTTTCTTCCTTTTAGTCTTTTCACGCATCGAGTTATTTGTCTCTTTGTTTTGGTTTCGGTTGTGGTTTGGTTTTGATCGGCTCTCCATGGTTTCCTGTAGCACTTTCCCCCAAGTCCGTCATTTCTCTGCATGTGTCGACTACTATACATAGGTTCTGTATGCAAATGCGATGGCCAGGATACGATACTGTCCATTGATGTGCATGTACCTGTTACATTGATCCAAGGTCTCGCCGGTGCTGGAATTTCGATATCGTGCTACTGATTACGGACCTACACGTCTTTATAGTGAGGACAGCGGGGTTGATAAAAAGAGTAATCAGCACCAAACGAAAAGCGAAAGGGATGGGATCAGTGTACCCGAAATACATGAACAGTGGAGTAACAAAAGAGGAACACCCTTCGTGTGGAACTCTTTCCCGCTGGTGAGGCGAGGGGGTAACGGGACGTGAATGCTTTTGTTTCAAATGATACAGAAAGTGAATGAAATGAGGTGATACAGCGTGGTAAGCATCGTGAATGTAGGTATGAATAGCAAGGTATTAGAATGCGAAACATCTGTAAATTAGAGAATATCCATGTGTTCCAGCTGCCGTGGGCGGGGACGACAACGTGCCCTGCGCAAATACAGGCATCAAGATCGTCGTTCGTAAGTATTCATCCTTTCCCGCTCCAGACGCTGCCTCTTCTTCGTCTCATATGCTTCTCGGATCGCATCCCTAATGGTAGGCATGGCTTTTACGATGTTCGCTCGTTGCGTCTCGGCGATTGTATGCACTTGTTCTGGCGTCCAAACCAGGTTGTACGAGTCGGCGAACGCTGCTGTCTGAAAGATACGTCAGTCGTGTTTCAACTCATCAAAGGAAGACATACCGAAGGATCGAATTCCGGATGAACCTTGTTTGGCAGGAGCGGCGCATACACCACCAGCATGCTTCTGTGACCCTGCGGCTGATCCCTATAGCGTATCTGTCCAGCGAAGAACTTAGTAACAGACGGCGACTCACTTGTCATTACAGAGAATCGTCCCTCTCCCAATACCCCCATCCGTGTAATACCACCCCTCCTTCGGCGGCGCGCCCGTATTGCCTACCCACATAGGCACCGCATCAAGTACCTGGGCATACCGGCCTTCGAACCTCTTCTCAACTTCTTCCGCAGTCAAAGTCGTCGGTCTTCCCCTCTCATCCCGCGGCACGCCGCCCAAACTTGGCAAGGGGTTCCGATCCCTCAGCTCCAGCCCTCGTCCGCGGCAGAAGTTGCGTAATCGCGCCATGGCAGTGTCCTCCTGCACATCGCTGGAAAAATCAATGTTGATAAGGACGTCAACCTCCCTGCCTGGGTGAAGAAATGGCTGCATCGGCATGTTGTTATCCAGCCCGGCGTCCATGAGCGCGATCCGGCCTGTCTTCTCGTTTCCCCCGAGTCGTGCTTTTCGAGGTACGAGAAAGAAAGGGTTGTGCACCTGGCCGGGGTGTAAAGGATGTTTGTTCCCAAAACGTTCTGCTTCGGCAGGTATACGGCGCATGATCCCTGCTGCAGCGCGCTTGAGCGAGCGCCCGACGATGCCCTCGGGAAGGTTGCGAGCAACAGTAGCAAGCTGATCGACGAGCGGTGCAGAAGGGGCCGACGTCGCTGGCCCAAGGAGGAGAGAAAGAGGGAGCTCGACCGCCCGCTCTAAAGAACGTCCATTCCTAAACCTCCTGCCGAAAGCCCAGCTTGGAACCCAGCCCTCCATCTCGTCACTCCCCACTTCGAGTGGGTTGACCTCCCACCATTGGTACCAGGCATGATGTACTTTTGCAGCGGATTCGATGTCTCTGCGCACGGGGTCGGAGCGGGCAAACCGTAGGAGATGGCGTAGGAGGCGTCGGGGTGTTGACGGGTCCCAGGGTATGACGTGCCGTACGCAAGTGAGAATGGGGAAGGGCTCGCAGCCATCCTTGACACCAGCGCGTTCCCAGACTGGGAAGGAGTCAATTTCATCTATTTCGAGAGTGGTCGAGGTGCACCTTTAGACCACTGCATCCATTCCTCCCTTAATCTCGGGCGTTCTCCCGTTTCGCAAGCGAGAGGCAACCACATCCACCCCGTGCTGCCAGTGCTCCAGAGGTCCATCAGAGCTAGTCTGAGTCCCTTGCGCACTTTGGCAGCAAGGGGTGCGAAGAGGAAGTCGGCCCCGTGTGGGGAGGAGAGGACAGTGCGCAGCGCGCGAGGGGAGAGGGGGTGCTGGGAACTGTTCTCTGCAAAATGGGATAGGAGCAGGTCGGCGTCCTGGTGGGCGAAGGTGAGGTATGCTGTCGACTCTTGAGCCAAGGCAGAAGAAATAGGAAAGAGAGAAGGTACACACCAGCAATCGTCCAGCACGCAGCGCTTACCCCAGCGACATAGCTGACCAGATCCCAGAATCCAAGCACCTTCGCTGCCTGGAAAGTAGCGATAAACCCCAGATGGGAGCGATATCCCCCTCCGCTGCCACCCAGGCCGACGATGGGGAGATCGTCTGGATTTATGGACTCCTCTTGGGGGAGGGAGAGGAAGGTCCTAAGTGCGTTAGTGTTGAGGATGCGTGTGCGACGGGCCGAGAGGTAGGAAACTTCGGAGGGGTGCAGGTCATTTGTCCTCCTACGCACATACCTCAATCAGCCCAACAACGGGTAGAAGGAGAAAGTGGGCAAACCGGAGAGTGGCATCCCATTCGAGTTCGGGATGCAGCTCAAGTCGCTGTGTAGAGAACTGTGTGTCGTCCGTTGCGAGCTGGAAGGCAGACACACGTCCTTGCACTTTCCGCAGGAGATGGTTTACTCGCTGTCCTGGAGATTTCCTCTTGTGCTGTAGGAAAGTGTAGTCATTACAGTCGTCGTCGTCCCTGGATGGCTCCTCGTTGTCGTTGATGTGCGTTGCTTGAGGAAGATGCTCGCCCGTTCCGCCTGGCAAGTCCCAGCCAAGCTTCTTGCCGTCTTTGACGTTGTTGTCATCGCATATCATCTCCTCGCCAGCCTGTCGCCCTTCATGCTCAAATAAATTCAAAAGTTAATCCAGATTTATCCCAGAGTTCTCTTTACGTTCCAGTTGACCGCAGAAGAAAAGTACAAGCTGGCATCCAATAATCAGCCTGATCGCAGTTGTGATGATGACCGTCTTGCCTTAAGGTCATGAGCTCAACGCCGCGGTGTCCCCAACCCATATTCCTGCGCCCTCGCCGTCTCAACGTTGCACCGCTCGCTGTCCTTCCTCACTGTTCGCTCTGTCGGTGTGTATAAGATCCTCATCAGCAACGGCTGTCATTCTATTGGTGCTCTTCTACTCCAACCATCAGGGACGCCCCAACGGTCAGCACATATCAGACCACGATCAACCTTATCAGAGGTAGCTCTCACATCCGCCGCCATCCAGCTTAGGCATCACTCTGCCATTCGCCGCCATCCATCAGGTAGATCGTGAGGTGCGCATCGTTGACCTCTGATGCGAGTTGTTGATTACTGACCGGGGGAGATCAGATCAGCAGGACATCTGTTGGGGCGGTCTTTGGTTGGATATATGCACCTCTAAAGCGTGCTTGCGCCGCTCTCAAGCAAGCTGAACGATGGACTCACTAGGTATGCCTGCTCATCGTCTGCCCTCCTACCGCTTGCTATCCTACTTAACTCTGGTATCAGAACCTATAACCCGCCGCGTCCCACTCGACATCTGGGCGCTCATCCTCTCCCTTCTCCCAGCACGTCAATGCTGGCCCCTACGGTATACCTGCCACGCCTGGCTCCTGCTGGTCGAAGAACACCTCACGCTTCTCTGGCTCAGACACGCATGTGTGGACGTCAAGCTCGCCCCCTATTTCCGGATATATGATGCGCATGTTGCTGGGATCGGGAGGGATCCGTGGCCCTTAAGGAGGACAAAAAGCCAGTGGACGGCGTTCGACCGCCCTGAGACTGGAGAGCTGGACGCAGGAGCTTGGGCGACATATCCCACAGCGCAGCAGCATGGGCATATGCACCATGGAGCGTGGAGTGGGACGAGCACTCCCACGCCGGGTGCAGGGCGGAGGGCGAACCTTACAAAAAGTCTTTGGCTGCATAAGGAGGTCACGTTCTCCCTTGCCCTTGGGGGAGAGGTCAGCCAACCAATGAAGCTGCGGCTCAAGATCCTGCCATCTAACTCTGATGCGGAGGAGCTTGGTGCCTGTCTCCAACACACTCCTGCTCGTGCACACGCTCAAGCGGGATTCCCATTCCACCACCAGGAGCCAGGTTCGAGAGAGGGCAGTCGGAGCCCAGAGCTAGGTGAAAGCAGGGATATGATGTTACTTTCTGCCAACGGGAGGAGGATTAGACTGGATTGGAGGAGGTTGATGGACAGGGCTTGCAGGCAGGGGAACTGGGGAGCACTGGTTCGCTGAAGGTGCTACAGTGGTGCGTGTACTGTCCGACTACATGCAATCTCGAGTCGGCGAGGAGACGTCGGACTCTGGTATTGGTACTTTACTTTCTGGCCTTAGAACGTCCATGGTCTGTTGTTCTACTATCTGTGTTCTTTGTTGTTGTTGTCCTCTCTCTAGTACCGACTGCGGTGCCTGTACCTCGCTTAGTTGTGATACCTTGATGGTCATACCGCACTGTACACTCTAATTCCATTCTGTAGCTTATGCAATACATTCGCATTTCCCTGTCATCACCCATCGCTCACATCTGCCTAAAAAAGTCTAATGTTTCTTAGCCTGATACTTCTCCCAGCCCTCTTCCCCCAGCCTGCTAACCTTGCCCATAACCTCCTGCTCCATATCCCGCATGTACTTTTCCATCTGCTGGAGCAGGCTGGGCATTGACGCACCGATGATGCGGATAGCTAGGAGTGCCGCGTTCGTCGAGTTGTTGATAGCGACCGTGGCGACGGGGACGCCTCGCTGTCGAACACACAGGAGTCAGCAACATTTCGACTGCCGCAGTGCAGGAAGGGAGAAAACAGGGGAGTTAGGAATGGAGGACTCACAGGCATCTGCACGATACTCCACATCGAGTCCACTCCATCTAGCGCGCTCCCTCGAACCGGCACACCCACCACCGGCAGCGCAGTCATCGCCGCCACCATTCCCGGAAGATGCGCGGCCCCTCCAGCGCCAGCGATGACGACCCTCAGCCCCCTGCTCGCCGCGCCCCTCGCATACTGGGTCATGCGCTCCGCCGTCCTGTGCGCACTGACGATCGTCAGTTCGTATGGGACCCCAAAGCTGTCCAGCACGTGGGCGGCAGGCAGCATGGTGGGCAGGTCTGAGTCGGAGCCCATTATTATCCCTACCAGTGGGTGGGGGGAGGAGAATCCCGGAGTCTGGGGAGGAGGGGCATACTGCGTGTTCTTGGGGTCTGGGAGGAGGGCAGCGAGGAGAGGCCGAAGGCGGGAACGGACTTCGGCGTCAGAGGACCCGACGACAGTTATGTGCCCCATTTTACGGCCTTTGCGGGACTCGGCTTTCCCATACAGATGAACGGTCGCACCTGGGACTGTGAGTGCTGTACTGACCAGCTGGGAGATAGGGCTGAAGGAAGATGAGAAGCCGAGGATGTTGAGCATCGCTGCGCTAGGGACTTTCATGCCTGTCGAGCCCAGCGGAAGTCCGAGAATGGCAAGCAAGTGGTTCGTATATTGCGAGGTATTGCACGCCTCGATCGTGTAGTGGCCGCTGTTGTGTGGTCGCGGGGCGATCTCGTTCACCAGTATGGAGCCTGTTCACCCGTAGAGATACATTTCTCAGTTCAAGAAAGTTATGGGGAGAACGAAGACGCACCATCTGGCATCAAGAACATCTCTACTCCAAACACTCCAGCACCCTCAAACGTCCGTACCGCGTCCTCAGCGACCTTCCTCGCTCTCTCCTCTACAGCCGGATCGTCGCTCCTGAGCGGGGCGAATACCAGGTGGCATACGCTCTCCTTGTGCACCGTCTCGACCGCCGGGTAGCTCACGACTTCCCCCGTAAGGGAGCGTACGACCATCACTGCTATCTCTTTCTTGAAGGCAGCCCAGCGTTCGGCGTACGATGGGCGATCTTTCAGCGCCTGCAGGGCCTGCCCAGCCTGGGAGATGTCGCTGACGACGAAGTTCCCCCTTCCGTCGTACGCCCCTGTCCGACTCTTGAGCATTAGAGGCATCCCCCACTTCTTGCATTGCTCCTCGATGGCCGCTGCATTACTAGCGACCGCCTCGCTCTCGGCTACAGGCACGCCGTGCTTAACAAGGTGCACCTTCTGGAGATACTTGTCTTGGATCGTCCGGATAGTGCTAGGCCGTGGTTGGACGAGTACCCCTGTCTCCCGCTCGGCGGACTCGAGAGCAGCAACGTTCACGTGCTCTATCTCTACGGTGAGGACATCGACGCGTCGCGCAAGCTCGAGAATCTTTTCCGGGTCGGAGAAGGAGCCGTCGATATGTCCCTCTCCGTGCGACTCTGTTGGGGTTGTATTGGCATCGAGGATATTCGAGGATGTTAATGGATTGATGTTTGAAGGTGCGGGGTGAATGACATGCTTTGCTGGAGAGTGGCCAACATCCAAGATTGTTATAGGGATCGTGAGAAGAGATGCAGACTGGGCTAACATGCGACCCAATTGACCACCACCTATCATATATAAGCTCATGTTACACGTTAATTTAATAGAACTTACCCAGTACACCGACTCTTTTATACTCCATATTGTATTGTATTGTATTGTATTGCGTTGACTGCAGTACAACAGAACAGTTATTATAAGCGCTCGTCAAAGGTCGAGGAGGTCAGGGTCAACTTTTCGCACAGCCACTTACGCCCGCGTCACGTTGTCTCGCCTCCAAGCTCTGACTCCTCACCTTGCTGTCCTGCTCTTCTCCACCTCATCACCCCCTTGCTGCCCTGCTCTCCTTCCTCTCCTCACCCCAGGCAGAGGGAAAAGGCATCCAATGCCGTCCTCGAAGAAAAGAAAGTCGTTCTATTCTAATGGGGGCTCTACTCTTCACTCCTACTTCGCCAACGGGAACAGCATTGCAATATCAGGGGCACAGTCATCTCCAAGCAAGACGTGGAAGAAACCCAAGCTCGAGCGGTCGCCTTCGGTCCCCGCGCCAGAGGGGAAGGAGAACCTACATAGAGGAAGTTGGGCCAAAGGGACGAGGGAACAGCCTATTGACCTCCTTGATGATGAGGAAGAGGAAGTTGTCAAGGCTGTGTTCGACGAAGTGTTGGTCAAGGAGGATATCCCTATCAAGAAGGAACCTGATAGTCTGAAGGTCGTCGTTGAGCTGATCGACTGCGATGCTGAGGATGTCACTCCCGATATTTTACCAGAGCGGACTTGGGACGATCAGATCCCACAGGCGGAATGCACGCCTCCTCCGATACTGGATCCAGACCCTCCCACAACAAGCGGGGAGGAGAAGCTCATCTCCCCGGCATCTCCCGAGGGAGATACCGAGGAGATCATCTTTGGAGAGGATGAATGGGAGATGGGAGACGATGAGCTTGTCCCCGACGAGGGAGGAGTGGAGTTTGAAGGGGATGACGATGTGGAAGAAATTGGGGATTTCGAGCAGGATGCTGCGGATGTGGATTCTGAAAGCCAAGACGGTGCAGCTGCCAGAACTTCTGGGTGTCCAATATGTGGAGCAATCATAGAGGATTTGGCCAAGCTGGTGTGTGGACCCTTTGCAATGGGTTTCCTTGGCCAGGACCTGACCAAAACATACAGCAACTGCACGTCAACGCATGCCTCGACACCCCTCCAGTGGCCTCGTCCTCATTCCCTCCAGCACCAAAAACACGATATCAACCGAAACAAAAACCAATATCCGCACGCTCACCATCGCCCCTCAAGCCCCTCCCCATCGACCCGTCCTACACCCTCCCATCTCCGTCTTCCACCCTCGCCCCTCCTCCTCGGGGCAATCCAAGCGCTTTCTCCGTCCTCATGTCCCAGAACAAAGACCACCTCGCTTGGGCTGCTGCGGAGCAGCATGAAGTACGTGGCCCACGGTCTGGGGCAGGAAGGAGGAAAGCCCCCTTTTATAAGGTCATGCAGGGGATGCCTATCGCCGTGGATGCCTTTAGATATGGGAAGATACCCGGTGTGACGGCATATTGCTTAACGTGAGTCTGATTCCTTACAACCCCTTCGTGCGAGAGATGGAGTACTGATGAATTGTTTGGATACGAACAGTCACGCCCACTCAGACCACTACACCAACCTCTCAAGCAGCTGGAAACATGGCCCTATCTACTGCTCATCCACCACCGCAAACCTCATCAAGCTCAATCTTTCCGTTGCTCCCGAATACGTCCACCCCCTACCACTCAACACGCCCACTACATTACCCAACACAGGTGGGGTGCAAGTAATATTGCTTGAAGCGAATCATTGCCCGGGTTCAGTCTTGTTCCTCTTCATCGGTCGGCAGACCGTGAACGCTGGTGACTCGCCGATCTCCTCGCCCTTCGTCGGCTCGCAGCGTACGTTCAGATACCTCCACTGTGGAGACTTCCGCGCCTGTCCCGCACATGCCCTACACCCTGAGATCAAGGGGAAAAAACTGGACCTCGTCTACCTGGATACGACATACCTAAACCCCAGGTATTGTTTCCCTCCTCAAAGACAGGTGGTGGATGCCTGCGCGAGTTTGGCGAAACGGATGGTGCTAGGGACGGAAGAGGAGAAAGAAGACAAACCCAAGGGAGTGACTCAGAGTGTTCTCCGAGGATGGTTCAAGGCGGAGCCTAAGGAAGAGGCCGTGGAGCCTGGTCTGGAGATCGAGGAGGAACTCGCACTCGACCCAGAAGAAGAACTGGACGTGACGTTTAATGGGGACCTTCCACCTCCTCTCCCTCCGCCTCCAAAGCCTCTTCCAGCTCCCCACCCTACCTCCGCTGCAGAAGAGAGCAAGCCCAGCACCCCAGGCAAAACACTAGTGGCTATTGGCACTTACTCCATTGGAAAAGAGCGTATTGTCAAAGCAATCGCGCTCGCCCTCGGCTCGAAGATCTACTGCGACGCCCGTAAGCGAGGTCTCCTCTTAGCGCAAGACGACCCGGAGCTGCATTCCTTGCTCACCACCGACCCGTATTCCTGCCAGGTACATCTGCTGCCTCTGCAGAGCATCACAGTGGACCGCATGCAGGACTACCTGGAGCAATTCAAAGGGCTCTTTGACCGGGTCCTGGGCTTCCGCCCAACAGGGTGGACGTACGTCCCCCCAGCAGGGATGGACGTCATGCCCGACGTGTCGCGCGTGATCGTGCGCGACCAGAAGCGGGTGTTTGACGAGACTGCCCTCAAGCCCACGCGTGCCGCTAGCCAGAAGTACATGCTCTATGGCGTGCCGTACTCTGAGCACAGCAGTTTCTTTGAGTTGACGTGTTTCGCTCTGAGTGTCGATGTTGGCAAGATCATTGCCACCGTGAACGTGCACTCTGCCAGTAGCAGGGGCAAGATGCAGAAGTGGTTTGAGAAATGGGACGTAGAGAGGAAGCGGAGGAGGAATGCCGGTCACGAAGTGGTCCAGTATCGCACGGTGGACTATTGGTGATTGAACTGCTGTGGACGGAAGATAAGTTGATATGTACTGTAGTGGGGTAGGCATTGGATTGTATCATGATTACATTGAAACTGTATACTGTACTGATCTACTGAGCTGTGATTACAACGGCTTTTCTGCTTAAATCCCCCTTTACTGAACTACTCCCACGCACAGCTGTGGCTTACTGTTCTGATCCAGTTGTCAGACAAACAGCACACTCCTAGTTTGATAACACATGCCAAGATGGCTCCACCTCCGTTTGATGGACACAGTCATTAATAGGCACATCTGTGGCATCATCAGGTCATACTTCATCCTGCTGAAACTTTTTGCATTGGTGCGGCTTGGACGTGTCCAGACAACGGTATGCGGACCTTGAATTGTCTGTTGATGGGTTTCATCTAGTTGATGTTTCGTTATTCTTAGAATCTGTTTGTATGAGGAAATTCCAATCCGCTTTCTACATGGGAACTGAACAGACCTGGGCATTTTCGCTGTCGACAATCAGGAACAGTAGCCCAGAAGCAGGGAGAAGCAAACAACAAACGCTTCCGGCCGCAATTGTCACTGCAGAATTCGTTTCACACTCCGCCTGGCACGAGCTAATCAGTGTCAACGTTTACCCCGGCGAGTTCGGCACCATCATCCCAAGTCTGCTATGAATAACGCATTATTTGTTATTTTCGCATTGTTGCGCTTCTCATTCCAGGACAATAGCGGCGGCGGCTCGAGGAGGACAGGGTGTTATCGCACACATCTTTTCCTATCTCCGCCTGGCCGATTGCACGGCACCCAGGGCTTCGCCCGGTATGGGGTGCTTCTCCTATCTCGGGCACGGCTGTAAGCGGACCGGAAGATTGCAAAAATACGCGCTCGATGCCGTTCTTCTGCTTTCTGGTGGGCCCGGGGGTCCAACCGCCCGAGACATTCCCTATTTCGGGACGTGTGATAACATATAAGTTCGGCATACCCCGCTGTGCTGCGTGTCCCGAGGCATGCCCTCCAAATAAGGAAGGAGGGTGACGCATCTTTGTCGGACCCACTGCCTTGCTGTCCTCCACCATCTTAACCTTGGAAGTTCCCTGTAGACGCCAGCAAAGCCGAGCTGGCGAATAGAGCAGACCTCACCCAAGAGGACGGAATTGTTCCGCGCGCGCGTTTCCGGAAAAGCGCGTCCAGATGTGTGTCTCATCACGCTCGTGAAACGACTCACATGTCCGATCACGGAGAGCTCACTACCCACTCCAGAACCTTCCCTCCGCTCGTTCGAGGCGTGTGATGCAAAGCATGATCCACCCACGCGGATCAGCGCGGGTTTGCGAAGTGCGCAGAATACGGAGGGAGGATGTTGCGGCAGGCTAGGGGCGCCCGCGAGACTTGGAGATTTCTTCAGAGTGTGCACGGGTAGGTGGGCCCATGTTTGTACAGGTGCGTGATTGGCGATGATAGACTTGAATGGAGCCTCGCGGGGTTGCATAGGGCGCAAATCATTGTCGAGTCTTGGTTTGGTGGGAGAGGGATGTCAGGTGTTCTGCCTCGTGCCAAGTCATGAGGAAGCTCTGCACTGCGTTTTTGGAGCTTATCTATCACCGAGTTACGAGAGGGCTGATCCTTCCGGGCAGACCTCGGCGGCATCACGGCGCTCTTACTCAGAGGAAGGAGAGAAGAATACCGAATTTGGCAAGCGCAGGCCGGGGAGAACAAGGACCGGTGAGTGAGCCAACAGATTGTAGGGGTGTGTGAGAAGGATGAACAAGGTGCAACTTCTAGGTCCGCAACTAGGGGAGAAACGTGCGCCGACCAGAATGAGGAAGCATCGAGAGGAAGTGGTGTGCTGGCAGGGGTCCACACCCCCTTTATTTGGCCGAGGGCGGCCCGTTCGGGGGGAACAATGCTGGAAAAGGAAGGTGAAGTGGCATGGATGGAAAGTTCGAAGGGATGGGCCCCGCTCTGCTATCGGCAGACGGTGGTTCGAACTGTAGAAGGGATCAGAGGATGACACCTGATCGCCTTATATGCAAAACACTTTCCCGTTCGGACGGTGATGGGGCAAGAATGATGCAGAACACCATGTACCGTCTGGAAGGCAAAGATCAATGGGACAATCAATGATGATGCAACGGGACAGATCGGAGTATTATCGAGGATATGGAACCCGAGGGAAGAGAGGGAGTTAATGCCGTATTCGGCAAGGATATCATTGGTGCATCGCATTCACAGGAATCCGAGGAATGCGGCACTCTCGCATGACAATTTTCGGCGCAGAATAGTTTCATTGTGCGACTGATAACTGCGCAGGTATAGGAGGACCCCCTGCATAGGTGTTTTCCGAGCAGGCGGAATGAAAAAAGGGTCGGAAAGTGCAACGACAACTGAGTTGCAATGAGTAAATGCCTCTGAGACAGCAGGGTGCAAGCGTAATTGACATAAAGGGCAAACCGATCGCCGAAAACGGAAGGTTTCTCTTCATCGCGCGCGTTGTCTGACCATCTGTGTGCGCATTACCGGCTGACCGAGCGCGCGGTGAGATCGCCCGTGGGTTCTAAATGCCTCCGCTTGGCTCCCGCAGGCGTTATCATGTGCAACAATAGGCCGTGTGACCTTGTCGCTGAGCGTGGGGCGGTCTGAGGTTGCCGCCGTCGTCGGTGTTTGGAGACAGGTCCGTGCGCCGGGCGGAACTTGGGTCCAGACACCCGGGTCTGTGGGTACCGAATAAGGCTAGACGAAATGTCGTGGGAGAAAGGGTTGCCTTGTGCGGGTGGGAAGACAGCGAAGGTGGAAAGGGTGGTTCGACTCGATTGTCAAGGTACGGGGAGAATAGGGGGACAAATACGGTAAGATGACGAACGTATTTGGACATGGGGCGTTCAAGGTGTTCTCGTGGGGGGGAGGGGCTACCGGCGGTCAGAGAGACAGGGGGAGGAGCCAAATATTATGACGTCGCGGCTGACTGACGGGATATATGGCCAGGCCCCCATCTGTTGCAAGTGGCGTTTTGTGATGGGCGCAAACCTTCGGCACGAGTGCGGGATCAGCTTATGTCCGCAATTCAGCCTCCGTTCCGCTGTTTGGAGCGGGATTCTGGCTTTACAACACCAGTCCCATCTCCTCATTGTGAGCTTGTAAGGGCGCTGTTGCTGTAGGGGGTCGCCACATATTGCGACGTATCAGAGACATGTCAAAGGGCGCATACATTTCGTGTTTTCCCGGTCAAGTTCACGTCTCACTCAGCAAAGCAACCCCTGTCCGTCTCGCGGCTCACACACCCACCTCGCACCCACTTCCGCCCAAAGTGGAGGTCGGTATTTCCTTATAAGGCCTGATGACGTCCTTTTTCACGAGAACAACGTCTTACTCGTTCCCCCTTGTGCCTCTCTCAGAAAGGAAGGTGCATCAGCCGCACGAATCGTCTCTCATACCGTTCTCCCACTCCTCCCATTTCTATTCTCAAATCTCGTTCCCCGACCTCTGTGCGCGTGCAGCAGTAGATTAGGTTGTCGTAATCGTTGTAGAGAGTGAGGGACCCCTGTATCTCCTATCGGGTGTTCTGTGTCCGCTGACGCGATCTTTTACCCGATATAGACAAGAGCATCAAACATTGTTCGTGGGTTCGCGACTTCGTTGCCCGTGTTCGCATCACACTGCCCGTCCGCGTCCCGCCGCAGAGTCTGCCCCTGAGCCTTGCAACCGCGAATCGTGCTTTGTCCTATTTCAACCTGCCCCTTGCCCACAAACCGGCCTCAGTCCATTCCTGGCATCCCGCTGTCACATCCCCTTCCCCCCTTACAAGGCTCCCTCCCCCTTCCCTCCCAACACCTCCCATAAACAGCCAACTATCGAAAACCACACGTGGTCTCCGTGCCTCCCTCATCCATAACAACTCTACTCCATTATATCGCCTCACGCCGTACGAGCAGCAACCTGCCGCACTCGGTATCCCTATCAGCTCACCGGTCCACATTAGCGACAGCGGCAATCGCCCATAAGAGGCTAAACCAGCCCCTGTCTACCCTGCTCCAGAAGGCACAGCATTACGATCGCGGCTGTGGTGATTGTCGACCAGTATTGGTTGCTTCTCTCGCTCCCACCCGTCTCGAGCATTCACTTTCCTGTCCGACATCGCCCTTCTTCCCGCGTGATATTCGTAGCGCCATCATCATCATCCACAACCGCCTCCGCCCACGCGCGTCAAATTGCCCTTTAAAGTCCCCGCGCCCTCCCATACACGGTTGACAAACAGGGTTGTGCTCGTGTCCCCTCACTGCCCACTTGGCCCCGGCCCGTCTACACTAACCTCCTCCCTCCAAACAAGGGTGAACGCCGAACGCTTTGCAGGTGAATATCGGCAACCCATTGTTATTCAACAATCAACGATTAACACCATCATCCACCCACCCACATCTACTCCCGCTCTCCCATCTCCCGATCGCACATATCCCCTATTCAGCGTCCACTATCCTTTCGCCCAATTCACTCTCAATCCTTCTTCCGCATCGTCTATCACCGTTACACGTGTAACACCTGACGCCACATAAACTCGATCATCACATCCCCCTCCTGTCTCACCCCAACACTCCCATATATCGACATACTCCTCTGCCTCCGCTCTAACAATGTCTCAGTCTTCTCCCATACAGACCCACGCCTTCCCCCCCGGCGTCCAGCTCTCCCCTCGTGGCTCCAAGCGCACTCGTTCCGACTCCAACGCTCAGCCTCCCAACAACGGCGCTCTCGGCGGTGACAACTCGGTCTTCCAGCATGAGGTCCCCGACGACGACGGCGTGGATGATGATGACGACGAGGACGAAAGCCCCGCCCGGACTAAGAAGGCCGGCCGCAGGAAGATAAAGATCGAGTTCATTACTGACAAGAGCAGAAGGCACATCACCTTCAGCAAGAGGAAGGCCGGTATCATGAAGAAGGTGCGTATTAGACGCGTATATGCGCGTGTCTGAGGCAGCAAACTGACTATATGCGCATATATGCAGGCTTACGAGCTTTCCACCCTCACTGGCACTCAGGTTCTGCTGCTCGTCGTGTCCGAGACCGGTCTCGTGTACACTTTCACCACGGCCAAGCTGCAGCCCCTCGTCACCCAGCCCGAGGGGAAGAACCTCATTCAGGCATGCCTGAATGCGCCTAACGGTGCGCCTCCCCAGGCACCTGGCGCGCCCACCAGTAACGGGAACGACTCGGACGGCACGCCCACAATACAGAACCGCAAGCCTCCCGCTGGGATCGGCTTGGGAGACGGATCCAATGGCGGTGCCTCCGGCTCAGGTCCATCGATTGTGATGGCGGGTGCGCCAGACCTTGATCTAATGAACGGCGGAGGCTTAGACTCGCCCCCAGATTCTCGTCCCGGCAAGATACGCAAGTTGACCAATGAGGCACCTGCCTCATCCGGCGGCGAGAACACCATCACCACGTCGCCTCGTTCACCAACGGCCTCGCGTCCCGCCAACCCAGCGGCTAGTGCGTACAACATGTACGCTACTGGCTATCCAGGCGCGCCTCCTCAATCTGCAGGCTCGGGCAGCCAGGCGACCCCGCCAACGAGTGCGACGAGCGCGCAGCCACCCTTGGGTCTCGCGGGTGGCATGGGCGCCTATCCGTACAACACCTCCCCGACGACCATGTACAACCCCTACCCAACTGGGATGTACGGCGCCCCGCAAGGTGCTGCCCCCCCAGGACCTGCGCCTATGGCTTCTGCCCCCAGGTCGGCCGGGAGGCAGAACACTGCTGGCAGTGTGGGTGGCGTGGGAACCACGGGCAGCTTGAGTGGATGGAACTCGACCGCTGGTCAGACCAGGCGATGAAGCGCGGCAATATGCTGAGCGTTTGCCGTTCTTTTGGTGTTTATGTGGGTCTCGGCTGTGCTCTTTCTCTCCTTTTCTCGCTACTGTCCAATGCATATCGACATACTGGTTGCCCCGGTGGTGTCGATGCATATGAAACGAAACATGAAGACCAAATGACGCTTCTCTTTCTCTTTCTGCTGTCTCTGCGCGAACGAAACGTCGAAATTCAGATCCTGGCGCTTCGGCGTCTGAAACTCCACTAAACCTGGTGCACAGAAGTCTATCCGCTTCTGTACTGGTCTGCCTCCAGCGAAATCAGGTCGATCTTGGCCTTCCCGAGCGTGGACTGTACAATGAACATGGTTGCGCCTCCCACCCTTCCATTTTCTTTCCTTTCTGGGTTTCGCACTCTACCGATGCCGAGTACACTTGTCTGGTACGAGCTTGCATAGCGTTCCGTCTTCCAGAATTTCCTCTTCATTTTTTATGAAGTGTTTGACTCCGCCGATCGTACCCCTTCCTTGTCTTCATTTTATTTCAACTTCGTTCCTTCCGTCGCCTAGTGCGACACGAAAGTACATATGCCTTTCCTTGTTTACTCTTTTTCCTTACTATTATTCTCTGACGACGAAGTGGTCACGAAGCGGTTCATGTGACGAGAAGCAAAGTGATGTGTTGTTCAAAGTCTTCAGTACGAGTCCGTTCTCCTTTTACAAACCTGTACAACGAATATTACCGATATATCACGCGAAATTGATATATACTGTGTATATGCCTCTTTAGGGGTGTCTGTGCGATATTTAGACTCCTTTATTATCTGCTGACTGGGTAACAATACTTCAACCGTAAACACGACCACAATAGAGGCACACGGCTCTCCGTCCGTATCTGCCGATTGACATCCCACCTCAACCGTATCTCCCTTTGCTCCAAATTCTTACACGCCCAATCAGGAATTCCCCATCCCAACAAGCGCAGCCGGAAATCACCTGTCAAGCTATCACCCAACGCCCGCAAGCCGTCAGAATCACGTCTCCCAGCATGGCGGGTTGCCGGCGCGTGATATCAACGGCACGGCTAGACGTGGTCCTTAGTGTTGGAGCTTCGAAATACTGGTGGGGGGTTCGCGCCTTCCGCCCAGCATCGGGATGGGAATGTGATAAGTTCGCGCTCCGTCCACCTGCCTCGTGCGTACAAGCCAGCACCCCAAATTTGTCCAACTCTGCCAGCGAGACTCGGTGCCAGGCAACGTCGTACGAGTTGCCTAACGCGTTTGGGCTCGGGAGGATCTCGCGCTTTTGTCCGGATAAGGCGAATCCTCGGCGTGGTTTTGAATTTGCTTGATGGGGAAGCCGTTCCTTCGTTCTTTCAAATGCCCGTTACCTCCACCTGTTGCTGGACTATGCTCGTACGTGTATCGTTGATTGCGAGAGAGACGTTCCCGCGAGGGTCTGGGAAGAGAGATGCGTAGAACGAGGGGAGATTGGCTATCGCTCTTGTGTGATTTGTTGACTGGGCGGAAGGAGTTAGCTACCAGAGAAGTTGGGGTACTTGTCATGCCGGGCCCCTATCTGCAGTCCAAGCATTTCTGTCGAAAAGTCTGATACCGTGCAAGGGCGGGTGTTGAATGATCCACCCACCCTGTTTTCGAAATTGCAAGGTTATGGTCCTCAACTTTGGAACCTCCTTGTCACCGCTGAGATGGCGCAGGCGGAGGTGAGGCAAGACATGAGCGAAGCCTGTGATTCATTTCCAAAGACCATGTTGAGCTCGGGAGAAGGCGACACCGGTGGCCGGCGCCGAGTGGCAGGTTTGGTGCAGCAATATATGCTGGATATGTAGGCAGTGGTTGACCATCAGGACTTCACTTCCCGGCGTACGCGTTGAAACCAAACCAAGGAAATGCTCTAAACTCATGTTACAGGGCACAAAACGTGTGGCAATTGCAAGACCGGCAAAGGACCGGACTGGCCACCTTCGTTCGGGAGGCTCAGGAGCTCGAGAGTCACACTGATGCTCTGATGCTTCCCCAGCCAACGATCCATGCCGCACCTGCTAGGTTGTCAGTGATCAACCAAGTTGTCAAGATTCAGTGTTCAGTTCGAAGGGTGTGATGTTGTGGTGTAAGGATATTGATCCATGGGGAAAGCAAGGTGAACATGCCTCCGTTTCAGAGCTGTATATGCAGAAAATTTGTACCTTCACAGACTCAACTATATTCTCTCGATTAGTTTTTCGGCATGTCGACGGGTAAGACAACGCAGGGGAATAATTGCATATTTCTGGTACTTGGACGTATCAGGGGTCTCCAACACTCAAGTATTTGACCAAGAAAAACCTAAACCAGTGCCGTTATTACCAAGGTGATTTACAAGAACGCAATCGTCTTGACAACAACAACAATCAATATGCCACTTGTGTTTGGACCCTCCTCGCCTCCGACCTCCGAGACATCAATCAAGAACAAAAGCAAGGAAGAAAGCGGTTCTGATGTTTCAGGGCTTCAACCCCTCGGGGCTCATCAAGGGCTCATGACTGTGCCTGTTGTGTTTGTAACGCAACGCACGTTGCCATTGGTAAAACACTTCGGCTGAAATCTCACGAAAAGCTGACGAAGGTCAATTTGTTGTTCCGTGAGTGGTTCGAGCACAAACGCACGGGCCCTCACCGCCCATCATCAAAATCACAGCCTCCGGGCCCCGTCCAAGAAAGGAACGCGGGGAACCCGCGTTTTCCGCATGCCCAAATTCTGCCACAACTTGGCTGACGCAGCAAGGTCCCTCATCCCACGCGGCTGCGGGCGCTTGTGCGCATGCACGGGAAAGGAGAACCGGAGAACCGGATTGGGCTATGTACCCGCTGGCACCCTCGTACACCCGTATTCTTGATCGTATTGATGAACGGTAAGTGCCGTGCGAACAAGGCAGGCTTGGGGGTAGGAAGGTCGATGATGTAGGTATTGGGGGGATTGACGTGTCCCTCGGTGGATATTACAGCGCATGACGCTCCCCCTCTCCACCAGTTGCAGGCCCCAACAACCGCCCCAGCAACCGTCAGACTAGCAAAAATGGTACGATAACCAAACCCAAACGCACAGTACTAGTTTATGGTTTCATGCGGGAGCTGGGGCTGGGAACGCGGTACCGAAGAGGAACACGCGTGCGAAAATCGAGTGCTAAGACGGGGGAGAAGCGATTCAAGGCTATTTACGGGTCCGTTTCGGTGCGATAACTCCCCCGAAGCTGCTTCTTCTTCTTCATGTTTACGCTTCCTACCCGGCCCATACTAGTACTGTACATGTGTCTATTTCTTTTGCTTCAGAACAAAGTACCATGATCCACAGTATTCTCGGAGCGAGACTGGTTAACTCCGTGCCCAAGCTCACCGGATTCTTCCTCTTGAGGAACGTCCTCCATCCGAGGACATACCCAGCGGTAGTACTTCTCGAAGCTGGGCCGATTGAAGATACGTAATCCCACCCGTGCCACCTATTCCTGAGCGGGAGGGACAACATATGTGGATAGAAAGGACTGTGAACAGTGGAGCGGGAAATAATTTATTATAGCCTACAGATCACTCAGGCAATAGCATGATAGCATGGTAGCATGGTAGCACTAAGAAGTAGTTCCTAGGATAATGGGGGTTCCGCACTCGCTGCCATTCCATGTTGAGCTGCTGTTGTATTCTTGAGCTTCTTCCAACATGATTCGACATGCGGGTCTAGCATTGGAATGCATGCGGCTTGGTTGTGGGAGAAGGGCGTGTCACGGTCTACCATAAATATGCGAGCGCGCGGGTAAGAAGAGGAAGGAAAAACAGACATCTATGGAGTCGGGATGTTCATCGTCATAAGCAGGGAGACAACTTGTAGGTAGTAGGGAGACAGGAGGCAGACGAGAAGGCCAGAAGAGGAAAAAAGGGGGCATGAGGAATCTCTATCAATAGTTAATGTGTTCGTTGAGGAGGGAGGGCGACCAGAGAGCAGTAGTAGTAAGAACGGTTGGGTAGGGATGAGGAGAATGCGGGGGCAAAGGATACAGTGGAGACCAGGGCCGAGCAGAAAAAATCAGCAGCAGCATATATCGATCGTACTGGACTTGGTTTTTTTTCGTGACGGGGTCTGTCGAGTATGAGTCGTAGCGTAACCTCAGCTCTGTCGGACTTGGCGCGTCTATGGGTGATTAATGCATGTCCTGGCAGAGCGGCCAGAGAGAGGAGAGACCAGATCGAGAGAACAACAACAACAGGTATAACGGGGCATCGTCGACGGCCGTCGCACCGCGCACAGCCGTACCTACGTCGTTAATGCTCAGCCGCTATGGCGGGAGGGGTTATCGCGGGAGGGGTGTCCACGTCCATGCCCAGGTTCTCCATCTCCCTGAATGATGGGAGCGCAACGGGCGACCCGTGGTTCTCGCCAATATGCAGGGGAGGGAGCTGGATCAGGCCCTCAGGCTCACCACCAGGCGGCGTCGTCCGAGCGCTGCTCGTGGCCGTATGGATAGGAGTCATGCCAAAGTCCCGCGCGTGGCTCTTGTGCGAGTGGTGATACCCCCTCGTCGGGCTTGGAGGCCGGGACGAGACAGGCGACGTGGGCGCAGTGGTGGCCGAAACGGGGGCAACGACATAGTTGGCATTGTACGGACTTGACGCGCTGCTACTCGTCGTCGAAGGCGTGAGGATCCCACTTCCGTGGGACTGGGTGTACTCGTACTGCAGCTGCTCGCCCGACTTTGACTTCCGCAACCGGCTGGGTTCTATGACGGGGACGGTGTAGGGAGCAGTGCGCATGCTGTGTCGATGCAGAGTATGGTGGGCGTGTGGTCCCCGTTCCGCGGAGGCCGAATGGCCTTCGGGTTCCCTGTCCCTATCCGTAAGAGCCATCTTCGAGAATCCCCATCCAACAGGTGAAGTCGCTCGGCTAGTATGGCGACTGGGGGCTGGGGAAGGTCCGCTCGAGACGGAACCGGACAGGGGCGGTAGCATCCTATTGTAGTGCGCGGCGCCCCAGGCGGATCCAGAGGTGGGGGAAGAAGAGGGTGTGTAGTGGGCGGATCCGGGGTAGGCCGGCTCGCGATAGGCTGATTCTGGGGAAAGTGATGCTGGCGGGGAGTGGGATGATGCCTTCTGGTGCGGGTAGGCACTTGACGGCCCGCTTGACGTGTATTCGTATGCTGTTGAATTATGGTATCCCACAGGAGGGGGCAGACCAAATCCGCCAATGTCCCGATTGTATCGTGCAAGGTCGTCGTGGCTCCTACTTGTAACAGAGCGGCGATTGAGCGCGGTGAATCGCTCAGAGGAAACAGGTGCGGCCGTGCCGACTTGGGGACCTAGATAGGGCGTTTGTAACGGGCTGGCGCCGGCGCTGCGGGTGTGCGCCTGAGTAGCGAGCTCACTGCGTTTGATCTCAAACGCTGCTCTGCGTGCTGCCTCTGCTCGCTCGAGATGGTACAACTGCTCCGACGCGGCGAGTGCCAGCGTATCCATGTGACTCGGTACTCGGTTGAGTTGCCCATGCCCGCCGTAGTGATCGTATCCACCGTAGTGCGTGTTGTTGTGACGGTAGGTGATAACAGACGAGGGAGGGCCACCGTGCGGGTGCTGCATGTGGTATGCTCCAGGGGGAGGAGAGGGTCCGCGAGATATCTGGGCCGACGCGGGGTAGCACATATCATCATGCGAGTCGAAGGTATCGTGCCACGTCGGTGAGTGCTGGCGTGAGTGCATCGGGTCGCCCTTCGAACAAAGTCAGGATATACATGCATACAATCCGCCCGAAAATGCAGACACACCTCATCGTCCGAGTTCGGGTTGCTCTTCGCCTTGCGAGCACCTCGTCGTGCCGGGTTGGTGTGTATGCGGATGTGGCGTGTCAGCTCGTCAGAGCGAGAGAACCTCTTCTCGCACCCTGGGTGAGTGCATGCGTGCGGTTTCTCGCCGGTGTGAGTACGGACATGGCGGGTCTAGTCACGGTTATTAGCATATACGAGCCTTTCGATGTGAATGATAACGCACCTGATGCTCCAGACGATAAAACGCACGATCGCACATAGGGCACTTGTACGGCCTCGGTATCTTGCTCTTGTCGGTGATGCCAGCGTCTGCACCGTTGGTCTCTGCGGGTGTATCTTTTCCAAGCTCCATGTTTATGCGTGGATCTGGTCGAATTGAGAATACGCGTATGACGGGTGCTGGTGGTGGTGGAGGTACAAATGGCTGACGTGAGATGGGTGCCTTTAGCTGTGTCTGTTTGTCTCTGTCTGTGGGTGAGCATGGTTGTGGTGGGAATGCAAGATAAGACATTGTAGGAGGGAGGAAAGGGATGAATAGGAGGGTAAAGATTGAAGGAGGGGGGGGGGAGGGGAGGGAGGGTGGTGGTGGAGAGAAGAGAGTGGGAGGACGTAAGATGAGGTGTTTTTACAAGGGCGGTGCGGGGTGATGGTGGGGAAAAAAAGGGGGAGCGGTGCTAGGTGTGAAGGGGGGAGAGGGGGGAGAATAGAGGGGGGCGAAGAAGAGGTAAGGGTGGTAAGGGGAACAGGGGGAAATGGACGAGACAAGCTGGGAGAGAGGGGACGAACCTGGAAGGCGAGGGAAGCGTGCTGCACAGCGCGTGGATACCTGCGTTCACTACCTCTCTCTTTCTCTCTCTCTCTCTCAGCTCTAGGTGGCGTTATTCCCTAACAAATATACACCACACGCACAGTGTATAATCGGTGAAATTATACCGCGCTTCAAAAGGGGGAAACGGGGGGAAATCGGCGAAGGGCGAACCGCGCGTCGAGGGTCGGTGGCGGAATAAGGATGGGATGCGGGGCGGACCTGTACGGGCAAAGTCTGCCGCGGGTAGCGAGTTATCCCCTCTGGCGCAAGTACAACCGGGGCGGTCGGCGAACAAGGTGAACCGAGAAGCTCGAAGAAGCTACCGCCGCGTGGCCCTTTTGTGGAGGAATTTCCGACTTTGATCAACAGGGGTACGAAACGCAATGGGCCCGCGCTAGTCCACTTGACTTTCCAGTGAGGCAATGCAAATTGCACTAGAACGACCGTATGTTTCTATCAATGCCCGTGGGGGGTGGGTTGCGTCGAGGGGCAATCGGGTTGCTAGCGATTATGTCCGCAAGAATTCGGCAATGTTTGGTAAGGTTGGGGAAAGCGATGCGCTGCCTTATTGACGGGCGGCGTGGGTCGTGGGGGTGAGAGAGCGCTGAGTGTGGATCCGCGGGCGATTGTGCCGTATGGCTGTATTTGGTGAATACGGAATGATTAGATCAGAGTCGAGGCTTTAGGAGTGGACCGTCGTCGTCGTCGCAACAAAGGACAGGAATAAAATAGAGTAGTTGCACCGGTTTGCGGTCGGTCGTCGTGAAGGTTGAAAAGGGAGAAGGGGAAGAGTGAGAAAGGGCAAGTGGTCAAAGAGGCTTGATCTACTATTGTGGGAGGAAGGCAAGGTCTGTAAGCCGGCCGACGACGGACTTTTTGGGTTTCAGTCGGAGGGGACGGGGCGGGGACGGAGGGGCGGGCTATGGGGGAAAAGAGGAGAAAGAAGGGGGGAAAAGGACAAGCGGATAGGAAGGATATTCACATTCATTTCCCCTCTTCCCACCTTCCTTCTTCTCCCTTGCTGGGCAGGGAAAAAGTCTGTGCGTTTGTGTCTCTCCTTACGCCGCGCCTCCGTGCAAGCCAGCTTGCGCGCCCTTCCCCCTCTCTAATGCCCCGCACTCGCGCCCTTCCCGCCTGTGAACATTTGATTCCGTACACACGCACCGGAACGCCCGGGTGCGCTAGCCCGGACTCAGACCCACATCATCCCTCACCCCAAGCACCTCATCCTCAGGGAAACTGGGTCTCGAAGCTTCCTTCTCCCAACCGAAGTAGAAACAAGATAAGTTAACCTTCCTCCAACGCCAGCCATTCTCGTCATCCGCTCCCACTCGTCACGTATTATTCAAGTTGTCTCCACACTCCACATACCAGCTGCAGGCTCGATGCCAACGGACCCGTCAACTCAAATTCGTATGCACGGCCCCCCCAGGACGACACTGAACTCAATCGGGAAGAAGGGCTGACAGCCTAGGCCCCGGTCTGACCTAAGCATATAATGAGCATATGCATAGAGCAAGTAAATTACTTGCGTTGGTTATCGCCGACTAAACGATTCCCCATATATCCATTCCGATCAAGCTTCCGGAGCGCCGGCCCAGCCACAGACACCCCACACTTATCGCCCGATCCTGACCAACGTGCAACCTCACAAGTCCGGCAGTACCAGTTCAGAAATAGCCGCGATACAAAAATTGTCATATCTCCGAACCCGAGTTCTCGGCTCCGGCCTCCCCACACCCTCACACCTTCATATCCAAACGCGCCGCGCGGTCCCTTCCGGTGCGGTTCCTCCGGTCATCCCCGCGCTTACACAATCTGAGGCAGAAGATTTTAAAAGTGGGGTATACATTCCGGCTGTTCTGGCCGAGAGCAATTCGGATGAACTGGACCGTACCCGAAACGGCCAGGGAGTGATCGCGATCGGTGCGAGGTCCGGAACGTGGATGTGGATGTGGGGTGGGTTGGGTTGAGAGGTCGTCGCCACGTCCCTTCTCTGAGAAGCACGAGCCAAGGCGTCTGGGGAAAAGGGGCGCCTTGTAAGGTAATACATCCGCTGTCACGATAAGCTTGCGTTGGTGCCTTTGTCCGCTCGTCATCCTGTCACTTCACCCCGCACTTGGCCTATACAATCCTACGCAACATATAACAGGCCAATTGTTTACGCTGTCCAGGCTCGAGGATACACGAAACACCAAGCCGACCGCAGTCCATCAGGGCGACCGCGTCGTGTAACAGTTTTCGCGAATTTTTCACTGCGGTTGCTTTCTGACTAACCCTTCTCTCCCCACCGGGGTCGTCATCTTCCCCACTTCTGTAGACGATCGCCGGTAACCGCCACCAAGCATCCCACCGCTGTGCCAAATTTACGCCAAAGGATAAACCCAAGTCAAAGACGGGTAAATCCGCGATCCGTCGCCCAAACTCGGGAGCAAGGTCCGTCCTTCTCTGGGCATAGATGTGCTCATCATCGTACTCGTGCTTCTCGTTCTCTTTTATCCCGAGAACCGGTCTGACCGACGGCCATCGGTATTGGTACGCACAGATTTCCCATCGGACAGTTCCGTATCAGACCACAGACACACAAGGAAGTGCCCAAGTACAATGAACAATCTCCTCGGGGTGCCTATTTGACTTCTGTCCCTTGACCCTGAGACCCGCAGGCCTCAGTTTGCGCTTCTTGGTGGCTGCGAGCTTCAGGCTGAAAGAATTAGAGCGGCTTGACCGTACGTGTACGCGTACGTGGTAGACTTCAATGCGAAGCACGCTCTCTCTTAGGCTCGGGGATGTCTTATCTTAGGTAAACAAGGCGGGCGAATTGGAAGTCCTGTATCCGAACATGGCTGCCAGCCGTGATTTCCCCGCATGACCCGGTACGTTCCAGCGTGACCCCAGATGGAGGAAAATCCTCCACAGCACCATCACGATCACGATACGGCTAGTACCTTCCCAGTCCTTGTTTCTCGCTCCATCTACCCGTACCAAAGCGACCCGGGTTGCTCATCTGATACCTCCATACTCGCTGCCTGTTCGGAACCCTCCGCCAACTCGGACTTTGGTAACAAGTACTGGGATCGGACGTTAGACTTGCCGCGGCGCGGGCATCCGATACTCCGTCTATTCACATGGGAGGAGGATGTCACGCACGCGGGGTAAGCGTACGTAGGACGAGCGAGCTGGGGCGTCTGTTGATGATGTATAGGCTTTCCTATCCAAGCTTACTACGACAAGCTCCACAAAGCCCAGCGGTCCGCGAACAACCTATCGCGCTATCTCAGTCGACGGCGTCGTCCACCTCGCTCAATGATCGCGACATCTATCGCGATCGTCTCATGAGAAGGTCCCCATCGCACCGGAGAAAGCTCTAGAAAGCCTTAGCGCTAAGGAGCGGCCAGGGTCACCTCCACGCCGCCCTTCCCCACAGTTTGAGAGGCCATTGTGGACGTGAAATCTCGAGCTTGAAATGTGCGCCGATATGGAGTGTGGAGACGGGAGCGAAAAACTCCGGTCGGAGTCGGGGCCGTGTGGAGTATGTATCTCTTATGGCTTTGTGACTGCGGCTTTTGCGCGCCTGATGAGTAACCGGCAAAGTAATCTAAATAACTATTGTAGAGGGCTGGTGAGAGTGTATTCAACATCATGCGTAACACGGATTCAACACGCCATTTTGTAAGCAGGGTTGTGGAGCCCCGTGCTTCTGGTCAGAGATGTTCCGAGTGCCACACGTAAGGCACCGACTCGGGCCATATGAATCACAACCATACAAAATACCAGTTTTTCGAAGATAAGGGCGTAATGCGCCTCTCTTGGAGATGCGGATTGGGATCCAGTGGTACGACACTCTCTGAATCCAACAAGTTTGTATTCTTGAACAACGCAGAGTGGTGGAGCGAGCAACGTGTGATAGCAAAGGCGGCAAGAATAGGTTTGAGGGCGTGCTGAAGATCTTGCTCTGTCAGAGAGCATGACGCACGTTCGAATTCAATAATGCACTCCGCCCTTGGCCCCTTTCAATCCCTGCGCAGGAGGCGTATTTCCAAGTCAGCTGGTATGCTACGGAATACCTCAACTGAGGTCGAGGATATCCTCCAAGAGACCCCCGCATCGGCCAAGAGTCTCCACATGTCAACCCCAGATTGTCGGCAAGTCACTTGAAGATAGATCCGCGAAAGTCCTCTGGCACGAGGAAGGTCGGAAGGTCGGACCGGGGACATAGTCCAAAATTGCCCCGTTGTTCGAGCCAGTGACAGAAGTGGTGAAACCATTGCCAGGTTGTAGAATACACGCAGTCTTTGAATTGTGCTAGAATAATCACTGGATTGCAGAGTACAAATGCACATAATCGTACTGTCCTTGTGAGAGTGATACAATGCGCGGAATACTTAGGAGTACAAACACATCACGGTTGCGTGAAAATAGAAGATAATGATAGTAGTGGTTGAGGACCGAAAACTCCGTTTCTAAACCCATGAGCCAAAGCGTCCATCTTCTCCATATCTGTCTGAGATGAATCAGCGACCAGTGGCAGGGGTTTCTCCCATCCAGGAAGTTTGCAGAGCTCATCCAATCGGGTATGTACGAATGCATGCCGCGCTCGGCGACAGGATTCAGGTCGTCTGGATGATGATGGGGGTTTTGATGCGAGAGCATCCTTGCGTTGTGGAACGTTTTGGTCAACGACAGATAGGGGTGATGATCCGGGCGATTTTGGGGCTGAATGCTTAAAGGATGTGTCTTGCCGAATGGCATGCTCGTTCTTAGATCGAGGTGAGGCCCTCGAAACAATCAAGTCGAGAAGGGTATATTCCTCATGCAGTTCGGGGCCCCTCGAGCTTCCAGGCTTGGCTTGCGATTGTAGCAGTTGCCCATCGAGGGCAGCACCACGGCTTGTATGGACCAAGGTTTTGGATGTATGGCTAGAACGAGGGCTACTGGATCCGTCCTCACCCCTCGGCAGTCGCGTAGGCTTTCGAGGGCGACGCCACTCCATATCAACAACCTGACTTGTAGATGCACCTCGCAGATCGGCCCGACGATGCTTCTTTCGGGTTGATTGACCCAGCTCAGCTTCAAGTTCTTCCTTCAGGGAACGCTTCAGGCGGGGCTTGTCTGTGGCGTATGACGGTTGCGCTTTAGCCTTCAATGGCGCAACGCCAGGGGAAGGTAGATCGGGTTTCTCTGATCCTGACTGATGAGGACCCCGCGGTCCACTGGGCATTCCCGCTGCAGAACTTGAGGGATCTCTGGTCTTTCGGGCTATAATAGAAGGCTGATCTTGGCGTAACCGTGCGAGAAGGTCAATATGGGGCACATCTTGTTGAGGCGTCGCATTGTTTCTCCTCCCTGCCATATAGGAATTGCGACTGCACGAATTCTCGGGTGACTTTGGGATGGGCAGCTTGGTCGCTGCATCATGTGGCGAGTTTGACGTGAACTCATCTTCAACAGGTTGAACAGCTGCATGCGCTGCGTTTCGCTTCCCCGCGTTGTCTATGTCTTTTGACTTCGTTCGCTCGTCGAAAGTATCCGGCAGCAAGACTGTTGACCAAATCGATTGATGCCGACTGTGATCCGTCTTCCTTAGACCAGGTGGGTAGTTCTTATTACCCCAAATCGCGGAACGACGAGACCCGGGACTACGCTCCGGAGTAAGAAGACCGTTAGATATCTCGCGCCCGACACTCTGTTTATATCGAATTGCGCTTGCCACTTCGTCTGAGTTCTCAGCAGGCGTGTCGCCAAGTCTAAGCGTTAGTTGTTCTCGCCAGATCATACGTTCTTCGGCGTCGTCAAGCTCATTCTTTTCATCATCTGAGCTATCTTCGACGCGGAATGTTTGCTTAGCCCGTTGAACACGACCAATGTGGAGCGGTCCATTGATAAATGCGCCAAGTTGCTCGCCTCTGCGTCGACTTCGACTGTCTTCGCCCTCTGGGTCGCCAAGAAGACGCTTCGATTTGCGTAGATCTTGTTCTGACAAGCCGATAGCATTCTCAAGATCAATGTTATCACGTCCTTCGTGGTCGTCGATGAGGGATTGCACGTATGAAGCGTTGATACCCCTCAAATGCACGTATCCCCTTCCCTCAAGGGTGGTCCACATTGGCTCTTCGGCTCCCGGGGCAAGACAGTCAGAAAAAGCTGACACCATAGCCGCCCAATCCAGTCCGCGCAGGGCGGTGAAGAGGGTGTTAGGTAGAACAACCCGAGGTCGGAATAGGCGAACCAGTGCTTGCAGTTCCGGGAGCGGCGAATGGCGAGCAAGCGGGATCAACAGATTTCGGGGACAACCGCCCTTGCGCAGAGATTCCAATGTGCTGGTCAGGTACACATCCCAGTTGAGTGAAGGCATATCACATGGATTGATGTATACGACCTCGTCGTCCGAACACTGGGCGCAGCGGTTGAATCTTTCGCAAGCATGAAAGCGTGTGACATGCGGATCGAGGGTGACACCGGAAGCGAGTAGCGGGTCGGCTAGGTGGGTGAATATCGTGTGCTTGTAGCGATCCACGTGGACCTTAGCATTTAGCAATCGAGCAACTGCCGTAATCATGCTTTCGTATCCCCATGTCCATGCGTTGATGAAAAATGTCGTTTTCGGGGGGTACAGCATAATAAGCTTGATGAATCCTGCAACCGCATCTTCCTAAAACGCGAATCAGAAAAACAATGATGCGGCATCACTCGGCAAACACGTACTTTTGGCGGAACGTCAACAGTTCCAAGGAAGCATGAGGTATCCAGATGGATCGCATCAAGCACCTTAACTGGCGTTATTAACACGTCCGCATCAGGAGAGTTCACACAGGGACTGATGTATTGCGTCAACAGCGGATTGCGGCGTAGTGCGTTGACCATGACGGGCTCTGATCGAACATCTCCTGTGTGCAGCACTGCGCCTCGGCTGCCTTCAACAAGAAACCTGCTGTGTCTCAGTTGCTGACCAGCAGACCGCATTGGCAACATACATGACGGAGCCCGGACAATGATTGGCATCCAACAGAGTGATCAGAACGGTTTCATCCGCTAATATCTCAAATTTGGTAGGGGAATTGAGCGACACAGCGGTCTGTATTGCACATCATCATCATTGTTACACGAGCTGACCGTTGTACGGCGTACCAGCAGGTCTCTGGTTCCATCCCAGACCAGCCGGCCGCCTCTGCTGCTCGGACCCACTTTCAATCTCGCCCATCTTCTTATCTTCTGTTCCCGCACTCCTCTATCGTAATCCACCCTGTCCTTGGCCGTTTCCATCCTCAAGATCATCTCCTTAGCGTCTGGCGAGCAGATGACTTTACCGCAGAATGTCGATGCATCCAGACCGCGAATATGGTCAACATGTGTATGGCTGAGCAGGTAGAGAGCGGGCGGAATTTGAGGATTTGGTGGTGGTGGAATACAGAACAAGTCTACTAGTATCTCCGGGTAGAGATGAAGGTGTGGATACGGCGTTGTAGTCATATCGGAGTTGAGGGCGCCAGTTGCAAGAAGCGTGACTGTTTTCCTTCAACGTAGTGGCTGTGCAGAAGCGACCCAAGTCCGGCCCGGTCTGCCGAGCTGCTTCTTAAGGTCGGCCCAACCAGGCTTGGCCTTTCTCTCCAGGTGATGAACCTTCCAGCAAATATGACTCATCTTTATTTCGGCGTGCACGGTCAGCGTATGATTTAATGACAAGGTATCAACAGTGTATAACCCATGTTGAGGTTTGTCATGAAGCATTAGTACCAGAACGGGGCGGCCGCAGCATCTCGGACAATCGACCACCATATCTTGTTACCACATTGAGGTGTCAGGTTTAACACAGGGACGTGATGGAATGAGTTCATCAATGTTTCCAGTGGATAGCATTGCCGCCGAGAGTTCTGCCGTCGCACGGGGCTCCTAACTTCTACTTGCGAGAGAACGGATCCACTGGCATCGCGGGTGGCATGATACCACAGAACACAGAACAAGCCCACATGAGTCTAACTGGATGCAACCTCCCATATCATAATGTGAGAGCTGCCACGCCCATGGAACAACTACATCGGGGTGAACAGGGGCACGGTCATAAGATGGGTCGATATTGGCTTCAACCATGCCACTCTTTTCATCCCCAGAAAAGTTTCTAGGGGGTTGAGATCTGTTAACCCTTATCCGTAAGGCTGGTACGCTCGGGCCTAAAAATGATCAGACGGAATTTTTGTTGGTTTTCAGGGAGGCCAGTCTGCCACCGCATTCCCTGCACACATGCTCGCTGTACACGTCGTCGCCAGTGTTCTGGCATTAGAACACATAAACAGAAATGGTAGAGAAAAGTGAAAACGGACAAGAAGCGGAAAAGAGACATTGAGTGTACAGATCATGTATGTGAGCCGCGGTGTTAAGATGTGCCTGTGAGCCAACCACCCATGTCGTTTCCCATACTGCTCGGCTTCTCAGCTGTTCGCTTCCGATTGGCGCGGAGTAAACCTTGAGTGCATTCAGTTACAAGTCATCCATGACAGGTGTTCCGTTGCAAGGTAAGCTCAAAGGAATGCAGCACGAATGGGTTGAACAGCCCCTGGCACTGCATCACTGAAGAGCACCCACTGTGATGAACATAGCCTAGGAACTTGACTTATCTTCCGATGTGGCTACTTCCCTTTCTTTGGTTGTTTTGCTTGAAAACCGGATGTCCTTGAAAATGTTTCGGTCCACTAAGAGAATCATCGTACAAAACAGACACAGAAAAATATGGACAGCTCAGTATAGCCACCATTCACGTTTCTATCGGATCCGGGTTGAAAGGCTGACCTAAGAGATGAGCAATGCAAGGCCGATTCAAGGCGCTGGACATGCTCACTCTTCAGCTAGGCTTGATCGTCGGAAATCTGGGTACCACGATTATGCGATATGTGACAAAGGCCCTGTGCATCACAACTCTGCTGAGAAGGGAGACCAGGTCGGCGGGGCTGAGCAGTCCAAAAAATCGCCCATTTGCCTGTTAGTCCTCTCGGACAAGGCGCTGCTTTAAATCCGGTCTCATCGGAGCTGTGTTAGTCATAGCCATTACTTCCTGTCTTCTATCCAGAGAACTGCGAGATCAGCAGGGAGAACACAGCCGCTTAAGGTTATCTTCAACCCATTCTGCCGTTTTCGCTGTCGTATGCGGACTGGAACGTCTCCGCGTTGAGGTTCAATAGATTCTCTCCTCGGCAAAATGCGTATGGGTGCGCTAGAAGGGGCGTTGTCATGTGTGTAACTGGTGTGAGACAAACCCTGTTTCCACAAGGGGTCTGTTCTCCACGGAGTACATATGCACTTTCTACAATGTGCAGATATCATCAATACCATCGTGAGGGATTTGCGGTAGATGCGGCCGTGCCTGAACACTAGTCGCATACAGTGCCCATGAGTCTACGGCCGGTTCGGGCATGTTGGTCTCTTGCTTCCGATGTCCCAATACGTCCTCCCTGAAGTAGTCGACTAACACGCTGAACAGCATGCCAGAGAGAAGAGACGTTGACTACCTGGCAGTCCAAGGTGTAAGCAGTTAAAGTGCAAACGTTCGTGATGTCATCCTTCAAGTTCCAAACAGCCTGCCAACACTGCCCCACAGAATCGATCAGCTTCTAGCTCAGGGGCCGTGCCTGCCCCGTTACTTGGCGCAGGGTCGATGCGTACTGACCGCAGTTGAAAAACGATCGGAGGCCACAATCAACTGATTCAACCCATCCGAAACGGACAAGGTCTGTTTGAATGTTGTCATACTTTCCATTGACTTCAAACGTTTCCCTGCTCGACAACCGGATTATTGCACATGACATCCGTATCCGGGGCGCATCATCGCGCTGCCGATTAGCAGAAAGCTGAAGAAACCCCGTCAAAACGGGGTGTCGATTTACGAGACTTTCCGAAAAGCGATGATTTTTGCTTGCCACGTGAGATCGCACCGCCCCTCAGGGCCGAAATTCTCGGGTCGTCTAGCCTGGAAGTGATAGGCATCCGAGACTCCTGATGAAGTTCTGAGCCAGTCTGTCCTGTCAACAAGACCTCTCTCGAATAGGAGTAATTAAATAGCATGGAATGTGGCCAGTCCCAAGTCCTCATGACTTTCGGCAATTCGGTCGGAGTTGTGAATAGTCAGGGACCGACCAATCATTATACAATGTCGCGGAGCATGGGAAGTAAAAAAAGCTGTGCCTTATGCCGTTTGTCCTTCCGACGGCAGAAATTTCGCACTTCTTGCCCTTGCACAGCATTGTCATTTACACCAGCATCTCGAGAGGGTCGACGATGGAAATCTAAGATTTCACCTGACTGGATGATTGTAATCCGCATGGACGACAGAAGCTTGGTCGCACGACGTCAGGGGTTCCTATTGGGCTGTTCTTGCCGGCGCGCGTGGAAAAGCGATGTCCTTTCGAGCTGCTCATTCATGCCCGATATGGCCACCTTATGGAAGTGGAACTGCGATGGGCGGTCCATTCTTTCGTTCTCTGATACCGACCCGCGCTGATTCGCCCTCTTGTCGGGTCGGGCCTCCACTGCTTAATCTTGATGAAACCTATATCTCAAGTCCGGCGTGACTGGGATGAACTCAGCTTTGACTCCCCCGCTCAAGCGCGCGCCGTCCTGTACGCGCCGTCCTGTTCGTTCTCCTGTCCTCGCCGTCGATGTATACTGAACAGTCAACTGCAGATTGACGCGCCTCGTGCAGCGGTGTGCAGTATGTATCTGTCTAGTATAAAGCCTGAGCGGCCGGCCACTCCCATAACCCCATCCTCCTCGACCGTTTCGCATTCCTTGGTTCTCCAAACAACAGCGACTCACTCAACACGCCTCATGTCCTATATCCCACCCCACAACGTTACCCCGTCCAATGACGCGATTTACGCAGCTCTCTTCTACGCCCGGGTTGGTAACCTCCACGCGACCACAGTCCAATTACACAACACCATCCTGGCAAATCACCTGTCCTGGAATGTATCTGCAGACCGTGTCTTGCAGATAGCACACTCATCCCCTGAATTGGCCCCCTTTCCGGCTCTTAGTCCGACCCATTCCGCGCCTTTCCAGCAAAGGTCCTTCCAGATGCTCTTCTACGTCCTCACTTACTATGAGCAATGCTTTACCGCCCAGTTATCTGCGGACAATGCTGCAAGATGGCACCCCATGCGATACGAGATCTGTCTCATGGCCGCGGGTGTCAAGCCGTGCTGTCTGGTCTGGCTTGGCCCCGGTTATCACTCGTCAAACAGGGCTCAGCATCTGCAAGATCGCAGACTCGCCGAGTCTTGGGTGACGAATGTATGGCAAAGAACTGTTCAGAAGCTTCAAGTCGTGTCACACTCCGATCCAGGTCTGTATAGCACTAAAGCGTTATTATTGTAACTGACATACCTCAGCCTTGCTGGACTGGCTAGCTTCTGTCCAGACCGTTCCCATTTCTGCCGGCATTGCTACTGGTCATCCGCAGAATTCGTCTAACTGGCACTCTTTTACAGGACGTATCTTGGTCTACAGCATTCATGCACCGCCCCATCATCGCGCGCTGGTTCGCTGGGCGTTCCTCCAACCCAACCTTGTTCCTGGTGCCATTGCTGTCACTCGTTCTCCTCCATCTGAATCTGTCACTCTGGTCCCCGAGTTGATCATAGCAGCTGCATTAGGATATCCATGCACCCGACCGGCTACGCGTGGTCTTGACAATCTCCGGACGGCGTGCTTTTTCTATGAAGATTTCGCAGACGGCAGAGCCGTCGTCACTGGCTTCCTGGCAGCCCTTCCACGGGATCTCAGTTTGGTCATGCGACATCTTCGAGAGATGCAGCGCGTTCTTGGGCCGATAGTTCCAGGCGCTCTGAATCTCGGCGTTCGCTTTGAGCCAAATGGAGAAGACCAGGGGGAGGCCAATGCCATACATCTGCAGCGCCTTCTAACGACCACGGGCGAACCACTGTACACCCCTATCCGACCCGGGAACATTGGTATGCGAGCTGCGTACACCACTGCGAGAGACCAACTCGATCCGACGCTGTCAAGTGTAGCTTTCAGGCAAAGTTACTCATTCAGTGTCTATTGGACAACGTTGCAAGAAGTCAACGTCATTTGTTCCGCCGAGCGGCTGGACACCGTTTAACGTGCATCAAACACGAACTCTGAACTGAAGAATTTCTCGATCCTCTCGAAACTATAATCGGACAATTCTCTCCTATTTTGCAAGGACCTTTTCTTTCATGCGCAAGGACTCTCTTCGTTGTATCCTTATACTTATACTTGATTTGGGGCCTCTGGTCAAGGACTGCTTTACATTTGGACTCAATTTGCATTACGGACTTGTTTGCTTTTTTGCTTTCGGTTACATGGACTCTTAAAGGAACAAGTGGACCTCTTGTTGTGGTAGCTCTAATCCTCGGACTCATGTCAAACAATGTAATAGAGAAGAAATGGTAGTAATTCACGCTGTTGTTGATGCTTATATACGCTTGCAGCAGCAGCTCATCAGTTGATCGGAGATATGTAACGGGATCAAGTTGAACCTTCCGAAACCGTACGCAAATAACCACACCCTTAATATCAAGACTGCCAGCATTCATGATCAACAGCAACTCCTGCTCACGCTGATTGACTCCGCAGGCCTGCTAGGGATGTTTCCCCATCTCGTCTGATAAAAAATGGACAAGGTCTAGACAGGTCTCAACGGGCGGCTTGCCGGTATCTGCACACTGCTGGCATTTCTCGTGACATCATAGAGAGGTTGTTCTGCAAAGGTCCTCGGGTAATCGTCCGAGCAATCAATCATAAGACCACGTATGGTCAAGCCAAAGACGACTCCGCAGACGATGAGCTGCATGTACCAGAGGCATTCAGGAGGACTCCATACGAATCCTTTGCGTCATACGAACATCGAATGGATATCATGGCGAAGAGCGCCCAGCAAAATGCGAGAATAACAAGGTCGGCCTGGCGCATTGCTAATGCACAGGCAGCTGCAGCTGCCAGGGCGCGTACTGTCAATGGAATGAAGCGGTCGCCTGGGACGACACTAAATACCTCTTTCGACTGCGCGTCTCCAGCTCCTGGACCTGTCCGATCAGGAACCTATAGCACACCACACCAGAGCGAGCTTCGCTGCGTCGAATCGGGGCTCAACCCGTATGATGAAGATCGTTGCGTATCATGTGGACGTCCTCCAAGACAGGCGGCTGTCCGAGCCACCCGATTATTGAGACAACATATTGCAGCAGTCGAGGAGCGTACTGTCGTCTCGCCGGTTTCAGATTCGAATGACCAGACGGCGCTCCCCACGCCTTCGTCAGTATCGCCAGCACAACTCAAAAGAGAAGACGAAGACGGTGCTTGTATATCGAGCCCGCGTGCTGAGATTCTTCAAGGACCGGAGTTCGTCTCTGGATCTAACACGGCTTTCGTACGTCAGGGTTATGTGCACCGCAACACGTGCTGACCCAGTTCAGAATGTTCATTCTTCTGGAGTCTCCCCATACGTATCTCCACCATTGTCCCCCGTGAGCAACGAACCGCAACGCCCCATCCAGGACTGGGCGCAGTTGCCGTCAGCCTCCTCAGGCTTACGACCCCCTTGGTCAACCGGCCGACCGTGCCCAGCTTCGAAGAATAGAAGATACGCGGAGCATTTCCCCAAAGAAATGCATCATCATATCTCAACAGCTGCACCTGCTTCAGCGCACACAACGAATGATGGATCTATCCTCCCGCCTCGCACTTTTCACGATTGGCTTCGAGCCATTCGACTGGAACATCGACTCGTCCTCCTGAACAGCGTTGGTTTCTTGACCCTAGAAGATGCGATAGATGCGGCGAACTTCAGTCACGACACAATGACGACTATGCTTAATACTCTGGAGGAGAAGGGAATGACGAAACTTGAAACTTGGAGATTGCATGATGGCTTCCAGAAATTGAAATGAGCTTGCAGGAATGAAAAAGGACGCAGAAGAGAAGAGAAATTGGCAAAATGAACGACGGAATAGTGGAAGGAATTTATTTGATAAGTTTATGAGCAGTGGAATAGGGTAAATACCGGTCTTCCAAGAAATATATATATATGGGGAAGATATCAGAATCAAGGGTCCGACGGTGCGCGTCAATTTTGAAAGAGGGTTACGGTCAGCTCAGGCAACATTCTTTCACGCCCACACATTCCTCAAGACGCAAATGCCCATATTCGAGCGAGGATGGAAGCCTCAGCCGCCTGATCCATACTGGTCTCTGCCAGAGAACCAGGGGGGTCCATCGCGAAAGCCCAAACTTGCACCAGGCAGGCCAGGACTGCCCCCAAAGGCACCACCACCGAGCCCTTTCATGGCCAAGATGAGTGTGTGGGTGACGGTCGCGACTATCCCACGTGAGTCTATCGTATTATACTGAAGATAATCGTCGATTTGACCTGTTGATGGGTGATATAGTGATTTTGGGGTATACAGTCTTTTACCAAGACTTTGGGTCGGGAGAGCATATCTACTCTGCGGTGCGCAACCATACGCTCCATCCTGCCCGCTTTCCTCTCATGTGAATTCAATAGCCACGCCGATGGCTCAAGCGACAACAGGAAGCGTTCTACACTCTCACACCGGAACAAGAGCGGCTCGCTGGGGTGTCGCGATCCGCAGAGCTTCCAGCTCAGCAACTGGTAGAGCAAGCAGAGACAGCCCCCGTGGGATCAGTCGCAGAACCGACAGTGAAGAGCAGAACATGGAGCTCCTGGTCCTGGAACACCTCACCTGCAAGATTAAAAGCATCTATTCCTCCAGCTGAGATCGTCCCCCCTCCTCCGAGCACACCTCCAGCCCCGGTGCAGGAGCCTGCAAAACGCTCTTGGTGGGGGACAACATCAGCCCCTGCGCAGGTGACTGCGTCTGCCTCTGCGCCTGCCGCAGTTCCTGAAGTGCAGGAGCCGGCAGCGAAGGAGGGTGGAGGGACGGGAGGGACGCTGTCCGAGGCGGAGATGGAGAAGCTCAGCCAGCGTTTGAGCCGCCGGGGATGGGGACCAATTAAGCTTATCTGATGTAATGTCACGTTATTGTCAAGTCTGGGTATGGCGTAAATGTTTTAATCAGTGATATCAATGCCTATTTTCTATAGACTTTTCCTCCTGTCGATCTGGAGCATGCTTTTCTGTACAACAACGGGAGATGTTGCGTTGTAGATCGCCCAACTCTGTCAAGCACTTTGTGCAGTACAAACCAGTTGTAGAATATTCTGCATCGTCTAGATGTATACAACCTGATGAATCAAGAACTGAGCATACATTATCAAGACATCTCACCCATGTAAGCAACTTGGGCCTACTTCCTCCCATTCCTCGACTTGGCCGCATTCCTATTCCCATTCCCGCCGTTGCTCATCCCATTCCCAAGTCCGGTCCCCATGCCGTTCCCGGGACCAGCCGCTCCAGCAGGCATCCCGTTTGTCCCCATCCCGCCAGCAGAACTCTTCTTGCTCCCCCCCGTCGGGCCGTTCCCCTTGCCTCCTTGACCCTTGAGGATCGGCTTTTTCCCTGTACGCTTCTGGCATGTCTCGCAGTACCACTTATCGAACATATCCGGGTCGGAGACATTCACGCATCCGATATGGAACTGCGTGAGCGGGCCGTTAGTGGCTGCTGTAACCGTGGAGAGTAGAGGGAGACGCACCCATTGGAAATCACAATCATCATCTTCACACCCAATCATCTCCCCCCAGCTCGGTTTTCTGCAAAAGCAGTACGGATTCTGATCGTCCGTCTCCGCTCCCTCGCCCTCACCCTCAGGCCCGTCCAGCTCTGCACCGGAATCTGCGGCAAACTCCACTTCCGAAGCTTCCATAGCGATGCGCACTGTAGTTGGATAGGCGCCGTCCGCGGTGCGCATAAAATGTGGGGGCTCCAACGCGCCGTCTGAGGTGCGCAAGCCTGCGCCGCCAACGGTGGGAGGCCGGCGTTCGCTCCTTGAACTCGTGCGTGTGACCATGCCTGAACTGGAGCCGACGGTACTGTCCACCGTGCCTTCCAGCTTAGCGCGGTGGGATGCGGAGATCGCTCCTGCTGGTCTGGGCACAGGGGCAGCGATCTGCGGGCCGGATGTGATGATTGGGGGGCTTGATGTGGGGGTAGGGGTCGGGCTGTACAGAAGTCAGCATCATACAGTAAAAAGGCAGAGAATGATAAGTAAGAAACGCACGCTTTTCGCCGCTTTGTGTCCTTGCGTTTAGGCGCGTCATCCTCCCCCGCGCCGAGCTCCTGTGCCAAAGGATGCGGATGCGCCCTCCTATCTCTCTCCGGTCTGCCATCCAATCTTCCTGCTGGGGCCCCATTAGTCGCACTAGGAGGGAGCACACTGCTCTCTTTTTCGTCGGCCTTCTTGCGCCTCTTGTTTGGAGTGCTCCTTCCTCCCGCGCCACTGGGGAATAAGTCGCCATCCTCAGTGGCCGCGTCACCCTCGGCAGCAGTAGCAGCCTTCCGCTTCTCACCCCCTGCTCCGCGCTTGTGAGACTTGCGCTTGTCTTCCACAGGCTTAACGTAGTTTGGTGAGAGGTGAGCAATGTGTGGGAAGACGCTGGGCGGTGGTAGAAGCGGCGGGAGAGCGGGATTAAGCAGGTGCGCCGAGGAGAGGATATGGGATGAGTGCGTAATGTGGTTTTCAATCTGCGAAGTGAAATTAGACAAGCTCAAACAAGTGAAGGGTGGGAATAACGCACCTCATCAACCGCCGCTGCGGCCAATCTAATCTTGTCCTCGTTGCCCATACGCAGCTTCTGGCTATCCTCCGCCACCTCCCTCAGAAGGGAGAACCGGTCGAGTGGCGTGGCAGCAGGGTCATCGAGCGCATGTATGAGCAGACTCAGTCGTCTGTTGAGGGAAATGATGGATGCTGATAGGGGTGAGCGAGGGTAAGTGCAAGGACGACGAACGCACCTCCGAGGACGGCGTCGAGTTCTCTGAGATCTGAGAAGTGGTGAGCGATGCGGAATGGGAGAGTGTCGAGAGTGTCGGTGTATGCGCGTAGAAGGCTGTCTATATGCGCTGAGCGGGTGACGGTCATGGTGGTCGGAGAGAGAGAGGACAGTGAGGACAGAGGTGTGTGAACAAGGGAATGGACAATCAAGGAACACGTGATGAAAGAGTGGCGCATTGATTATGTAATCTAAAAGAAGACTCATTTCACTCTCCTCATCGCGACGTCCATCTCTCATTGCCACCACCTCCTCCCCACCGCATATACCCACCAATCATGGCAAGCAGCAAACCAAACAAACTCGCCTTCTTGTCCATGCCAGCGCCGGCGGCCTACGTCGCCGGTCTGGGGCGTGGTGCTTCTGGCTTCACCACTCGTTCCGACATCGGCCCCGCGCGAGAAGGACCCACGCCAGAACAGATCGCTGAAGCGCAAGCTCGGCGGGGTGAAGAGGAAGAGGGTGGAGATGAGGCCCAGTTCCAGGACCCGGATAACGAGGTGGGGTTGTTTGCTGGAGGAGTATACGAGGCAGACGATGAGGAAGCCGATCGGATATGGGAGGCGGTTGACAAGAGAATGGACATGCGCAGGAAAGTTCGCAGGTATGTGTCTTCCTCCATGCGACCGGTGAGGCAGGCTGAACAGCTGGCCCGCTTGGTAGTGCTGCGATGGTGGGCTGACTGCTTTGTCCTAACTAGGGAAGCGCGCGAAGCAGAAGAACTCGCAAAGTTCCGCAGCGAGCGGCCAAAACTCCAGCAACAGTTTACAGATCTCAAGCGCGGTCTTTCCAGCGTATCTGACGCTGAATGGGAAAACCTTCCGGAAGTGGCCAACCTCACGGGCAAGAAGCGAAAATTGAACACGCGCGAGCGCACGTATGCCGTCCCTGATATCGTCCTACTAGGCAATAAGGACAGGAACGAAGTCGTCAATTCCGTAAATGACGCGGACCAAGCGGGTGCTGACACCCCGGGAGGGATGCAGAGCTTGGTCGACATCGGTGCGGCGAGGGACAAGGTGTTATCTTTGAAGCTGGATCAGGTACGCGCTATCGTCCTCTGCAATGCCCTCCTCTGACGCAGCTGCGTGTAGGTATCAGGCACAGCGACGACCTCCGGACTCTCTTCCTCTATCGACCCTAAAGGCTACCTCACGTCACTCGACTCTCAAATCCACAAGACCGCAGCCGAGATCGGCGACATCAAAAAGGCACGCTCCCTGTTCGAGTCCCTCATCAAATCGAATCCGAAGCACGCACCCGGTTGGATTGCCGCCGCCACACTAGAAGAACATGCGGGACACATGGTGAAAGCCCGTCGGCTCATCAAGCAAGGGTGCGAACAATGTCCAAAATCCGAGGACGTATGGCTCGAAGCGGCCCGTCTCCACACCCCCGCAGACGCGAAGGTCATCCTCGCAGAAGCGGTGCAGCATCTCTCGCAAAGTGTACGCATCTGGCTCACCGCCGCAGACCTGGAGCAAGACGTGCAGGCGCGCAAACGCGTGCTGCGGAAGGCCCTCGAACATATCCCGAACTCCGTTCGTCTGTGGAAAGAGACTGTAAACCTAGAGGGCAACCCTGCAGACGCACGCGTCCTCCTCGCCCGCGCCGTCGAGCTTATTCCCTCCTCTGTCGAGCTCTGGCTGGCCCTAGCCCGGCTAGAAACCCCCGCCAAAGCCAGGCAGGTGATCAACCGCGCGCGCTTGGCAGTACCCACCAGCCACGAAGTGTGGATCGCAGCGTGTAGGCTGATGGAGCAGGAGGGAGAAGAACAGGCCGCAGTGGACCGGATGATGGCCCAGGCCGTTTTACGTTTGCGAAACGCCGGGCTTGTGCTCAAACGGGATATGTGGCTGGACGAAGCAGACAAGGCTGAAGCCGAGGGCGCGCCAAGAACCTGCGTCGCTATCGTTCGCGCTACAGTCGCCCTCGAGGTGGAAGAAGAAGAGCGGTACGACCGTTGGCTGGAGGATGTCGAGGCCTTCCTTGAGAAGGGTCGTGTGGAATGCGCGCGTGCCGTCTTAGCCTACGCGCTCAAGGTCTTCCCCGACCGTCCTAGTCTGTGGAGGCGCGCCGCCGACTTGGAGAAGGAACATGGCACGCGCCAGGCTCTAGAGCAGATCCTTGCCGAGGCAGTCAGGTACTGTCCCCAGGCAGAGGTGCTCTGGCTTATGGCTGCAAAGGAGAAGTGGCTCGCCGGGGACGTACCTACCGCCCGGCGTGTGCTCGCTGATGCGTTTGCTGCCAACCCCCGGAGTGAGCGGATCTGGCTCGCCGCTGTTAAACTTGAGGCGGAGAACGGAGAGGTTGACGTTGCCCGCCAAGTCCTGGAGAAGGCGCGCGCTGAGGCGGACACGGAGAGGATATGGATGAAGAGCGCCGTGTTCGAGCGGCAGAATGGGAACACACAGCGCGCACTCGAAATCGTCGATGCCGCCCTACGGAAGTACGACACGTTCGACAAACTCTATATGATCAAGGGTCAGATCTACGCCGATGACCTCGGCAAGATCAAAGAGGCAAGGGAGACCTATGAGCAAGGGCGGAAGAAATGCTCTAAGAGCATCCCTCTCTGGATTCTCTCTTCCATGCTGGAGGAGCGTGCGGGCATCACAATCAAAGCGCGAAGCATTCTCGACCGGGCGCGACTAGTGAACCCGAAGAACGCCGAGCTATGGGCGGAGAGCATCCGTATAGAAGAGCGCGCAAACTTGCAAGGCCAAGCAAAGACTCTTCTTGCCAAGGCGCTCCAGGAATGCCCTTCGTCTGGTCTCCTATGGTCTATGGCCATCTGGGCTGAGCCCCGGGCGAGCCGAAAACGTGTCTCCGTCGATGCGATCAAGAAATGCAACGATGACCCACAGGTCATCCTCTCCGTCGCACGGATGTTCTACTACGACAGGAGCATCATGAAAGCGCGCCAGTGGTTCGAGCGGGCGGTCACGGCCAGCCCTGACTTGGGGGACGCCTGGGCGTGGTATGTCAAGTTCGCGCGACAATATGGGACAGAGGTGGGCACTTTTTGTTCCGTCTTGTGCTCGGACCGCTAACGAGTGTGACTAGGGGGAGTCGAATCCAGAAGCGATTGAACGTTGTAAACCCGAATCTATCGTGCAGCGTACTATTACTGCCGAGCCACACCATGGTTCGGTATGGCAGTCGATAGCAAAAGGCATGAAGAACGCGAGGAAGAACACGGCGGAGATATTGGAGCTGGCTGTGGCCAGTTTAGACTAGTGTCCGCTCACTCTATCCAAGTTTTCGGTAATGTGTATTGTATTAGGCAAATGATTCAAGGGATTGCCTGTTTGTTCCTTTTGAGTGTGCTGAGTCTGTGGACCTGACATACCCGCCCCCTCTGGCTCTTTGGACTGCTTGCCAGAATGCACTGTAATAATGCCCCGTCGCCTGATCTTGGCCGGTTTAAACCTTTTGAACAACCTGTAATCAGAGGGATAACGGTGGCCGGTTTCCCCGGTCCTCGGGAGAGTTCCCATTTTCTCCGCTCCGGAAATTCATGGTAGGATGTTTGGAATCCCCCTTCGTGATCGGACGTACCTGTACGTAACGTCTACTAGTACGGGCGAACAGATCTGCCTATTGGACCCATCAACTATGACTGATGCGCTCACATGTTATATAAGAGCTCAGCTATCTCTTCCACCTGTGCGTGCGCCACAGTTGGAATTCCATCAAGCCCGGGAATTCCCGGTTTGGGGTGGGAACTATGCGCCCGGACAACAGAACCGCCCGAACGATACCGACCGATGACTTTTTAAGGCAGTAGGAAATTGTCCGGGAGAAGGCCAGTGAAAGATCCGTGGTGGAAAAGCAGCATTTTCGGTCCATTAGCAAGTTCAGACACCGCCGGTTCTCAATACAGTCCACGAGTCTTTCACATGCAGAGACATTATAACTTGTTGAGGGTGAGCTCCGCGAAGACTCCACTTGTTCCGCGAAGGTGACTGCTTCATGAGCCACAGAAGCGCATGAACAATACCGGTGTCTCGGGAGCCGGGATATTCTATTTTCTCCTTGTCACAATCCTCGGTGCCACGTAAGGTGTGTACAATCGTTTTGGGAAGCGTTACAGCACATGCACAGGGATATGCATGATCCGATCACAGGTGGACAGCCAACTACTCACAGAATCATCGTTGTTCCTAAAATCCAAGAATATCCAAGAATATTCTCATCGCTAACAGAACCATGTATATTTTGCAACCCGATCCATCCCGATTACCTCGAAAATGTAGGCTCCATATACTACCCGAGCTTCACACGAGCCTTGTGTGCACTCGAGTCCTTAGAGAAGCCACAGCTTCCTCTCCCGAGGCCATTGGCGCACGGAAGAGTGTGGCAACGATTCTTCTTGCCCCTGCATTCACCGTTGGACATTGTCCAGGGAATAGAACTCCCGTTAGGAAGATTACGATACCGCTAACAGGTGTGAGTTGCACCTGCCAGCGGTACGTTTCAGGGCTTGGTGAATTCACATAGAAGCGGGGCTTTGAGGAAATGGATGCAAACAGGAATTGAAGATTTCTAGTGGTACAACAACAGTTATCATCAGAGATTTTCGTGCACAAAAATCATGGAACAGAAACGGAGGTGGGGGTTGAATCCCATATTCGAATGAGCTTTGAATAAGTTGCAAAGGTTGAGCTTCATAGTACGTCTTGCGTTCATAACTTGGCGAGAGACGGCGGGGTATTAAGTCATCACGACGTCGCCATCTTCCCCTTGTACTTGCACGTAATCATCGTTAGTATCATTGGAGGGAGGATGGGGTATGTCGGGCATTCGTTGCCCAAAGTTCTGCTTCCTACCAGCGAATTTAGCATGAGACGGCGCAATGAGTGTATATGAGACTTACGGATCCTCGGCGATATCCTCCCAGTTGTACCCCTTTTCCCTCAACGACTCCGCGCCAGACAGCTCTTGGATAAGGTACTTGGTCACCGCGCTCGCCAGGCCAAACTGCTCCGTCCCGCTAACGTGAGGATTGGGGAGCTTGTCCCGCACACGCGCGGCCTGCTTGACGATTTCCCGCCAGGCGTCGCGCGGGGAAAGACGGACGATAGGCGTACCGGGCTGATCAGCAGGCACGACCTGGAAAACAGGACCAGGATGGCCGGGGAAAGAAGGGTGCGAAGCGAGGATTGTAGATGTGTAGTAGACGTCCTGCCTGGGATCTTTCATCGATAGGTATTTGACTTCGCTCTGGAACCCCACGGGCCAGATATGCCGCGCGTTCCAGTAGCCGGTGTACTGGACAACATGGCCCAGGTTCTTGAGCATCCATTTGCCGACTTGGAGAGGAAGGTCCGGCGCTCCATTAGGCAGGCGGGGGATAACAGGTACAAAGTAGCGTGACGGGAGTCTGCGAGTCGGAGGGATGGGAGGTGTAGAGGTGGCAGAAATGGTCTTTCCAGATTGGGCATGAGACTGGGATTGGGAAGGGGTTTCAGAGCGCTGTGAAGCCCCGGAAAAGGAGGTGTTAACAGTTAAGGGCGGCCGGCTGGGAGGGCGGGGAGGGTCAGACTCCTCCGTCCGGTGCGACTCACTTGGTCTCCACCATCCAGGGGGAGTCACCATCCCCGGTCCAGAAGGCCGCCGTTCAACAGGAGTCGGCCGATGTTCTTGCGCATAAGGCATGATCGGTTCCTCCATTCGTGAGGGGTGCGAGTATCCCTCCAAGTCAGACACCCCAGGTTCGCGTTTGATGACCTCGTTCCCCGCTGCAGGGCGGGAATGCTCTCGTTCCCTCCGGCCTTTACTCCTATGAACCTCCCATTCCCGATTGACCTTGTACCGCCAGTCCCCGCCGAGGAGCCCATCCCCATCACCCTTCTTGGCCATCCTTGCTCGTTCGAGCTCTTCCTGCCTTCCCCACTGCTGGATGGGGGTCTGGATCCTTCCCTGACCCTGACCAGGACTAGGACCGGGACCTGGGGCTTGCGAGTGTGGGTGGGAATGCGGCTCCTCCCGCCCAGAAGAACGCCGGCCGAGATCAGGATACCTCTCGATCTCGAGCTGCTTATCCCTCTCCCACGTCCTCTCCCTCTCCGCCCTATACTCAGCCTCGATCGACATCTGGTGTCTATGCTGTCCATGCCCATGTCCGCCGTTTGCCTGGCTAAGGGGAGCAGTGCGCGGCTGGCTCTGAGTAGGCGAAGGGAGCTCCGACGGAGGCTGAGGGTTCACCATCATCACCGGCGGCTGGACCCGGCGGGCATTATGTCCCCCATGCTTTATAGGCGCACGGGAATACATAGGCATCGTCACGTCCTTGTAGTCCAGCCTGGTAGGCGGCGGGTGCTGGACAACATGTTGTTCCTGTGCCTGTGTCACATCCCTCTTCGCGCCGGGGCCTGCACGCTTGCCGTCCCTGTCCCGCTCGCGCCGAGGGGGCAAGGCGTCGTCCCTCGGAATGGGGAGGTTCGCGGGGTTTGCCCGCAGAGGCCCGTAGACCGGACGAACGGGGGGTGATTCCAGATAGGCTCTTTCCGGGGCTCCGGGGGGAGGTCGATACACCCCAACCCCATTAGGCCCGTTCTCGTGCGAGAGCGGGAAGCGCGGTCCCTCCTCCCTCTGCGGCTTGTGCTCCTCAGGCGCAGACATGACGCTATATGGGAACCTCCCTGTCGGGCTCTCAATTTTCACAAGCCCTGCGGTGGAGGTAGAGGGGGGTCGAGCCGCGTGGGACGAGTCGGGAAACACCGCCTTCTCACCCCGACTCTGCAGGTAATCGTCGTACAGCGCATGGGCACCAGGGCGCACAGGCTGCAGGGGAGGAAGTGAGAATGGCGCGCCCCGGTGGAGGGGGGAGGGACCTACGGGAAGGGAGTCTTCCTGCCTTGGTAGGGGCGGAGAGGGGCCAGGCGGGGGCACTCTGCTCTCGTCGCAGGAGAACTTCTGGCTCTCTTCCCGAGGGTTCTCTCCGGAGTAGGCTGCGCGCTGTGCTGGCGAGGAAGGACGGTGCATCCCCGGCGGGCGAGGGGGACCATACAACTTCCGTTCTTGTACAGGAGGAAGAGAGGGAAGAGGTGGCATGAGCGGTAACATTGGAGGGGGGAGCGGTGCCGGTTTCGCAGGCGGCGCTGGGTTGGCGTAGGACGGAGGAGGAGAGGGTCGGAGGGTGTACGGTGAGCGGGGCGAGCGTGTGGCATGTACTGAGCGGGGCGAGCGACTGGTCGGTCTTCCAGCATCAGCGTGCTCTCTCGTGGGAGCACTCAAATCCCCTCTGCGGGCAGGAGTCTGTCCTCGCTCGTCTACCCTCGCTCTTTTGGCAAACCTCTCCTCCCAATCCGTCTCAGGCCTTATCATAGGGTGTCGGTCTCTTTTGAGCCCGTGCGCGTGCGGGAGTGGGGGTGGGAGTGGGAGTTCGCGGTCGAGTGCCTGGGCTGGGGCTGTGGTTGTGGGTGCGGTCAGGTTGTCTAATACTGCTGCCGCTGGGGATAGGGCCGCAGCCGGGGCTGGTACTGGGCCCGCGAGTGGCGCTGGCGGAGGGGGAAGGGGAAGGGGCAGAGGTAGGTGCTCCCTTGTACGAAGGAGTTCCCGCTGGGTAAGCGGCAGCGGCAAAGGGGGAAGACTGTCCATCCCGTTCCCATTCCCACTCGCAGTCGTACTCCCATTTCGGCTGCCAGTGCTTGTGCCGCTGCCATTCGACCGTCCGCCAGCAGAAAGAGCCGCAGCAGCCCCCAGCGCTCTAAGCCTCGCATCTCCCCCTCCCCCTCCTCTCCCTCCCCCCTCAGCAACCCCACCCCCACCTCCTCCTCCTCCCGAACCCAACCCCTCATCACTGCCAACATCATCAACATCGAACGGTCTTTCAGCAGTCCCAAGTATCGGCGACGCGCGTTCTTTCCCTTTCCCTTTACTGGTGCTGGCGCCCGCCCTTGCGGCAGGACCTGCAGGTGGATCCCACGTCCATATTCTGCCCCTGCCCCTGTTCCTGTCCCACTCCCTATCCCTATCCCAAGCACAATCCCTCTCCTTCCCATACCCCCCAACCGCAAGACCCACCCCTCGCTCTTCCTCCCCAAGACATCCAGCTCCAAGCCTGGGAAGATCCTTCCCTTCTGCTGGGAGAGCTAGCGGCTGCGGCGGGAGAGGGGGGAGGCGGTCCGCTACTCCAGGGAGGATCCAGAGTCCTGCTTGCTGCGTTTGTGGCTGTGGCTGAGGCTGGGGCGCAGGTCTGGTCAGGGAGGGAGGTGCTGGACGAGGAAGAAGCTCGGGGAGGTTGGGGTTGTCGGAGTTGTTAGAGTTGTCGGCCCTGGGTGGGTTGGGGTTGGACCGGTGTAGGATGGCGGGGATCGTGCCGGTGCTGATGCTGGGGAAGTTAGGTCCGACCCTCGTAAGCGGGGAAGGCGTGCTCCCCCCCGACCCCAACCCCGACCCTGAGCCAGAGCCAGAGCCAGAGCCAGAGCCAGAGGTTGCAGACGCCCTCGACGGCAGCGACGATAGGGAAGACAGCGAAGGCAGCGGGTGCGGCAGGGGGGAGGGAAGAGGTGCAGGGAGCGACGTGGTGTGTGGGGCAATCAGAGGTTCCTCCAGCCTTATATGATGTTTTTCCAACATGTCGAGTAACGCGCTATGCCGTATCAGCTAACCTCCTACCCAAGGGTATGATCGCCAGTACTCACTCTTTTTCCCTCCTCAACCTCGCGTTCTGAGCAACCATCGCCTGGAACTGGAGAGTCAAGTCCTCTCTCTGCGTCCTGAGATCAAGATATCGCCGCTTCAGCTTGTCGTATTTTTCTGCTGGGACTTGAGGAGGGGGAGGGGGCTGCTCGTGGGATATCGTAGGGATTGTAGGACTGTGGGATAAGGTCCATCCTGTTTGTGCTTTGGATGGTTGGGAGGGAGAGGGAGATGGCGGTGGTGGGTTGTGTTTGGTTGACTCGAGGTTCTGTGGTGATGTACGCCTATTTGAAGGAGAGAGGAAACGTGCTGAAGGTGAAGGTATTCGATCACCATGACCATGACCATTAGCAGGAGTCGGAGTCGGAGTAGCACCAGCAGCAACAGTCGACTGATTATCCTTTTGTTGCTGATTAAACTTGTTATGCCAGAACATTAAACTCGGAGGAGGGCCAACTGGATTCATCGTGAGAGGGAAGTGAGAGAGAGAGAGTAGACAGCGAACAGTAACAACCCATCCAGTGCAATGCATGACTGCTAGCCGCTCTTCCCACTCGTTACTCCTCCATCTTCCATCGATCGCACGCTCAACACGCGGCTGCTAAGAAGAGAAAAGAAAAGGGGAAAAAAATAATGCTTCTGTACCCCACCTGTCAAGGCTCTAATTTGGAAGTTGAACGCCTGATAAACAACTGATCAGCACCGGCATATTCCACACACAGAACCACTTTCTCAACTCCTCGGACCAGTGTACGGCTCATCCGCCAATTCACTTACTTTACCAAAGATTCCAAACAAGACCAAATCAATCCATCAATCCATCCATCGATCCCATCGATTCCCTCCCATTTCCCCTTTCCTCAGCCACAGAGCCACACCACACCCCCATCAGTCATATCTCCGTTCACCATAACCAGAGCACAGAACGATCGATCTCCATATCGATCATATCCATACAAGGAAATGCCGAACACCGCCGTTCCTTCCCTAAGCTCTGAGTTTGGGCATTTGACGCTCATTTGCGCGTACCCTCCCCATCACCACCTGCCATCACCCGTCATCAATCATCCCCATCCCCGCTTATCCTCGTAGATCTCAGATCTCGGCCTGAGTTGCTTAACGGGAGTAAAGAACCACTCTCACCTCATTCCATTCCATTCCCCAGAAGCAGAAGCCCCATTCCAGTCAAGAGCCAAGCAGAACCAGATTTCAGAAGCAAGAGAAGCAAGGGTGCGGTCAGAGCGGAGTTGACCTTCTCACGGCAGGCGGCAGGCGGCCAAGCGAGCGGCCGCGTGGCTGTTCCCCTTCTCTTCCTTCCGGATCCTTCTGCTTTTAGTAAAAGGAAACACTCCGAAACACCAACAGCTTCTTCCCTTCCTCTTCCTCCTTCTTCCCCCCTCTTTCTCTCTTCTCCCCAGACCATACTCTTCTTTTCTTTGACGCCTTCACAACCGCCGCACAATGGCGCCTTTCAGTACATATTGTCAACCCTGGGCGGGGCCTTTGTCCTCCCGCCCTTGCTCCTGGAGCAGCAGCAGCTCTGCTGCTGCTGGCGCGCCTGGGAGTACACGTACTGGTGGTAGACAGCCTGAAACAGAGCAACCGGCTGCCAATGTCCAGCTCCTTTCAGAGCACTCTACACCTCATATCTCCTGCTCGTCCTGCCCGACAGCTGCATCAATAAACTGACATTATAATCCAACAATTGCAACTTGACAACCCGACCTTCGCGTAAATCACGTACAGAATCACCGGCTACAAAAACCGGCAAACCGGCAAACCGGCCGATGTGTCGGCCCGCCCTCCACCCGCCCTCCACCCGCCCTCCATCCCCGTTGCCCATATATCACCATCTCCTTATGCATCACCCCTATTCTTTCCTTTCTTGTTCAAAGCTCCAGACCCAGTTCGCTCTAGCTCCAGCTCTAGCGATAGATCAGCTCCCGCGCCCCGCCCCGACCCGCCCTTTACTCCCTGGACGCACGCGCAAGCAAGGAGCACGCAGTCTGAGCAGGCTAAACCCCGCCGAACGCAGGGTCCGCAGAACCCAGTCAGGTTGGGCAGAATCTCAACACACTCACGATCACGCATGATCATGATCAGACGCTTATACATGCCCATTACATGCTCAGGGCAAGCGTCGGGGGAGATACGTACATATCCGTTGCCCTGACCGGAGCGGACTACCCAAGTGAGCAAGACGGGACAAGGCCTCCTCGAAGGGTACGATCGTCGTTGAATGTTTCGGAGCGCTGGACTGTACGCTTGTCAGATGTTCAGCAGCTCCTTCCTCTTCCCTTCCCCTTCCCCTTGACCCCCTGAGCAGCACGTTCAACCGCGGGGCCTGAGCCGCGGGAAGTCGGAAGTTGGAAGTTAGAGAGCCGACCATATCCTCCCGCATTTGTCAGGTGTTTCTCACCCTTGCTGACCGCCCTTTTTCCTTTCACACCCGCACGTCGGGTGTGAGAACCACGTTCTCACGCCGGCTTCTCACCTGACTGCTGCCTAGGCAGGTTTAGTATCAGCATCAACATCAGATCCCCAAGAAACTCACTATAGCGGCCTCCACCTACTCCCCAGGCGGCGCAGAGGACACAGGGCACAAGACAGAGGATACAGGGGCAGCTCAGTCTGCCAGCGATCGCGTGTGCAACAGGAGCTGCAGAGGGAAGGCCCGGTGTCGGACCACCTTTTCTTTCGTAAGTTACGATATTGGGATGTATTGCGCGCGATCTTGTGATTCTAGATTTAGGATGTGAGAATGTTGGGATGTGGAAGGTTGGAGGGTGTGATATGACTGAGCGGGCGGCTAGAACCGGGCAGTATTATGATGTAGACCAGTCGAATCCCGGGCCGTCCTTTCCCGTCTCGTGTGCCAGCATCCAGCATCCAGCGTCCACGTAAGTACTTCGCGATCGAGCAGAAGCAGAAGCTTAAGGGAAACGACCATGTCCCGAACACGCCCCTGGGCCCGATCGTAATATTCGCCGTGCATGTGGTGCGGAACCCGATAGCGCCCTTGCGATGAGTCGGGCGATCGCGAGAGGCAACACAACAGGCGACAAGGCGACAAGCGACAGGGAACGATTACCCCCCGACGAGGAAGGAAGGCTGCGCTCAAAGTTCTTCGTCGTCGTCCTTGTTCGCTTCCCATCAACCTAGCTCGGCACCTCGGTCTTTCCGGCTCTGTCTCGGTAAATTGAGAACTTTTTGCCCACTGCCCAGCTGCGGGATGTTTATTCCCTCCCTCGGCCAGCTGCTGAATACCATGCAAATACCATGGGCTCAACTTGTTCTGGCGACCTGGTCGCCTGATTTCGGTTCAAGTCGATGTCTTTCAGCCCGAATAACACGTGGGAACAACGTGCTCACCCCCTTGACGATAACATTCCGTAATAAGCAACCACTACTGTCCGAAGTACGTTGTTCGCTTTATTGTCGGGTCAATGTGAAAGCTTATTCTAATCGGCTCCGTAGCACAGTTTCTAAACGATCGAGGTCGTCGTTGTCCGGTAAGTTGTAGATCACCTGATCTTACTCGGCTCCTTTGTCATGACAACACTGGTATTGTAAAACACGAACTAGACGAACCCTCTCTTGTCTTCTTCCCGAAGTCAGGTACCTCGTCTCCGATATATTGACTCATCCAAGAACACTTCGCACACACTGGGGACTTCCGACTGCGCGACGGCTGAGTCAAGCAGTACTGATCTTCCCCGCACTGGTTTGTCAGGCAACGCCCTAATGCACCCGGACAATCACTTACGTTAAAGCTTCGGAACATGAGGATCTGCTTCTTCGTCCTCTGATGTTTGGGTCTCACCACGGTACCTCCGACCTATTTCCCGTCCTTCGCTTCGTTGGCGGCAACTAGAGTCGCTGCTGAGACAGCGGCAGATCCTCCACTGGCACACATACGCTTTTCTGATCTACGCCCTCCTGACATGATGTACGCCGTCATTACCGGAGTGGAGCCTTTTGCCCGTGAAGGACTGCCCATTAATGGTTCAGCATCTGCTCATATCATTTCTGCCATCTGTTGATCGTGGTTCGGTCATGGGGTGCGGTTTGCAAGCGGCTTGACGGCCGCGTAGGTGCATGCCTCCACACCTGACAACGTGGAGTATACGGGGTGGTGGGAGCTTGCTTCGATTGGGAAGGAAGGAGAGTCCATGTTATGAATTTGCAATGCTGTCCACGAAAGTGTCTTGTTGGCAGGTCACTGGGCTGTGTTCGGAAAGTCGGAACGCTCGGAATGAGTGCACCGTTCTGAATGCGACTCTCGGTGCAGGGCGGGAGGGGTGTTGACAACAATGACTAGCATCGGATGCCATCAGAGAGATGCAATGACCTCATACCTATCCCTTTTTCGGCAAATACTCTAGTAATTGTATAAGACACCGGGTCAACAATAAGCAAAGTGGCTACAAGGTGCACCATTCTGTTCACTGATCGTCGCTTCACATTTTTTCTAACGATGTAGCATATCTTACATGGTACGAGAAGAAGCTCAGTCTCGAGAGCGCAGGGTATCTTCTGAGCTCACCAACCCTTCGCAGCGCATGGAAGAGGCGAGCAACAATCATGACTACATGGCATGGAGCTGAACACATCTGAAGCTTCACACCCCGATAGCCATTCTCTTAGTTTATCGGGATTCGAAACCAATTCTTCTCCAGGGCATGTAGAACACAACTCCTCGGAGAGTGGGCTGTAAGGAGGTAAGTTTGCCTTTGATCAGCGTCAAAGAACATTGTGCACCTTTTGCTTATTCTTATCTTTCCCTTTCAACTCAGGGAAGACCAATACAGTTACTTGAGACATGAAGGCGACAATGTGCCGGCGGTATTAAATCAATGATGCCGAGTGGAGAGGGACAACCAGGCCGTTGTACCAACGCCTCAACCTACTCACGCTGGCCTATTGTTTCGCACTTCTTTGAAGAACGGCGTGGTCAAGCTCACAGGCATTCAATCGATTGAATTGAATGAGATGTCCGACAGCCCGCGGCCATGCGAGGCAAACTTCGCAGAAACGTATCATATTTCTCCCAGGTACAGTGACAAAAGAATGAATGCGATCTAATCATAATTCCAGTGAGTACCAGAAGTTTCCAGGCGAAGATGCCGTAGTGCAGGACGGTATCAGTGGCAGTAATGTACAGAGTTCAGCGCCGGTTTCGCGTGGTCGCGTGTTGGTGAAATTGTCAACCCTCGTGGACAGCCGACGGAACAGGTGATGGGCCTCTCGGTCTCAAGGATCATGTTAGATGGTGGGCTGTCAAAGTCAGTTTTGCCACAGTTGAGATCGGAGCAAAAGGATCGTCTAGACGGAGTTTACCGACAGTCTGCTCAAACCGGTGCAGGGGCACCGAGGGGTATAATGATGCCAGGTGACCAGCCAGCGCGGATTCTATCAGCACATGTTGTTGAGTAGGTACGTCCACAGCAAGGTATAACGTACCAGAAACGCGCCAATCCTTTGCATGGACGTCAGGACATGCGTCATCACGGCATCGTCCTCCATTGGTCTCAAACTGACATAATCGTGCAGATGGGTTGAGATTTGACGCCTTCGAGATGGCTTCCTTCTTGAGCAGCCCAAACTGCATGACTCTGCTTGAGGATATGTCGTGGTTTGCCTGGATATCAGTCGGGGGAAGGGCGGGTGGATCGTGAGAACGGAGGAGGGGGTATTCGTCGAAAATCGAAACAAATGGCTTGAAGAACCTGTACGTGTGCTGGCCACAGGAAACACATCGCAACGCATGAGCCGAAGGTCCGATTGAGAGAGTCGCAAGATGCCAGGAGGAATCTATCTGGAGCTGAAGAATGCACGTACCTCAGGTTTTTGCTGTTCTCCATGCTCTGTGGTCTGATCAACCTGTTAGATTCGAAACAGTCAAGAGTGAGCAATGCTTCCGAACAGGAGAAACGACAGGTGCTTGCCGTGCTCGTATCCAAAAACTCCATGACTAGCGAATAAGATCAGGTGCAAGGTGCAGCCTTCTAGACGCAGTACGCACCACCCTTCTCTCCCGACTCGCTCTCAGGCCCTAAAGTTCGGATATGGACAAGGTCACTACGCGAACAGGATAGCAATGTGCGCACCCTGGTTAGCTTCGATTACGACAGTCAAACCTGTGATCGATTAGGTACTGCAAGGATCAACAAACAACAACTCACGGTTTATTTCATCATGTTGTACGTTCCCCCTGTCACCCGACTGGTGATTCAAAGCATCGGTCAACGAATCGTCCTTCATCTGGACATCCTCGTCGATGACAGCAGAAGGATATCGCTCTACACCATCTGCGGAGGAAAGAACTCTCCGCGGATGGTCCTCGTGGGAAGCAGAAGGGGTCAACAACGCAGGACTCGCAATGTCAGAACCCACAGATTCCGGGACCATAGGCGTTGAGCGTCCGCTGGAAGCGGCACTCTTTGCCAAGGCTTCTTTCCGAGCCTTTTCTTCGAGTCGAGCCATGATCCTGGCATATTTCGCTTGCTCTGCTTCAATTTCGGCCAGTCGACGTTGAGCTGCTATTCGAGCAATTTCAGCTTCCGAAGCAGCTGAGGAAGGTAGTTGTCCTCCGGAAGTGGCGATTGTGGGGGGTACAACAGGTGCTTCTGGGGACTTGGAGGTTGAGACATCATCATCCGAGCCATCATCCTCGGAGTCAGATATGTCTATAACAAGGGGACGATATTCTTCTCGACGTTGATGATGATAGCTTCGCCGATAACCATGATGTGGACGGGAAAGGACAGGCGCTTGTTCCGGGCGCGATAATGGTTGAGCGTCCAGATCGGCAATGAAAGCTCTGCCGTTAGGTCGGGTTGCAGCAATGGACTCGGACGGTAGTATTGGAGTTACGTCACCCGGTGTGGTCGACGAAGACGTTGATTCCGAAGCTGTCACCGTTGGAATTGTAGGTAGACCAATCGCGGGGTTCTCATCCGAGGAATTGGTAGGAGAAGGAGTTTCGACTTCCATTTCTGCATCGTCATCGTCTGTGGCAAACATTGCACTTTCAATTTCTCGCTCATCAGCCAAATCTGTGTCGTAGGTAGGAGCAGGTGAAAAAGCTTCAACGCCTTCACCGTCTTCCCCTGATCGCGCCGGTGAAGCAACTTCCGCCAATAATGCATCGAACTCGTCGAGAAACGCGCTGGATATAGCTGGTGAACGCGTAGACTCTGTGACTCTAGTACTCGATGACGGAACAGGAGAAGTCCTCGTGGTCGAAGCCGTCGCAACAGCAGCAGCTCTTTCAGCTCTGAGTTTCCTCGTTGCCAGAGCCGCTCTTCGAGCATATTCTTCTTTCTGAAGGACTTGGTCCAGTTCGGCGGGGGATGGGAACGTCGTGTGCTTGCCTCGAAAGGATGTGGGCGCCACGGGCACAGAGAGACCAGGGATTCCAGAAGGAAATTCCGAGAACATATCGGCGGTGGAAGAAAGACGAGGAGGCGGAGTGACGGTGGCATTGGGAGTGAGCGAGGTTCGAACGACAGTAGGTTGCATCGCTGATTCAATCTCTGTTGGGAACAACGGAATAGGAATAGGGTTCTGCGAGAATTGTGATCCACCCGATCCCGGAAGTGGTGGATGAGCAGCAGAATTCAATGATCCAAGAAGCGCGCCTGGGGAGGCAGATGTTGTAAGATGGAGGTGAGGCAGAGTATTCTGAAGGAATTCCGGTGGCAAATCTCCTCGCATAATGCTTTCCGGGGTGATACCCATGCCCATAAGTTGCTGCAGGGTATTCTGTACCTCTTCCAGTTCCCGCTGAGACCAAGTTGCTGGAGCGAGGGGGTCTCGTTGAAGAGGTTGTTGAGCTTGCATATTGGAGGAGGTTCGCGTTGGAGGCGGAGCCGACACGGTCGAAGATCTTAAGGGGATATCGCGAGAACTCAACGTTGGCTGCGGTACAATCCTAGGATAATCCTCGGCTTGTGCCGTCCAGTATGCTCTAGGCGCACTTGGTGCGTGCCTCGGTGGTGGTACATGACGTCTCGGCGCCTTGGGCGGGGGTGGCGGCTCATCCTCCTCGCTGATCTCACCCTCTTCGCGATCAGGATTGTTCCTCTTCAGCGTCGTGGTAACCTCCTGCTTTGTGCCCAGAGCAGAAATCGAGGAAGCGGAGGGCTGAGAGGGAACTGATTTGGGCATGGAAGGAGGAACCGCGGACTCCGACGTCTCAACCGCCTGCATCTTCCTACGCTTGGAGAGAAGCGCAGCCTGCCTCAGCTGGTCAATTGTTGTGCCTGAGGGTGCGGCTGATGAAGCAGTCGGCATCGCGGTCGACATCGATGTCATGTTTGTTGATTAGTATCCGACCGGAGAAGGATCTGATCAGGGAACACCGCAGATCAATGCATCGCATGATTGGGGGTCATGCTGGACAGAACTCACCAAGGAAGCTCAAGCCGCCAAAAAACACTTGTAAACGCCAGATATATTCCTACAAATGATGATGGTGGTTAGAAGATGAAATGCAGTCCAGGTATCGATTGCGATAAGAGTAACAGGTGAATGTGGTAAGGAGCAACGAGGCTGTAGGTCACTGTCCAGGATTGTGTCACAAATTGATTCCGTTTTCCATAAACCGCACAAAACGTCACATGATTCATGAGGTGATGTGTGCTGGCTAGTTATTCCCCCCAGTGACGCCAGTATTACACGACATTGCAATACATACTGACCACTGGATATTACAGTGGACTACAGGATACAAGACCAGCGCTAGCAAATACAAGGCCTAATGAGAAGTCAAGGGGATCCCCCTGACAGAGGGATAATCTGTGTCCCGAGGCAACGGAAGCGCACAGGCGCCGGCAGCGAAGCATATTATGCTGGATGCATATATAGGCAAACCAGGGCTGATCGCCAGGAACCATCCACCCAGCAGTGGAGCAGCCATTCCTGCACTGTGAGAACTTGTTGTCAGTGACTTTCTTGTAGCAGACTGTCGTGTGACGCACATTCGGGACAGAGCCGATGCCATTCCTGTCGCTGACCCTCGGACTTCGGTAGAAAAGATTTCCGGGGTCATCCTGTAGATTGGAGTTACATTCTGCTCATGTGCCAAACACCACGCTGCTCACCCGTAAAGCACAGCCCACATTGTTGTGGCGCCCAAGGAGATGGCCATTGTGACTGCGATCACTGTTGTTTCGCTTTGGACCGGAACGAAAGCAACAGTGCAAACACCAGTAAACACCGTGCTGAGGAGGAGACTTCCTTTTCTTCCCAGTTTCGTCTCGATCATCCAAGCACCCAAGAGAGGTCCAGGGACACCTGCCAATGCGTAGAATAGATACTCGTTCAGGGCTTGCGCTCGTCCCCCGCCACCATTTTTGATCGCCCGGCTTTCCAAAAGCTTGGGAAGAAACACGTTAAACAGAGTATAGGCTGTGGAATGATTAATGGAGAGCAATGTTAATAACCACACGCTCTCACATAGAGCAATCAATGCCCATGCACCCCAAACGCAGATAGTGGTCTTCTTCCACTCCGGCGTAAAAAGCATTTCCATTCGCTCCAACCAGCCAGCCAGTGGGCGTCCGATAATGGGTATACTTCCGATTCTAGGATCCTTCACCTTGTGATGCACATGGAGTAGGGGTGAGGGGGTGGGAGCACGCGGAAAATGAGGGTGCTGTTCTTCCACTGGCGTTGCGAACGTGTGAGTATATGTTAGATGAACATCAGGCGTGAGGCTCGTCGAATGATATTCCATCTCCGAATTCTCGGCCGTGGGTGGGCGCGTAATTCCATTGCTTCTGTAACGGACATCTTCCTGATGCTCAACGTCCTGCGGGGCATCCATGATATCGTCGATCGTAAGCGAATAGTCGTGTCCGTTGAAGGAGATAATCTTTCGCAATGAATGGACGGCTTCTATGTGTCTGCCGGAGGCGACAAGATAGCGCGGACTTTCACGCATGCGGAAAAGAACAATTCGAGCCAAACACATGCATGACGTCTAATTATCACACGAATACTCATTAGTACTGACTTGTCTATAAGCAGCTCATGACTGTACTCACGAAAAGGCCTAGAATAGCAAGCATATACTTCCAGCCGAGATTTTCCGTGCCCACATCGCATGCTTCGGATTGGTTCTCTGGGCAACTGTACTTCGGTATAAGAACAACACCCAATATCGAGCTTACGACGGCTCCAAAGCTGAAGAAGATGGATAGGGCGGTAAGGAGATATCGCTTCGCATGTGGGACATTCTCGATAAAGAGGGTGCCATCGGTTGGCATGCTGCCCTAAAAGGAGATCAGACCACTGGCGCTTGCACAAATGAAAGGGGCGTACCCCAACGGCAGAGCCTAGGAAGAAGAAGCATAGGCATGAACTACCAAAGTTAGGCATTAGAGGGCACAAGAGTCCGAAGACAGCGGCAAAGAGCAGGGTGAACTGGAACGCGACCCGTCGACCCATTAGATCCGCACCTGTGATTTTCACTCAATGCGGCATTATAGCGTGATATGCAACACGTACAAGTTCCCCAACCCACTGCTCCTATCATCATGCCGAAGAAGATGGAGGAGGACAATATACCAATGCGACTATCGGGGACGTGAAAGTGATCCTGGACACGCGGTAGGACGACCGCTACCCCTTGAAGCCACATCTTGGTCAATCCGGTCAATAAACGCCCGCGGAGTTTGTAGATTTGAATAGTCACATTGTCCGCCATCCATCCTGCAGTCGCGTCAGCGGTGCCATACGGTATTCCAATAGCGTGCGTACCGAATCCACACAGAGCCAGCAACGACCATTGGTACCATCCTACAAGAAAAATGAGCGTGGAATTCGGTATTGTGTAGGAGGATACGCACCCATGCCAATCCTGTCTATGGTTTTATCGAGGGCGCTGCGATCATCTGAGATGACATCGTCGTCCAACTCGTTGTCATCGATGGCTGACGCTACGTGCGAGCCTTCTTCGTGCAGCTCATGCCCGCTCAAGACTTCATAGCTCATAGTCGACATCCAGTGTAGAGTAGAGCTGAGTAGTCCAAGCTAAACCAGTGGCCATATATCCGGCGAATGCAACAAACCGAGTCGAACAGATGCGAACGCGTCGATGAATGCGGTGCGGCGACGACCCTAAAAAGTTGAGGCGGAAGCGCGGTCGTGTCCTACACGTCGTCGTCGTCCAACCACCGCGCACACTTCAATTCCGTTCTATCCTGGCACCGTTCCCCGTCACATTGTCGGCTGATCCGTCCCCTGTCGTGTCATCTCTTGTTCCGCCAACCATCAGGTCCACAATGTCAATAACCAAGCGTCTCATTCCTGGCTTTTTGCGTGACCGCGCGGTCGCACTCATTGGCGAGGTGAGTGTGTGCTTCTCCCAATCCCGCATCACGCAGACGCTGTGCAAACGTGGTGGTATCGGCTGCGGAGAATCGTTGCAGAGCCTACGCTAAACAGATGATCCATAGGAATGCTACGTTTCTCTTGTTGAAAATTTGAATATTTTCGATACCAAGTGCCTCAAGTATGCAATCTCCAAGGGGCTCGGTGTGGGGCTCGTTCTCGGAGGCTTGATCATGAAACTGCCTCAGCTCATCGTTAGTACGTCCCGGTCTTTTCCTCGGCGCCGAAAACAACCGAGGCTCACTATGTCGCGTACTTGATTCTAGTTCTTCGAGCAAGATCCGCTAGAGGGGTCAGCCTCACGGCCTACGGATTTGAAACGCTCAGTTATGGGATCATTACCGCCTATTCAGCTCGGCAAGCCTATCCATTTTCAACATATGGAGAGAACTTCTTCTTAGGGATTCAGAACGTTGTCATCACGCTACTGATTGTCTACTTTGCTCCCCGTTCGACCCCGACACAACTAGCCGGTGCGGCCGTCGCGATAGCCGTGGGCGCATACCTCCTTCTGACGATACCCATGTCATATCTGGCCATGCTGCAAGGCTCGACCATACCTCTAACGTTCCTTTCCAAGGTTCCACAGATTATCTCGAACCACCGCCTCCAATCAACCGGGACACTTTCATCTTTCGCAGTATTTGCCGCCGTTGCCGGCACTTTTGCACGCCTCTTCACGACGGCTACCGAGGTCAAGGACCCCTTAGTATTCTGGAGCTACGTCGGCGCCGCAGTACTCAATGTCATCATTGGAGTTCAGATGGCGATGTACTGGCGATCTGACGAGAGACCATCTATCCCGAAGTACCGCGAAGATCAGAAGTATCCTGTTGCCCATGAACTCCCGCAGACGGCACCGATCGGAACCCCGACTTCTCCAGGGAAGATCGACCCTGCCGGTAGTCATAATGGCTCGGGTCGCCGCTGGACGAGAAAGTTAGATTGAGGCAGGCTGAAAAACTGTTTAGGCGCGCACCATACCCGTATGTTCTAGTGAGGAGCGCTAGCACAATACCATATTTGTCATCAAACATGTGTGGATCCTGCACGCTGTCGATGCTTCTCTGGTTCCTTTGTTCGATATGCCGTTATGCGAGGGAGCATGTGCTCGTTCATTGGAAGGGACCACGTTAAGCTCTTGCATGGCGGCTCGATCCGAAAACCCGCGAACCACAACGCGCCTAACGCACGGAAGCACTGTATATAAAGACCACGTCAACTCACCTGTCGCCTCTTTAGCCCCTGCTCACCCGACCATGCCCCACGCCCTCCCTCTTGCGGCGCACGCGTCTGATAGCTCTCCCCAGGGACCCTGTACGTACAATTCATTTCGCGTCCCTTTTTATGTCGTCATCACCAACCACTTCAAAGACATAGACCCGGTGTATTCTATCAGTGCTCGTTGGTCCAAGAATGTGACGCATCTCAAGACGGCAAGCGGGCTGGGCTTCACTCTCTGTCCCTTTCTGGTGCCTGCACCTCCGGCAGCCGTCGAGGAGCTCAGGAAGATGCGGATAGCATGTGGCTGGGACGTGGAGCTTATCGACGAATGGATCATCGAGATCAAGGAAGGTCAGCATTAGGGTTCCTATGGAGAATTGTATCTAACCGCTTTCGATCAGGGCGTCGCATTCAATGGACAGCGTTCAAGGATGACACAGCAATAGGCATGTGCGCCCTCAACATCTATTCAATTCATGACGAAAGCTTGGCAAATGGCGTCGATCGGGGAGAGGTTGCTGGAATGTTTCTATATCCCGAATGGAGGTCCCTGGGAATTGGCAAGACTATGATGACGTATGTTGAGCATGAAGCTGCTCAGATGGGAATGAAGATTACGACAGTGAACACTCGGTGAGGATGCACGAGCTTTGCCTATCTTGGGTTCACCATTCTCATTGTGGTCATTGACAGCTCAATGGGGCCTAGCCTTGGTCCTTACCTTCGTCGTGGATACCGGGAATATAAGGGTAGGGAGATGAAATACTTGTTGGAGACAATCCTCGGCCTCGGGCTCACACCAGAGCACATGAGCGCGGCCTTCTTGGAGAAACCAGTTCCGGCGGCGTCCACAGTATTCTTCAAGATGGACGTCCAGACCACAGTCTGATGTGGAGGGCTGGAAGGGCATGTTGTTCGGGACAGAAAGACCCTTGGCGAAAATGATCTGTAGTAGAAGTAGATGAATAAACACATGCATGACGAGCATGCTGGTTTGGAGAGCTTGTTGGGCGTTAAACAGGGACCTTCTCCATGCGGCGCAGACTTCCGAGCCGGGATGCGCGAGACATTGAATACCGGCGTCGGTTGACAGACTCGGATATCTCAATGTCAGGTTGACATCAGCCATGTTCAGGGGAAGTCCGGGGACAACTCCGGACCCTGGACTACAAAGGGAACGGGGCCCAATCACAGTAAGAGTTCAACGCAAGAACGGATGGGCGTGGGACAAGCAGATACGCCCAAGACTCCCGAGACATATGCTTCTTTTCCACTCTGGCAGCGCCATCTGATCCCTCGTCGGCGGTGGATGGCATCACGGGCCCCAAACTGAGCCCCTGGCAAGATTCTGCCTCTAGGATTGGGACGGAACGATCTCCGGGTATGCAACAATATGGCCAGAAGTTCGGGCATGGTGCACGGCATGCTTCGGGCTGCACTGGACTAGCTACCACAACGAGCGATCACGCGACGATTGTTGTTGCGTGACTGGCAATAGCACTGGCTTGTGCACTGGCCTGAAAACTCCGCGCTGGGGAGGGGCCGCCGCTGACTCTGAAAGCTGTTACGCGTTGATCGCGTACATCAAGCAAGGCTGCGCAAACCCGTTCCGTCACCTGGCGAAAGTGCGCACAAAACACCTGCCAAACTGGGTAGTTGAGCCCCGTCCGACGGATGATAAATCAGACACGTGCCTGTTCTCGCAAGGAAGGCCGAATCGCAGGGGCAGGGGAAGTTCGTGATGAAGGAACGGACAACCGATAGGGTCCGAACCGGCGTATCCCGTCGTAATCAAAGCGGCATTATGACCGGTTGGGCCATGATCACGTTCTCGCACAGGGCCGGTCAGAGATGGCCGAGTGGACTCAGGGTAAGGAAATGAGAATGGTCGAACATACTGCATTGGCGGAACAACTGGACAGGTATAATCTGTTCCTGCCTCGGCTACCGTGGTTCATTACCGAGTGCGCGCGTGCGCATGACGTGAACATGCCGGAGGAAGGGGCCTGACTGGTCGACGACGGACGATAGGAAAGAAACATGAGAAGAACAAATGTCCATTGATTCAAATGGGGTTGCTTCTCTTCTGCTACTCGATTCGATATTCGGGATTCAAAGGTTTCGGGACTAGTGAGGCTTGTCCGCGGCGTACCGCGTTCTGAGTGTTCCAACATGTATACAAAAACAAACCAAAATCAGGTGCAATATCATCTCCTCATCAGTATACTCCAACATGGCGTTCTGCTCGGAGAATGCTCTCGTCTCATGCGGGGGCGTTCAGCATACGCCATGGGTCTTGCCATGCTTCGCCTGAAGGCTGTCATGCTCGTGGTGGTGCTTGACCTTTGCGCTCTTGTGGGACTGCTTCGCGTTGTTCTTGGAGGCATTAGCCAGATGTTGGATGATCTCGCTGGGGGTCTTGTCCAGGAAGTCGATGGCGTCCTTGAGGTCGCGCACAAAGACTTCGCACCGATGGCGCGAGAAGTCCTCACGTACGACAACGCGCAGCAGCTTGGTTTGTTCTGCGTGGGGCGCCTGAAAACACAGGAGAGCAAAAGAGTTAGCATGCTGAACAGTGGTTCCTCGATACACGCCCAAGCCCAGAAATTGGCACGTTCGATGGGGCCCGAGCAGGGAAATGACAGATAGAAGGACGTACCATCGTGTACGCCGGAACGATCCACCCGCGGCTCCTCAGATGCCTTGCGATAGCGAACTCTGTCAAACAGAACAAGAAAGAGTCAGGGGTCCGCGCTCCATACGGAAACTGTCTGCCAGCCACAAGTGGCCAACAATAAGCCGTCTAAGATGGGACGTACCGTCATAATGCTTGTCCGCCTTGATGCGCCACGCAACGAGTGGGAGGCCCTTACCCCTCATCTCGCACATGAGCTCGAACATGGTTCCGTCCTGAATACGGACGACCTCCTCGGCGAGGTAGTCTGCGGTCTTCTGGAGCTGTTTACGGAAATGCGCATAAATGTTAGTATCAGTTCGGGATTGGGATGATGAGACAGGATAGCATGGGAGGAGAGAGGAGCACGAGGTGTAACTGATTTGGAAGGGGCGAAAGACATGAGGCTCGGACGTACGTTAGTCATGATAGCCCTGTACCCTCCCTTGCCCAGACGGAGGAACTGGTAGTCTGTTCAAACGGCGTGGGAACGTCAGTTGATGGCTCTTACTCAGCGGGCGTTTCCCGCCCCGGCAGAGCGGGGCGGAAGATACTCGGAGATGAGGGAGCACTCACATTGGCCGATGACCTGGACCGCAGATTTTGAGAAGTTGAGGGTGAACGACACTTGGGGCCTGTTTTCCGAGAAATCGGAAGCACGCAGTCAACATCAAGCCAGTGAATGAAAAGAAAAAGAAAACAAGGAGGGCTCGCCGCAGGAGCCGAACAGAACAATCACGTCGCCAGAACAACAGCGACATTGCTTTTCCTAAGGAACGCAGTGTGCTGGGGCGCCCAATTCGGAAAACCAGTCATGAGGAAGGACGACTCACGCTCCGAGATAGTTGACGGTGAACAGGATTTCCTTGGGGAGGAAATTCGTATTCCTCCACACGGCCCAGCCCACGCCGGCGTATGACAGCCCATACTTGTGACCTGAGGCGTTGATACTGCACACGCGGGGTACGCGGAAGTCCCAGAGCAGGTTGGGGTTGGTGAAGGGTGCGACGAACCCTCCCGAGGCGGCTATTTTCAGACACAAAGGCGGTTATCAGCGCTGTGCAACATGAGAACAAGAAAAGAGGGACCAACCGTCAACATGAATCCATACGTCCGTCCCAAGCTGCTTGTTCTTGACCTCCAACAGCTTGCTAATCTCGGCGATGTTCTCATACCCTCCGGTATAGGTGCTCCCAAGGATACCGCACACGAGGATGGTGTTCTCGTCGACGAGGTCGATCATCTCCTTCGGGTCGGCAAGATATTTGCCCTGCGAGCAGTACCAGTACTTCTCCTCCACTTCGAGGTAGCGGGCTGCTTTCTCCCAGCAGACCTGGACCGCAGCGTTCATGACAATGTTGGGGTGCTCGGTGCTCTTACCGGCGGCCTTGCGAAGGTCTAAGAAAAACGACATCGTTAGTCTTCCTGATCCGCATATCAATAGAACAACGTACTCTGCCACCTCTTCTTCGCGGCCAAGCAACTCAAGATGATCGCCTCGCTGCTTCCGATTGTGCTCACACCGACCGCCTCAGCGTCCTTGTTGTCCAGTGGGGCGTTGAATAGCCGAGCGATCATGTTCACGCAGCGAGACTCGATCTCCCCCAACGCGGGGTACTCCTCGAGATCGATGAAGTTCTTGCTCAGGTCTGACAAGAGGTCAGAAGTTGGAGATGGAAGTGAGGGGTGCGCATACTCTCTACCATGAGCTTCTCGGCCTCTTCCTCCATGTACGTGGTCTACATTCTCTCAGCATGTAGTGACCTGATCTCCAGACGGAAACGTACCACGAAGGATGCCAGGTTGAGCGCGGGGTTACCATCCTACCCATGAAGTGTCAGCTCTGCACCGGTTGAGGCATGGGTACATCATGAGGATCCAGGGGGACGTGGAAGTGACAGGGACGTGCCCCCCTCGAAAAGCTGAACGCGACGCGAGGACGGGGACATACCATGAGAAGCTCGTCATGGACGAAACGTGCTGCGACCCTGGCAGGCATCTCCTCCTCTGCCATCTCGAACCTTGGGATCTCTTCTGCAGCGAGAGCGCTGCCATAGACGGTGGAGGAGATGTAGTGCTCGTGGTCTGGGTGAGCCTCGAGGCGTTCTGTGGCGGGGACAGTGGAGAGGAATCCCATGTTTCGGTATATGCGTGTGATGGTTGGAGGTCAAGATGTGAGGAGGAGGTGAGGATGGTGGAAGGGGTTTTATTGCCTTTCGGTGAAGGGGTTTGCTGTGCTATTTATTGCTCGTAGCGTGTGAGAGTCGCGACGGTGATGGAGCGGATGATGTATGCGTGTATGCATGTATGCATGTATGCGCCTCATTTTCCCACCAACCAACACCGGTCTTTCTCCCTTCTCCCCTCATCTATTAATATCATTTATTTCCCCTTTCTTGTCATCCAATAACAGTCAAGCACAACGCATGCAGTACTTCTTCTGCCCCAACCCACCCCTCACCTCTCCCGCAGTCCAACCCCACGTAGACCGCACCACACCCTTTTGTCGTGTTGCCAGGGACGAGGGGTTAGGGCGATGCACGCGCCCATTGTCGTAACGGGGAGGCCGGGCCACAGAAGGAAGAAACGTCCGCTTTGACTCAAAGAGGTAAGACGCATAACGCCGACAGTCTGAGTCTGAAAATAGAATCGCGATTGGGGCCGCGCTACACGGGAACAGGGCAACAGACACGTTGTCACAGGTGTTGTATAGAAAGGGACGGCCGTTTCATTGATCATCTATTGATCTGACAGAGGATGCTGACCTCTTCGGTGCTCATCATAACCGAAGTAAGTACCACACTGCAACTTCACACGGTCTTCTACACGCTCACTGTAGTAATCTGCATATTTCCCTCCTATTTCTTCTAATCATCTCCTCTCTCGAACCTGTTTCACAACTCAACGCTATTCCTCTAGCGTCAGGGAACGACGAACGTGTGCTCCGCTCCTTCATATACATCTCGTATTACCAGCAGTCCACGTTGGACAGCGGCGACGTGTGGGTGCTCCGTGAATAGAAGGGTCACAGGCACTTTGTTCCAGTCCACGATCGACAAGTCGGTGCAGGTGGATAGTGACTGACGCACAGTGTACAGACAACTACGAGATGGAGTAAAACAATAGCTTGTGAAGAGGTTGTGCCGAGTGATGAAATCATATTTTGCGTACGGGATGATGAGAAGAATGATGATTTTGGCAGGGACTTGTGAAAACGAAAGTGTGCCGAGTGACAAAGTGAAGATATTGTCATTGCCTATATCATTGTAAACTGTCGAATTCTGGCATTGAGCCCCTCACAAGTATATGAATAACTCAGAGGGTATCCGGTGTTTGGCTCAGTGTGTGCAATTCAGGTCCTGGCCCCGCCGGGGTCGGTCTTCCGCTTTGACGATGAGCCTGTTTTGGGGGTGTTTCGCTCAATTACTCCTCCGACTGTGTTCATCACACAGCACTTTGTTTATTCGGGCATTTCTATATCGCATCGTTGCAGCATGTGACTGCGATCTAACAGATCGGACTCGACCTTCAATTGTTACTGAACTTAGAGAACCGATTAAAGGCAGGACTGATAAGCCTGCTTCTTCCTACCTGTAATTTGTGCGGCTGAAGTTTATTCTCGCCATCCGTGGAGAACACATGCGGAAGTCAATCCTAAGGAACTTGTCACTCCAGGACCAGAGATCGAGGTGTTAGCACACGCAACCCAAAGCAGCAAATCATCCCATTACACCGAGTACACCAATCCTCTAGGCAACCTCAACCGGTGCCGGGGTCGGGGGGACGACCTGCTCCGTCTCTCTACCCTCCTGTGGTTGGGGTCTCCTCTCCCTCCTCTCACCCCTCTCGCCCCTTCCCCTCCTCTCCCCACCCTCTTTACCCTGTTGGGCCCCTTCCCCCTGTGCCCGCCTCTGCATCGCCACCCCCAAAGCCTGAGTCCTGAAACTCAGCCCGCGCGTGCGCTCGATCACGCTCTGATACACAGGCGGGAAAGGCTTTTCGATCACGATTATGTTCCTCGAGAGGTCGATCTTGGCATCTGCGCCCATGCGTGTGTCGCGGATCAGGTTTACGATCCATTTTTCGCCTTCTTCCCGAGAGAGGTTCAGGCGAGCTGAGAGGTCACTGAGCGCGCGTCAGCTTACCGATACGTGGTGAGAATGCTGACTAGAATACGTACGCAATATCGATCTGCCTATGTATCCTGCAGTATGCCTCTGAGATAAAGTAACGCGCGTTATCCAAGAACTCATCCTTGAAGTTCTGTAGAAAGACGTCGTTCTCAATCAGGCGTTCTGCTTCTCCCAACTCCCGTTGAGCAGCTTCGAAGTCAAAGTCGACATAGAGCATCTTGAGGAAGTCCGTGATGGGGTCGTGATACTGATAGTTCTCCATCTGGATCACACGGACGACCTCCTTTACCGAGTGCCGGATTCTTCCGCTCGTTGCGGTCTTCCGTGAGATGACGGACGCAGCGGCGAGATAGCGCAGGATCCAAGGGCAGGACGTCTGAATCGTGTTGAGGTATGCGGGGGAGAGGAAGACTTCAAGCAGGGCGTGGCGGCCCTCGGGGTGGTTGAAGTAGACGAACAGGCTCCAGTGGAGGTACCACGTCCTGCTCTGCAGCTGGCCGAGCGCTTGGGAGCTCGCGCTGTCGATACCCACACCGGAGGCAGAGTTCGACACAAGCGGTGAGGCGCGGTTATCGATAGCTTCCCGCATCCGGTCGAGCTCCTCTTTTGCGGTCTGCCAGTCACTACCGGAGAGGATATCGGACGCGAGCTTGCCCCATTGGGCGGAGAGATTGAGTTCTGGGTCCGTGGAGAGTACGAGGAAATGATACAGGAACTGCGCGGCACCGCTGTAGTTTCCGTACGTGTACTGGAACTGGCCAAAATGATACAGTGCGTTGATTTGCTCGGGCATCAGCTGGAGGGGTCCGTTCAGTTAAGCGCTCGCGGAACGAAAAAAGGTTGAACACACGTTGTGCTTTTCTCGTAGGTAAGTCAAATTCTGCATCTTGTCCTGTCGCATGGCCTGCGCAACATCACGGTTCTCAATCACTTCCAGAACAACCTGAGCCTCTTTTTGTAGTCGGTCATTGGTGGTCTCGATGTTACTCCGCTTCGCAGTAAACTCTGGATATACATCAGCACGCAATTGTTGCCAGACAGGCTCTCAGGCGCACCTTCGGGAACTTCTTCATCTGGGTGCAACTGCTCGAACAGAGTAACAGAATAGTCCACCATGTTCGTCCGCCTCGCGAGCTCATACTGTGCCTCCTGGAGCTGCTTTGCCGGGAAAAGGTGTGTCTCGCTCAAATGTGCAAGTAATGGGATGGCCAGATGCCGATCCAGATAGGGGATCATCCGCTGTGTGAGGTCGTATGCAGCCATTTTTTTCAAGTTTGACTGAAGAGAAGGAGACAGTACTGTCGTGGCCGGTGTATATCGTCCCTTGTCGTTCGAGTGCAAGATGAAGTGAGGGATTGTAACTTTTTGCTTCCGGGTCACGGAGCCAGAGAAGCCCTCAACTGCGACGATCCTACGGACACCACGCTCCGACATGTCTCATAGGTGTCCGACATGTCTCATGGGGGGGGACAACACCGCCCTCCTTCGATTAGAACAAAAAGTTGATACCGCTCTTCCCAACACTTGCTCTTGCCACAGTCGCTTGTGGGCTGCCATTGAAGACGCCACCTCGCTTAATTATAACAATATATACTAACAGAACAGCCATGACAAGGTCATCCCCAATCCCTCCTGCACCGCAGCCTTTGCTGATTGAACCTATATAAGAACAAAGCTGATGGTTTGTGAGCCACCAACTCGAAGCGCCGGTCGCAACATATCCGCAACTCTTCGCCGTGCAGGTCACGTCCTCCCTATCATTTCACCACAGTACAACACCTATCTTGTTTTAACCAATGCAATGTACGGTCAGGTTTCCTGTCACGCGACTGAACTTGCTAACATATGGTCCTAGTCTTGAAATTGCTCTTCGCAACACTTGCTCTTCGCAACACTTGCTCTTGCCACAGTCGCTTGTGGGCTGCCATTGAAGTACCGCCTGTCAAGCGCCATCGCCGAGCGCTCGCCGTACATCGAAGCACGATCCGATATCTTGGCATCTTCAGACTCACATGTTGTCGACCGCGCTTTCGACGAAGATACATCGCTCGTGAAGCGAGATCCGTCCAAGTGCGTCCATTGCAACGAACCTGGGCATCCCCTGGTTGGTCTTCATTTCTGCAAGAACGGCCACCCGTCACACACCAAGTGCATCATGGAACGTCTCCACGAATATACTCCCCCTTCCTCAGGATCTACCTACCCACCTGGAGCGATGTGTAAAAAATGCGCGGAGGCCGAGACCGGGCAGCATTCTTATCCAGGCGTGAATCGAGATCCGAAATTGTGCGGCATATGCCAGCAACCTTATCCTCCTGATTATACGTGCCACCTGGGTCACGTGTTACACAATGAGTGCGCATGGGGAGAGTTACTAAGGGGTGGTACTCCCTGCCCAGGATGCGCGGAGGCTGACCTAGCCATACCCCAACACCAACACATTAAACGGGGCCTTGCATTCAAATGCGCGCGTGGATCCCAATGTGCATTCCCAACCCTTGCATCTACCTGCGGATATCCACACGCCAGTGACGCAGCAGCCGCAGCAGCAGCCGCAGACGCATTCTCACCCAAATCCGATCCGGTGCGTCAACTGCCTGGACCCAAATCGAAACCGCCCTCTTTATTCCTGCATCAAGGGTCACGTGTTACACTTCGACTGCCACCCCTGCCAAGCATGCGAGCTGCCTGGGCTAGCCTAACACAAATCAAAGGAGCCCCGTACGGCTCTCTTGGCCTCGCATCCAAATGCGCACGTCCAGCAACGTCCTGGCACGGGTAGGGCCGGCATACGGGTTGTGCTAGATCACGCAGTCCACGAGGAGAGAGATATTTTTTGTGTATTATCTACAAATTCATCAGCTTCGGCTTCCTCTTCCTGCAAAAAAGTCGACGCATCCCGGGCCTATGACACAACGACATGCTTCTTTCCCCAAAGAAGTCCATCACGTTCCTCGGCTCCTGCAGATTGACCATCCCTGATCACGATCAGCGGCCTGCACCATCCAGTGCCCAACTACGATTGAGGTTATCGGCAAACTTAGTAATACGCTCGCAGATAAGCGCTCCATCGGAAGGAGCAATGTAACAAGTGTGATCACGGTGTTCGTGGCTATTCTGATCTTAGTGGTAGTCGATAGGAGCATTGTAACTCACCAGAAGGGAACAACATAGTTGGTCCTGGCTGGATCTATCCCCCACAGTCCGCCCATGCCATTCGAAACCGGGGACAGGCTTGCAGCTTGTAATGTTCGACTGCGACCTGAAGTCGGCGGCAAAGGTATTCGCCGATTGGTGCTGCATTGGGCACAGGGGCGATGTACCCAGCGTAATCCCAGTGCTCGTGACTGTTCTGAGCTTAGTGGCAGTCAATAGGAGCAGCGGAGCAAACTCACGGGAAGAGAACGTAGTCGATGCTGGCTGGCTCTACCCTCCCATCGGCAAGCCGCACGTCCTTCCACACCCTCGTACCATAAAGCCCCCTAAACTCCTTCACTGCATGCCAGTTCCATCACACTCCAAGGTCAAACAGAAGCCGCTTGCCCGAGGGACCATGGACGTTGTAGAAGCAAAATGAGGGCTTGAGATGTACATAACGTGCGTGGTTGATAGAGATAGGGAGTGATGTGTTCGTCGGGGACGGCATGAGTTGGTGAACCAATAATATGTCAATCGTGAGGACCGCAGACATAGACACGTTCAGGAAGTATTCAAACAGATGTCGGTGAGTCATTTGGGTGTGTGAACACATGCTCTACGTGGCGGGCAAGGGTGGACATGGAAGATCATCTGAATAAACACTGGCCAAGCACTGCCTTCGATGTCTAGTAACAACAAGTACTGTATTCCGCCCTGAACATGGGAATCTTCCTTCCCATATTGAAACTAAACAGGAGCTGTTTGTCTGAGGGTTGATCGATCATATCTATCGACCAACAACATGAAACAGAGGGCAAGACGTGTATGGGCTGCCGAGTCCGAACATCTACTTGACTACAATACAGTACGTGTCATGTCCCCGCCAGACTGGTTACTGGACCTTGGTTGACAATATATACCAGTAGAGCTGCCGTGACAAATCATACAATGAATAAAACATTACCAACGACCAGAACACACGGTAGCGTTTGATGAAGAAACTTATATAAGACCAGAGCGGATGACTTGTACAGTAATCCACCAAGCGCCGTTCGCACATATCCTTAGCTCTTCTCCGTGCAGGTCATGTCCTCCCTATCATTTCACCACAGTACAACACCTATCTTGTTTTAACCAATGCAATGTACGGTCAGGTTTCCTGTCACGGGACTGAACTTCCTAACATATGATCCTAGTCTTGAAATTGCTCTTCGCAACACTTGCTCTTGCCACAGTCGCTTGTGGGCTGCCATTGAAGTACCGCCTGTCAAGCGCCATCGCCGAGCGCTCGCCGTACATCGAAGCACGATCCGATATCTTGGCATCTTCAGACTCACATGTTGTCGACCGCGCTTTCGACGAAGATACATCGCTCGTGAAGCGAGATCCGCCCGAGTGCGTCTATTGCAAGAAACCAGATATCGATCACAATCTTTATCTCTGCAAAAACGGCCACCCGTCACACCCCGAATGCATCGACAATCGTTGGGCTAAATTGCTTGCCTCTTCAAAATCTATCCCGTCACTTGCAGCTGTGATGTGTCGAAATTGCGAGCAGGCCGAACACCAGAGGTTGGAGGATGCCCACATAGAGCAATGGGAGAAAGCCCAAACAAAGAACCACAAAGACATACTTAATGGCGCCCACACGTAGAACCGGGTGAGACATTGCCCCTCGCGGCAAGACTCGCATGAACAGGTCATACAAGTAAATGATTGTCCTATCATGTAGTTTGAGTGAGCGCTAGTTACCAATGTATGCTACCCAACAATCCATCACCTTCAGCTTTCTCGTCCGTAGAGTTACATGCACAGCACAGCAGGACGCTCCCATCGCCTAGGAGATCCACCCCACGCTCGTACGCTCCCACAGGCTGACCATTCCGCTCGAAATCAATAATTACAGACTTGCGGCCTGCAATGTTGAACTATGACTGGAGATCGCCGGAAAAGTTCGCCCGCCCGCCGATAAGCGCTGCATTGGGGAGAGAGGCGATGTACCAAGGGTGATCTAAGTGCTCGTGACTGTTCTGAGTTTAGTGGTAGTTGTTAGGAGCAGCGGGGCAAACTCACCTAAAACGAACGTAGTCGATACTGGCTGGATCTACTTTCCCATCGACACAGCAGCAACCTCTTTCCACACCCTCGCACCATAAAACTCCCTGAACTTCTTCACTGTATCCTCTGGGCAGGCAGGCTCCACTCCTACCGTACTAGGCCGAACAGAAGCTGCTCGTCTGAGGGATTGTGGACGTGTAGAAGCAAATTGAGGGCTCGAGAGATGCATAGCGTGGAGTGGTTGATGGGGGAGGGTCGTGCGGACGACATGGGACCGTTGTAAGGGGGAACCGGTCCTATCATATTAGTCAGCCTGCCATAAGCAGGCGGCATCCACGTCGTAGGGTTTTCCAATACTCCTTTTCAAACTACAATAGCATAGTTACCAATACAATTGGGTTCTGACTACTTGATACAGATTTTGCGACTCTCACAACAGCACAGGTTGCTGAATCAGTGGGAAGCGGGACAAACAAGAAGCCAATAATAATTTACCGGACGGTAAGAGCAGCAGAGAGAAACATATTCAGGACGTAGGATACATGTGAAATATTCGGCATTTGGTTCTTCACCATTCGGCGGGTAATGAGGGCTGTTCGGATGAGAACAGAATATAATATAGGATCGATGCTGAAACCCTCCTCCGGCGAGGCTGAGGTACAGAGACGCTGAAACATATGAAAAAACGAATGAATACAATGCTAAAGAATCAAGCAAATTCAAATTTCTGGCTTATATACAACCTGAAGAGTGGGGGATTTTAGTCCCTCGCGCAGGCTTTGAAATTCCTCAGTGCTGGTCACCTCTCCACCAAGTCGTGAACGATATCACTTTGACAATATATGTAATGCATCGTACGTCATTCGCTGTCAACGTAACGGACTTTCCTGACACAGTATCCTAGTTTCGCGACTTCTCGTCCTGGTCTTTTCTGCCTTGGTCATTGGCATCTACCCACTTCCGGTGGAACACCCCATTGTTGGTGCACTCGCCCAGCATACACCAAATATCGAAGTGCGTTCAGATAACGTCGCATCCTCTGGTGGCAAGGCCCGCACCTTGGAAGATGATATCTTGCTTCTTGAGACTCGAGACAAATGCATCCATTGCGGTAAAGCAGAGGAGAGAGCGCACAAGGTTACCTGTCAAACAACATAGACAGTCACCCATCGCACGTCGGCTGTGACAGACCATACGTTGGAGCACAAGACTCCTTATTGTCTAAAATGCATTAAAGAAGAGAAGCAACAAAACCCAGGCAAGAACCATTGGTGGGGAGATTGGTGGTGATAGTTTATGAGCTTATTGACCCCCTTTTCGTGAACTTGGAATCTTGTGCTCCTGACACCTGACTGCGCATAAATTTACTGGGGAAGAGCATGCTTAGAAGATGCCAGTGGGTTGATCATATCGGAGATCCTCGCCCAGTATTCGGGCGTAGATGAATTACCCCTGATAAAGGTGTTGAGATTATATTGCGACAAATGCAGGCGACGCCAACGGTTATACCACTCTACACCCTCTTCACCTTCTTTCCATCTTTCTTCCTCTTCCCCTCTCCGTTCCCCTTCGTCTCCTCCTCGGCTTTCCTCTTCTTGGCGTTTTCTGTGCTTTTCACGCTTACGAGGCTTGACAAGCCCTTCTTGTCCCCCGTCTTGGTGAGCGCCGACACCTGCTTCTCCGCAGCTGACCAGTCTTGAGCGGCGTCATTGATGGCATACCTGCAGGACCATGAGGATACTTATTCGATGTATCAATCAATGAGACGCACTCACTTTGACAGGTCTAGACTGTCAATCATCTGTCTCTGTTCCTGTTTTCTCCGCCTCGTCTCCTCATCCTCCACTGCAGCCTCTTCCAGTTCCTCGTCCACGGTCTTCTCCAGGGCTTTCCATTCTTTGCCATTCGTCGTCCCCTTCGCGTTCATCTTAGGCATCACCGGCTCCTCAGGGATATCGGCGCCAATTTCAGCTTTCTGTAAGACTTGGAAGTGGGTGCAAAGCTTGCGGATCACTTTGATGAACAGTGCGAGGACTTGGTTCACAGGAAGGCCTAGTTCGGACTCAATTTCCTCTACGGTTTTGCGTTGAAGACCAATTGAGAGAAGAATGCTTGCTTGTACGCCAGACAGTCGACCAATAGCTGGCACACGCTGGAGGAAATACAGATTGGATAACACGGGAATGAGGTCCAGCACGACGTGATAGTCGAGCATGTTTGAAGCATAAGACTCGAGTCGTTTGATATCGAACGGTGTCAGATGCATGACCAGCTCGCGCGCGTCCAGCTCCCGTGGTTTCTCTTTCACCGCAGCTGCTCCTGAATTGACTGCTTCGAGCAAGGAGAGGGACATGACACTGGGAAATTCGCGGAACTTGAAGCTGAGCAGGCTGAGGAAACGCTTCCTATAATCTTGTGCGAATTCGGCCAGCCATTCATCTCCATCGCTGCGGAGAGGTTTCAGCATGACGCAGGTGCACTCCCCAGTCAACTCATTCTCCGTTTGACGCACATACAGAGGGACGTAACCCGCGCGCTTCCAGAACTTGAGCAGAGGCGCGGTTAATCCGTAGGACACACCGAGGTAGTCGAGAGGCTCTGGTGTCAGAGATGTGAGTTTGCGAAGTAGGGGAGGAAGGGAGGTGATAGGTCGTAAGCTGGGCTTGTCAGTCTGTAGTGAAGTGGAGGCATCGATGTCGTTGACATCACGATTCATCTCCAGTGGTTCTTCCTGTGCGGCTTCCTCCAAGTTCAACAGCTCTCCACCAAAGAAAGACCGCAGCAAATCCAAGGCGCGCGCACCGTAGCCCATACTGTTGTACTCTGGATGTGTGGCGATTCTGACGACTCTCGCTCCACTCAACCCTCCAAATCCATCGTCCTGATACTGCTGACTGATGAGCCATGGTATCAGGTCCCCGCCTCCCCTGATACCACCTCGTAGACCCTCCATGACAGCGTCTCGTGATATTCGACCCTCCATCGCCACCTGGATGACACAGAGTGGCTCAGGCAAAGTGGTTGCATCGGTCTGAATTTCTTTGCATAGCACGAATAACCTTTGTGCGGGGGCATCGCTCAGGAGCATGAGATCGTCTGGGGCATTCTTGTAGTGTGCGGCCACATACAAACCCCAGCACCTCTCGAGGAACTTCTCGGCGACGGGATGGAAGGAGAAGAGCGTATCGCGCGATATGCAATAGAGGTTGCATTGACGAGGATGGGGTGTGCCAGAGGTAGTACTTGGGTTGGGCGGGCTGAGCAGTAGTAGGCGGGAGAGATATGCTTCAACTGGATCGCCCAACGCATATCGGATTGGCTCGTCAAGGGTAACCTCGTGCAGTTTTCTTGCGGATGCGCCAGCGATAAGCGCGGCTGACCTCCCCTTGTCATCTCCCGAGGCTTGCTGTGACAAGGACAAACGAGAGCTCTCACGCAGTTGAGCGATCAGCTTGAGAGAAAGTGATCGTCCAGTTCCTTCATACCCGTTGATCGTGCTGCTCAAAATGACCAGGTATGGGCCAAGAAGTGCCTTGACTAAGGGTAATGGGATGGCTGCAGCTTCGTCAACGACGAGAAGCTCAGCTTGTGATAATTTGTGCGCGTCTCGAGGGTGAATGTACTAGGATGTTGCGGTCAGCGTATACTCTCATGCGAGATGGGCATACGGACCTGGATGGTCTGCCTTCCCTTCTTCTTCAGGTCGACACGCACAATATCCTTCCCGGCCCCTTGCTCCTCGCCAGGTTGTGGCAGTGCGACCCGAATGTCATAATCCAAATGCTCTTCCCACCCCAGCTTGTCCAGGCCTTTGAACAAGAATTCGAACAAGCTTTTTAAGTTGCTCGGGTGCGGGCTCGTGACGAAGATGTTCGAAAACCCGAAATGGAGGGCAAGGGCAAGCGATAGGCCGAGAAGTGAAGACTTGCCTCGACCACGGGCAGAGGTGAGCGAGACTGTGTGGTTTAGCTCATGTTTCTCCAGATGAGGCAGGACGGCGAGTAGGCCTCGTGCTTGATCGGCCGTCTTGCAGACATCCACCACCTCTCGTACACTCTCCGACTCGTCTGATATCGAGTCCTTCAATGAATGGAGTTGAGCGGAGGAAGTTGAAGGTATTGAAGATGGGTCGAGGGGGGTGATGTCCTTTACAGAGGATATTGGGAGTACATTGAGCTCGTCGTCTAGGACCAGTGTGGTTGGGCAGGAGCCCAGGGAGAGGATAAATCGCTCGTTGAAGCGTGATACAGCTGTTCCAGAGGAAGTTCTTCGGTAACGCGCATGGACATCCTGTGATATAAAATCAGAACATATCATCGCAAAGCGAAGAATGACAACACACCATGGTCATGGTATAGAGCTGTCGAAGACTCCGCATTGTCTTTAACAGCACGACCACCATACCACCTCCTTGGACCGTCTCTACTGTTCTCGCCCACAAGTTCGGAGTAAGCGCTTCGAAGTCCTGCAGTACTAGCATGCCAAACGTCTGGCCCAGAACTTTTTGCGTTTCCTTGTAGTAGCAGTATCGAATGTCCGTGAGGGTAACGAAGAGCTCGAACGGATTTTGCTCATTTGCCTCTCGTCGACCCTGCTTCACCTCACGCTTGATCTTTGCTTCTCGCTTCTTCCGGTGGGATGTAAATCCCAGATCCTTTTTGTAGCACCACAAAACGTTGGGTCGGCTACTCACGCGCGCTTGCGAGAGTAAGAAATGAAGGTTGACGATTTGGTCGCGGGACTTGTCGCCAACAAGTATTATCAGTGAGCGCTGGTTGGTTAACGCGCAGTTGATGATCAAAGTAGGCAGGCGGGGATCAAGTTGTTTGCGCATCTTGGACGTCACGAAGGTGGTATATGAGAGGTGAACACTCCACGGAGACTTGTGGAGGAAAAGGGGAAAAAAATTAAGACCCTTTATAAGTAGGCGCCAACGGGACCAATTATCGTGATTTTCGGCGCTTATATCTGCATAAGGCAGAAATTTACTTGTGTTCATGTCACGTCTACATTGACTTCGGCGTTCTTTTACATATAAATATTATTCCACATCCTTCGGACCGTCACCCCGTCTGCCCATGTGCCCTCAGTACTATCGCTTCCTGGCCAGACGCTGAATGTGATATCTCGATCTTGCCCTGGGATCAGCAGGAACGCATTCTCTGAGAACCAGCCCAGGACGCCCTCTGGATGTTCGAGGAATACCCAGGCTGCGACACCTCTTGCCGAGACTGTGAATGTGGGATCGGAGGAGGATAGGAATGAGGAAGAGCGGGAGTTCGTTGTTAGCTTGATTTGCGGATCAGAGAGATTTGCGGCGTTGAGGTAAGTCGGTGAGAACCAGTTCTCGTGTGTATACGTTTGTTCCCCGTCACTGGCAGTCAATTTGAGGGACAGAACCGCGTTATCACCCGTAGTATTGCTAGGCAAGAGGGGCACATCAGTCCCGTTACCGGCACTATAAACAAGCGTGCTGTTGACCGGACCAACATCGAAGCTGCCGGACTGGGTCGACGTCATCTGAGTTCCGGACCAGCTGTGCCATGTCCAGTATGCCGTGCCGTTGACTGGGACCATAATATCTGAGGTAACCCAAATTCGAGCGTGTTGTTGACGAAGAAAGGGGAAATGATGACGGGTTGATACACATTCCGTGCAGCGTAGTGCAAAACTTTCCATCTTCCCGAATACTCGATCCCGGCCCAACTAGGCGCCTGCCAGATGTCTTCGAGCTGCCAATATAAACTGCCCAGGCAACGATTGGGCAGGCCACTTCCACGTCGATAGAAATGGATCTCGCGGGCCATGAACTCCGCCCGGAATAGCTGCGTTGACCAACACCACGCGGAGAAATTCGCGTACGGATCGGATAAGGATGGAACAGGATAGTAGGCTTGCACGCCCATCGTCATTTGCCCCTGTCCTTGGTACGCACCCGCACCGATGCGAGTCAGGCCATCCGGGGGGTTATGGTGCTCCCGCGATAGAATTGTGCTGCTGTTGAACTACATCGCGCGGATTAAGGACTTCAGACCATGTGTATACGCTTGGCATGCTGTGAAAGGTGAACTCATTAACGAAGCGCGAGACAGGGTAGTACTGGTTGCTGAAGGAGTGCGTCACGTCATAGTCATAGAGCTCCGAATCACCGTAAATGTAGCCTGGTGTTACGTTCTGGTAGCGCTGAACCCATGGGTTGAGGGTGATATAGCCGTTTGTGGTGCTGGAGGTGATCCAGCTGATACTTCGCGAGTTGGCGTTCACAATGGGATGGATGACTCCAAGGAACAGCTTTTCAAATTGAGATTGGTACAGAGAAGCGTTCATCGGCACTGTAGTTTCTGCCACGCGAACAGAGTAGGTTTCCAGCTCGTTATTCCCGGCCCATAATGCCAGAGATGGATGTCGATTGATACGTCGGACATTGTACGTTACTTCAGCGGCCACATTCTCCAAGAAGTCAGACTGGGTAAGGGGAGTCGGAAAATTGAAATTCGGACCACATGAGGATGCCCATCTCGTCGGCAATGTCTTTGAGAGCATTAGCACGTTACATCTCATTCAATATTAGAGTAACCTACCGTAACAAAGATCATCTTGATACGCTCCTCCAGCCCAAACACGCAGGGGATTCTGATTGCCAGCAACAACGCTTGTCAACAGTTGGCGATATCGATCCTCAGTGACTCGAGGCCAGAATGCATCAGGTGGAATCCAATTTGATCCTTTGGCATACATATCATGCCCATTGATCTCGAAGTGCCAGGCATCGCCCGGCGTGATGCCTAGCGTATTGTTAGAAAGGATGGGCTCCATGTTGAGGACGATGGTTCGGAAACCGATTCGACATTTGAAGGTCGTGGCTAGGTTGAAGGTGTCATATGAGAGCTTTACCGTGATGTTGTACAATCGGGGATTGCCAAGATTCCAAGGCCACCAGAGTTCGACAGAGGCATTTGGAATTGTCATCGATCCGGTAACGCTTGTGTTGACGATCTTTGTCTGCAGCCATCCGCTGTTCCACACCCCTTCAATATCGATCATCATCGCAAGGCTGCTGTTTGGAATAGCAGGGCTCGGCAAAACATCGAGTGAGACGTTCACAATCCAAGGGGCAGAGTGATCTGGTGGAAGGTTTGGTACTTGACCAAACCGGTATATGTCAGTCGCATTGTTAGTAATGTATAGGCTGGTGGGCTGTACGTAGACCTCATAAGTGAAGTTCATAGAATCATTGGGTGTAACCTCGTCATATGCAGAAGTACCAGCAGGAACTGTCCCATTCATTGTAAATGACGTGAGCCCAACCATGTATACTGGACGCCAGACGCCCTGCGGCGCATATGCTGGACCCTGTAGATAATCAGAGTGTTGTACAGCCGGGGGACACGAGGCGTACCCAATCCCAACCGAAGTCGCATTGTTTCTTTCTAATGTACATGCGGTTTCCAGAAACGAACCAGGAGATGCTTGCATTTGGAAAGATCTCCTGCCCGGGAAGATTGGCCAGATAGTTGGCTTGAACCACCGCGCTGGTGAAAGCTACTGTGAGAACAGGAGAGCTGCCACTGTTGGCTGCGGATTGCAAAGCGTTGCGAATGTTGAAGGTCCATTGGCGGAACTGATTGCTGACAGTGCCAAGAGAGAGTTCACCGAGCGTGACAGTTGCGAATGTATCGAGGCCGTTGAAGATGAGGTACACTTCATCGTAGCAAGTCGACCAAGTCGAGAGATCAGGAAGTGTTGTGGAGTATGTCCAATTATCGAGGGCGATCCAGCGTAGGTTAACGTCGTTTGAACCATAATATGGGTTTTCGAAGACCTGAGCAGCAAATAGATCCAAATGAACATCGCTGGGCACAGCACCTGGAACTAGGACGGATTGGTCGGCATTGGTGAGCGTCCATTCCAACGACCCTAGGTCAAGAACTTCAATGCTGGCAAAGACGCCCGCAAGAAAAGCAAGAATCAAGAACATATGTCCGAAGTGAGTTTGCGCCATAGGTCATCCCGTAGAAAACCATTCTGGATCGGATCCAAAGGATTATATATACCCCACCCGGGCAAGGCGAGGCGCGCAGTTGACCCTTGGTGAGGCCGAAGGTGGTATGCAGCAGATTTGGGACCAACCCCTGAGTATCTGTTGAGTCGTTCCTTCCGGAGGACCGAGCCATTCGGATCATGTTCCTCGTCTAAACACTAAATTGTGCAGACTTCCCATAGGTCATCCATATGGACGAAGCGGTGACAGGCCCAAGACGGGTGGAGTAGATCCAATTGCATGAGCAAAAGAAGATTAGAAGTCAAGGAAGACGAAGACGCATAACCAATGGAGTTGTAGCCAGCGCAAGGGAGATGAAGTCCAGACCTTTATGGAATAGAATGAAGCATTGCCAGCAATACCCATTCGATGCTGTTGGTCGCTATTTGAACAGATAGCGTTGCCAACCTGGTGATAATCTCTCGCAAATAGTGGGTGAAAAGGTCAGCGTTTTCGCAATCATGTTCAAGCCAGATAACGCATTTGAATCGTTGGCGCAGGTGTATCGGCGGCCAGGTCTTCATGGTCCTGTAAACATGCTCAGAGAAGACTGGAACGCCCTTGGAGATAAACGTGATGAGGCTATGTAACTGCAATGACATCAGCTTTGTAGAAAAAGCAAACATAGTATCGGACTCTCGAAGCCGCACCCATCCGAAGTTGCACCATGGGCAGCACATGTACAGGGAAGCCAGGCAAAGCGATCGTTGCGGGGAAAGGGGAGGAAAGTTGTTAAGACTTCGAGACTTTGACGCCGGCACCGCCACAGTTGGGCGCCTCATTCACGTGTTTCGTTTCAGCACAAACCCCCTTTCTCCCAACCTTGTGCGGTCCGCCGATGAGTAGTCATCCGCACCGGAACAAGACCTATGTTCATGGCCTTGAGCGCTCTGCCTCCATCGTGGTATTCGCATGGACCTGACACAGCAAACTCATGACACACACCCTAGCTCATCAATTGCTCCTAAAATGGTTCGATTTCTCCCTGCGCTTACAAACGCAATGGCTTGGGTGCTCTGCCACAAACACCTTTTTTCCGACTCGACTTGCTTGGCAAACCTAAAAGAAACTGCAAGGCTGATTATCTCCACATTCACCGCCAATCATTGAGGTCTTCAACTGTCGGTGAAACGGCGACACAAGTCCTGACTCGCTTTGCAGACTTGGCGATGAACGGTTGCTTTTGTTGATGGTAACGCCGGGTCTGCTTCACATGTTCCGGCTGTACAATGGTCGTGAACCATCGATCTCGCCTTTTGGGATACCAGCACCCGAAGACTGGGCAATGGTATAAAACCTCGCTCGACAGCAGTCCAATCTCTCCAGCGCCGGTCGCCCACACAACTAACACAACCCCATCCAAATTCCTCAGTGCAGGTCACAATATATTTCGTCCTCCCAATCAACAAAACTCTACTTTCATATGATGCAGCGTATGTCGGTCATGAATACTTCCCCGTGACGCTGCTGATATTGTACTTTATTAGTCTTCAAACTCCTCCTGGCAGCCCTCTCCTTCATCGCCCTTGCATACGCACTACCCATACAAACCAGTGGATCCGAGAACCTCGCACTGCGCGACACGCAGATTGACGCGCGTTCAAATGCATTCGGGCTAGCGAAGTCTGAAGATCTTCTGGCTCGCGCGTTTGTTGAGGAGGACTCTGGCCTGGAAGCTCGGGACAACTGCCTTATCTGCCTTGAGGCGAACGCGAAGTACACCAACTGCCCAAACGGCAAGGATCATCCCGGACATGCCGAGTGTCTCATGAAGTGGACACAGGCGCAGAAGGACGCTGGGAATCCGTTGACTTGTCCTGCTTGCAGGGCGCAGATCTCTCCCCTAATTACGGTGGTGAAGAAGACTCCTAAGCCAGCAACGAAGGGGAAGCGTGACCTTGAAGAGATCGAGTCGGAAATGGAGATCGAGATGCGCGACTTGGAGAGCACGATTGAGGAGCGCAGCTTTGACAACGAAGACTTCGATCTGGAAGCTCGTGACGACTGCATCATCTGCCTTGAGGCGAACGCGAAGCACACGAACTGCCCGAACGGCGCTTCGCACCCCGCTCATGCCAACTGCCTCATCGAGTGGGCACAGTCGCAGGCAAATTCTGGACAGCCGTTGACCTGCCCTGCTTGCCGTGCACAGGTCTCTCCGCTGATCAAGGTGGTGAAGAAGGACCCCAAGCCGGCGGCTAAGGGAAAGCGTGACCTTGAAGAGATCGAGTCGGAAATGGAGATCGAGATGCGCGACTCGGAGAGCACGATTGAGGAGCGCAGCTTTGACGACGAAGACTTCGATCTGGAAGTTCGTGATGACTGCATCATCTGCCTTGAGGCGAACGCGAAGCACACGAACTGCCCGAACGGCGCTTCGCACCCTGCTCATGCTACTTGCCTCATGCAGTGGGCACAGTCTCAGGCGAATGCTGGTCAACCGTTGACCTGCCCTGCTTGCCGCGCACAGATCTCCCCCTTGATCAAGGTGGTGAAGAAGGCTCCGCAGTCCCCTACGGGCGGGAGGCACTGAGGAGCAGGCTTGGGTCACTCCCCTTTGTAGAACATTTACATGCGGAGATTGTATCTGATCAGGATGTTAATGGAAAATTCGCCTGTGCCGTTATTACTGTCATAAGCTTCAAAGCCGAAAATTGCTTATCAATCAGAGGGGTGTCTTTTTGCGTTTGGAGCCATGGCATGCCTAATCTGTGTATGGAGGGGATTAGCGTACTCGCCCGCAAGAAGAAGAAACATCATTACCCCATCAGCGCAAGTAAACTCTGGTCCTCTCAGCGGACACCCCGCGCACGAGATCCCCCAAGGATATGTGGGAAAGGCGTCTAAACCGATGTCCTCCATTGGATGGGCGATTTACGGTGCACTCATAATTGGAGCAGACACAACGGAGCTGAATCACACTGTACAGGTCGACCACATCCATGCATCAAAGTTGAAATGAACACATTCGTGTTTGCAGGGAAGGCCAAATGAGAGGGTTCTCGCAATACCGGCAGAAGAATACGCTCATTGGACTCATGAGATGAATAGGGCGGTCCTCGGTTGGGACAGGGAACTCGAACTTGTTCTCAAGGAGAAATCTGGTAGGGTATGTCAGTCCCTCTAACAGCAGGACTCGAAATACGGGCAGGCAGACGTACGACGCCTACATACACGCCTTACAAAACCTCATCCTACGCACAAAGTTCGGGGATGATCCCTTCTTCGCTGGACAGACCTACAATCCGGGGATTCAACGTTGCTACGTGAGGGGACTGGGAGAGAGGACAAACATAATAATCTGTTTCGAACATTCGCATATTCAGGCTACAATTGAAAGTGGTCAACTTCGTCACCAAGCTATGTACATATATGGGCACCAACAGTAACACGGAAGAGTGGGGCACACTTCACACAGATCTTCTGGGAAATCCGGTGCGCCGGGTGCGGTACTTCGTGCAACACTCCAGAGCAATCTAATGCTTGGGCGGAAGAGATGAGTACACCAAGAATGAGTTGTAACATGACTTGGAGCAGGTCGAGGGGGGAGAGGTTTGTACACATCTGTTCATGTCAAGTGTGTAATCTGTGCTAGGCAAGGATGAGATGAGAACATGCCTCCATAAAAACCTCGACGGGAGGGAAGAGACACGTTCGCTTGTCAAGCTTCCTGCATCGCTTTCTAGCCCGTGCACAGGCAGGCACCGACGACTTGCCTTTCTTGCATGCTTTTGAGGATTAGCCATCGCATACAGGATCAGCTGTAGGGAGATGTGACTAATGTCAGCATTGGTCGGACGTGTCACTCTCTATCTCATTGGCAAGCAGTCTAGATCCAGCTGTCAGTAGGTTCAGACGCAGGTGTCGGGCGGAGAGGAGGCCAGCAGGTGACGGAAGGGAGAAGAGGTGAAAGGTCACCATTCGTGTACCATTCTTGATACTAGTACTGAGAGTGCGTCAAAGAGGTGCAGCACTGAAAATTCTTGCCATTCAAGTACAAGTTTGTTGTCAAATGGATCTGCCCATTCTCAGCTCAGAAAGCACGAATCCTGGGCGGTACACGGCCACGGTGGCCGGCCAGTATGGTGGACGTTCGCGGACAGCCGCGGTGTTAGGGGTCGTTGTTGCTGGACAAGGGTCCTCGGCATCTAATTTTGCTCAAATCCATGGTTTTTCTCCATTTGGGTTTGATTCCGATGATTTTTCTTATTTTTGTGGCTGTGAGCAGAGTAAAAGGTCCGCATTTGAGTCCAGGGTCTAGTATCTGTTTCCTTCTCAATGGGAGCAAATACTTCACTTCCATTCAGTGGAAGCAGATAGGTACTCCTGCACAGGCGGAGTTTTTGCTCCCGTTTTCTCGTTTTGCTTCCATTCTCCTCTGCGGAAGTTCTTACTCTCTTTCATCGAGTTTATTTTTCTTCCATTTGTATCCGCGGAGATATATTAGCTTCCGCAGATACAAATACGGTGTTTTTGCTGGAGACAAATGTGCACTGCATTTTGAATCCTTATTTTGAGGCCATGTCCCCACCAGTGTCAGACCCTATTGCTGCTTGAAGGACCCCTAATGAGCTGTCTGCAAATGTCCACCATAGGCCAGCAGCTGTGCACAGAGGTATATTGGAGAGCTTTCAGGTTTCATAACACTTTCAATGTGAGTGCATTGACACATTGATGCA